GGTCATCTTCATCATAAATATCAAAGCTGACTCCAACAAGTTCTCCTGCATTGCCTGTTTAAAGTTATCATACAGCTGGTTCACATCTTCAGAATAGAAATAAATTTTTTCAGAGTTGGAAATATTTTCACAAAATAAATTAATTTTTTCTTCATCCCACGGTGAATAGTTGGTAACTAAGTATACTATTGGCGAAGCTATTCTGTTCATAGGAGGACTTTGTGCTCTAATGGTCTTCAAGGAGGTAATACAAGCCATGTGATCCAAAAGCCCTGATATGCTAACGACTTCCATGTCTATAAATCTGTCCAGACAATTTTCATTTATACCAGATCGATCACCGATCTCCCCTTGGTTGTAACGAAAGTATATTTTCCTGGTCTATCCGAAACACTACGGCCATTGCATATTATCATCCCCAAAGACTCCCAGAGTTTCTACCAGAATTTTTCCTCGCAAGTTCACATGTTTGTGATATGATGATCTTTTTTTGTTAAGTTGTGAGCCCAACAAAAATTCTTTCTCTAAGTCATTTAAACTTCCCACGTGTCCATTAAAATCACCGGTTAAGATAATGCGACTATGTGGATAGTAAGACATTATGCGAGTCATGAAATTATGAAGTTCATCCATGCTAGAAACAATATCATTATTTGGAGGGAGATAGATATTTCCCAATGTTAAAAACATGTTATTTAATTTTATATTAAAAAAAATCCAAAAGCGGTTGATTTCCAAGACGGTAACTTCGTGAGCTAGGCTGTTATGAATCAGTATTGCCAATCCCCCACTTCCTCTGCCAGTTATATGTGTTTTTACGGCATAAGAATAGTAAGCAACGTAATCAGTGAGCCAGGACGGTACGAAAAATTCATTAAGTATCCAGGTCTCTACCAAACAGATAATTTTATTTTCTTTGATTATATTTGATTCTATACTTGGATTTACCAAATTTTTGTAGCCATTGATGTTACAGAACAATATTTTTAATAACTCTTCGTATAAATGGTTTGCAGTTAAATTCGCCGGCCTTTCAGCTTTAACATTTATTATTATTTTAGATGACAACGAATTATCATAAGCAAAAGGTCAAGTGGAGGTGTGATCCTTCGATGAGCTTCTGAACTTATGAACTACTCACCCAATTTTTCCTCCATTTTTTTTCTTTTTGCTGCTTGAGAGGGTTCCAACTCTTGCTGGTCATTATTGAAGTTCTCTAACAGTGCTTCTACTTCATTGAGTGCGTATAAAGTCCCTCTTATTTTAAAAAGACCTTTTTTGTAGGACGCCTTAGGATCAATAACCTTTAATTTGTTTATGTAACTGAAAATCTTTTTTCCCTGTTCTCTTTCTTCGGGGGTTTTGTCATGGCTCACATAATTTTTTTTTGATTTTAGAGCATCTCTATTTTTAAATATTTCGTATTTTATGGAGTTGTTATTTAATGACAATAATATGGGGCCCTTTCCTATTCTGAAGCAGTTGTTTACAGCATATTCTGGTAGTGCAATATTGACAGTTTTTAAGGAATTATTTGTCTTTTTAGATATATAATTTCTCTTTCTAATAGAGTATTTTTTTCCTCTAAACGGAAACAATGTTTTTTTAATGTATCTAACTCCTCAATTACCTCGGCCATTAGTTTATTATTCTTTTCCAGATTTGTATTTATTTCTTTAACAGCCTGCATAATCTTGTCGTTAGTACAAACCATTTTTTAAGGATATATTTCACGAAATAGGACGATATTAATTAAAATGTTAATAGTTTTAACGGGAAGTATTCAAATAAATGTTTTTTTAAATTTTAATTGAACACGCAAATGCAGTGTTCTTCAAATCAACTCCGACTAAGGGCCAGTGAGGTACTGAAGTTCAAGGCCCGGATAGATAAGAAAAGGGCAGAGCTTCCCCCACCCAGACAATCCTGTTACAGACCTGCCTAATTTGCCTATTAAAATGTAAAATAATTTTTACCTTATTTGGTACTATCGGCTCGTGTGATACTCAGTAAATTTTAACAGTTTGTTCTTTAATAGTAGTTGATCACTATTGCACAGATTCATTCACCAAAATTAACTACAGCACTTTTTTTAAACTGTATAGCACGGAGACGATGTGAACACAACCACTACAGTGACTAGACTGGAACGATTAAAGCTATGAAGGATAATTATATATTATATAATTTGTATGTCCAAAAAAAAAAGGCTTGATGAGTATGCGTTGTATCGAGCAGCCCTATATAGTAGGGCAGCACTGCTTTAAATAAAGTATTTCTCTCTCAGACCAATTGATTTCAGATGTTTAATTTTGATTGAAAGTGAGTAAAAAGGGTTTAATAAATTAATATTGAACAATTAAAAGGCAAGCTAATCTAGTTCTACTAGTGCAGGGAAAAGAAAATGGCTGCTCTGTAGTTTCCCAAGATGGAAAATCCCAAAGAGGAGAGGGAAAAAGCTTTTGGTTTAGGCAAACAGTTGTGTGACTGCAGTGAAGAGAGGGTAGGAGAAGATATCCCCTCCTGGCTCGAGTGGGTAAAACCCAGTAATAGTTTTACCATCTTAGAAGATCTTGTTTGGCGGGGAGAATAGTTGTTTGGAATTGCAAGAGAGAGGATTTCCCAGAGAGCTTGAGTTGAGTGGAAGAATAGTATTACCATTTTGGGATATGTGTTTGGCAGAACATAAGAAAATGTGTGAAGACAAATGAGTTCAGTGCCCACAAAGGAAGAAACATTGTACATAGAAAAAAAGTTAGCTTGTCAATTCATACTTGATTTTATTTTAAAATCAATGTTTAATTTTAATATAAATAGTGTAAATAATAATAGTTTGTCTGAGTTGATCTAATTGTCAGTAACCCATACCAGAGATAAATAAATATATCAATACTTATTTATTTATTTAACAACCTCAAATTTCTTTTGGAAGTATCCTAAGGGTATAAAGTGATCCTCTGAGGTTATATTATTATTATTATTTTAAAATATAAGAGAGATGTTACAATATGTACATACATAATTTTAATAGTCCACATTATAATAAAAACATTATCTATAATCGAGTTGAAATTTACAATGTTATACATTTCACAATTCGTTTCTGAAAAATTGTTTCTCCTATCCCCTAGTACGTCTTTTAATTGAGAAAAAGAGGGTTGGATCCGGAGGTTTCGAAACCCCTTATTTAGACAACAGAAGATCGACAACAGCCAGTGAGTCCAATTAATTTTAAGTGTATTAACACATTTCAAAATTTCACATGCCGTAGTTTTCACTTTATAAATGTTGCATAAATGAGGAAAATTCCACATACAGTGTGATCATGTGAGCTGTATCCAGAGATCTCTATACATGTAACCTCTATACCAGAGATCCACAACCTAAAGCTCGTGGGGACTACGGTGCCCGTATGACTTCACTCATGTCTGCGAGCAAACTTGTGCCCGCATTAGTCTAACGTAACCTTAATCGGTGATTCCCTTATTAACAATTTTGCTGAAGATCGATAATTTTTAATAAAATGTTGAATATTTATTTTAATAAATATCCAATAATTAATTGAAAATATGAGCAATTACTTTTAAAACAGTAATTTATGTTATATTTTTTTTTGTTTTCAATCATCATTATTGTTTTACGCGGCAGATAGACAAGTTTTCAATTCAAATAATATTTTACAACTTTTTTCTTAAATGTATGTATTTTAATATACACCTTTATTGTTGAACAATTAAAAGGCAAGCTAATCTAGTTCTACTAGTGCAGGGAAAAGAAAATGGCTACTCTGTGATTTTCCAAGAAGGAAAATCACAAAGAGGAGAGGGACAAAGATTTTTGTTTTGGTAAGCAGTTGTTGTGTGCAAGCAGTGAAGAGAGGGTAGGAGAAGTGATCCTGGCTCAAGTGGGAAAAACCCAGTAATAGTGTTACCAATTTGAAAGAGTTGTTTGGCCGAACTTTGTAAAGTGTTTGAAGGCGAATGAGGTCAAGTGTCACAAAGGAAGGAACATGTAATATAGAAAAAGGTTAGCTTGCCATTCCATATTTGACTTTATTTTTAAACCAGTGTTTAATTTTAATATAAATAGTGTAAATAATAATAGTTTGTCTTATAATTTTGTTTATTATTTAATAACCTCTTATTTATTTAGGAAGTATCCAAATGGTATAAAGTGGTCCACCACGAGGTTATATTATTATTATTATTTGTAAAACATAAGAGGTATGTTACAATATATTTAAAAATCTAACAAGATTTTATAAATACAAAACTATTGATAGCACTGCATTAAATCTCTTTTACACCTAATAATTATCCATACCACTTCTAATAAACTTTTAATTTTAATATCATAATATGTTAATCTAATATAAGAAAACTATAGAAATATGTTTCATTAGTTTTAGAAATAATAAAGATGTCTATCTGTTATTAAATCTAAATTTTAGAAACTGACTTTGTTCCTGTCATGTTTTGTTCATTATGGTTGTCACTTCAATAAATTTGTTTGCTTTTACCTAACTAATGTCTGTTTTTCAAAGTAACTAAAAAGCTATAAGTTAGAAGTAATGGCTCTAAAAAATTATTTGGGGGAAATACGCTACATTAAATAAGTTCAAAAGTTATATACAGCATTACATCTTTGTCTTAGATCTATATTTTTTATTTTATTTTCTTCTTCCTTTGCCTCTCAACAATACAGATTTTTTTATAGTAGTTGATACTTCTACCACCTATTCTTACCACGTCTTAGGCTTACAAAAAAAAATTAACCGAAAATATAATGCTCATAGAACAAAAATTAAGCTTTTTTTTTTGTCCTCTAAAAACTTTTAGTTTTTGTCCTTGCAGGCTTTTGCAGTTTGGCTGTCGATTTATTTCTTTTCATTGATACCCTTTATATTTTCTTTTAAAATATTATAAAGAGTAATAGATAGTGTAATAACATCTCATAAAGTTTAATTAAGAAATAAACAGAAACAAAAATCTTACACGTACCACAATACTTGATGAAAGATTTCCTTTTGATTTTCGTTCTTGAAAATAATTTATAAAAGTCAAACCATCTAATGAAATATCTACAATGGCAGCATCGCCAGTGATTTTAACTTTCTCTTTTGTATAAGGATTAAGAACGGTATGAGCAGCTAGGATTACAATATAAGTACCAATTGTGTCAGGAGTTAGGGTACATCCGAAAACAGCTGTCTCTTTTGGTTGCAAATATAATGTCACAGATTGTGTATCTGAAATTGGAAATGATGAAAATAGTAAAATTATATAAAAAATTAGTGATAACTATAATACCTCACATATCAATAAGTAATACTAGTTTACACATGAGAATAATTCACCTACTATATTGGTCAGTGAACAATTGATAATATTAGTCCATGGCACAGACCCCTTTTTATCAAATTATTAACATCCGTCTGAAACTTCGTTAATAGTTCCATCTTATTGTAACCTACAACTATTTTATTTACGAAAACTCTTGGAATTAGGGCGTTTTCCATCTGGCAAACTTTGTCTATTTAACTAGGTACTAAAAACTTGTAAATACTCATTTGCTTTCTACTTGGATCATAATATAATTTTATCACAAAATTGATAAAAAAAGGTGGCCTAAAAAATATTGAGCCATTTGTCCTATATAGCCTCGTTATTTTGAAAATTTGGGGATGCAGGTAACGCCGAACAGCTTAATATTTTTGAACGCCACCATTTTTTTTTTTTTCGATTTTGTGATAAAATTGTCAGTGCTTATCAGAATTATCAGTGTTAAGGTTATAAACACAAAATACCACTTAATCTCAGCAAATCAATCGTCGATGACCACCTCAACGGGAGTGGAAATAATGAGCATTACGAAATTTGAGCTACACTTCTTTGCCGAAACGACCCTTTTCTGTCCAGAATTGTTACTTGTGATGAAAAGTAGATACTTTACGATAACAGTAGACATTCTAGACACTGACTCAACAAAGAAGCTGCAGAACATTTTCTAAAGCCCTTATGAACTCAAAAAAAAAAAAAAAAAAAGTGATGGTCTACTGTTTGGTGGGCTTCGTTTGGTTTGATACACTACAGCTTATTAAATATTGGAGAAACCATCAATGCCGAATCATATTGTAACAAAATTAATGCAATGCATCAGAAATTGGCAATAATGAAACTATCTTTGGTCAATCGGAAAGGACTCACTTTTTTGCATGACAATGCCCGACCACATGTCTCACATGTGACGTCACAAAAACTGTTGGAGCTTGGATATGAAACTGCCACATCCGCCCTATTCTCTGGACCGCTTGCCTACAGAGTATCATTTTTTTAGACACCTGGACCACTACTTATGTGACAAAAAATTTAATGGACAAAGGGAATTAGAACATGTGTTTTTGGAGTTTTCAATTCTAAAGATGGGAAATTCTATTCTGAGGGAATGGATAAGTTGCCAACACGTTGGTAGAAATGTATTGATAGTAGTGGAGACTAATTTGATTAAATAAAACAGTTGTAAATCTTTCTTGTTTTCTGTTTTTTCTTTTTTTTTAACCAAAATACTGCATTATTTTCTGGAAAACGAAAATATAAATACACCACTAAACGAAAATATGCGTACATCACTATAGACTGTATCTTTGCTAATAATGGTCCGATTTAGATGATTATTTCTTGTTTTGTAGGAAATTTAGCAACTTTTCAAATAATTATAGATCTGATCCATAAAAAAATGTATATTTTTTTAATTATTCGCAAATAAAGTTTCTTTTCCCTTCATAACTGTTTTTCCTGAAATTTCGAGTGGAAGTTACTATGATTCATTCGCTTCTCCGTGAAATTCCCTATCATTTTATACCTCATTAATCAAAATCCATTGCTCCTGTGAGCCAGGAAAAAGATCTAAACTGCGAAATACTACCGTATTATTTATAAAGATATATTTTTATTTGATAATTGATAAAAATAATGGGCAATAACACTGGCTGTAAATAAAAAAGATGCAGCACAACCATGATTTTCTATATGCACAGTATAATATAGATCTTAGAGCTTTTATAAAATAATTTCATGATTTATCATATTCTTTATTATTTTATTTTATTTTTAATTATTTACACAAATCTATTTGATATATCATAACGATTTTCATATTCTTATTTTCTCATTTTACTTTTTTTCTTACTCTTTCTTTATGGGTTTTGTTATGTTATCTTGTTTTTTACTTACGACTTCAAAAGTCCTAAACTTTTGTAAGATATTTAACTTTTAAAAACTACACCATCACTGAATTTCTTAAATATTACATGTACGTAAGAAATAAGTATTTGATTTAAATAAACCAATTAGGCTATAAGCGAATCTTGTAATTATTTCAGCAATTTAAAATACAAGTGGATCTTCACATCAACAATTCCGGCACACTTAAAATATTTATCAGGCAGTGAACCATTTTATTGTTAGAGAACACATTTAGATTACGCAGTGATAATAAATTTTTATATATACAAACTTTCATTTTAATGATGTTGTAATCTATATAATTAAATATTAATTAATATAAGAAGGGGCATTTACATAAACCCACGGAGGCCACAGGTTCCGAATCTATGTTTAATACTAATATTATGAAACAGAAAAGTTGGAATTTCAGTTACTATATAAGGTGTTTTCAAGGAATGAATTGCTCTTAGATTTTTTTCATTATTTAACAAATTCAGGATAACTTAAAATTACTAGAAAATATAGTATAATACTTAACCAGTTTCCGAATCAGGTCCGATTATATTTTGAGTATACACTGAATCCAATGTAACGGTCACATTTTTTTCAAATTCTATAGCGATAATTGTCTGAAAAATAATACCATTATAGATTAAATATTAAATGTTTAAAATTCTGTAATAATATATTTTTCACATAAATTTATTTATTTATTTTTTGGCGCTACGGTCCTACAAGAACCAGAGCCTCCCTTGTTATTCTTCTCCACTGTTCTCTATTTCGGGCAATTGTTCTCCATCTCCAGATTCCCATCCTTTTCAGGATGTTCTTCACCTCGTCCAGCCATCTCAGGCGCGGTCTTCCTCTGCCTTCTCTTCAACCAGGTCTACCATCCAGCAGGCATTGATTTTTCACATAAATGTTAACGTATTTATTTAATCATGACTAAGGAGAAAGAAGGGGCTGGTATAGCAGAGTGGTTAGCGTGCTATACTAGTAAAGCAAAGATCATAGGATCGAATCCTGGCCCTACTTCCCAATACGGCTGGTCCCCGCGGGAAGTGAGACCATTACCCTCTTAATTGGGGACTTGTAAAAACAGGCTATACAAAAAACAAAAAAAAAAAAAAAAAAAAAAAAAAAAAAAAATTGAGAAAGATGAATAAAGATATCTCTGGAACTTGCAAGGTTCCTAGGCACAGTGAAACATGTTAATCTACCTAAAATAAATTTTAAAAATCACCTGAATCAAATTGAACTGAGTATCAGAAACCATCTGGACCCTTTTGAAAGAAATGTTCTCCAGCATATAATTCAAACATCTTGTTAACTTAAATCTACTTATTTATTTTAAACAGCACTATTATTTCCATTTGAAACCCGTAGGGTCCTAGTCACCTCCTTAATTTTCCCCCACTTTGACTATTGCTGTACGGTAGGTACATGGGCGTCTCTGGGGATCTCGAGGCGAAACTAAAACGTTTGATAAATTGCTTTGTACGATTCATCTTCGGGATACCAAGGGACTCCTCTGTTTCCCATTTTTATGCAGAGTTGAAGTGGCTTTATCCTTCCTACATTCGTAAATATTTCCTGGAATCCTTCCTCTTTCAAGTCATCCAATCCCACCGTCCTTCATACATCTCTGAGCTCCTTCACTTCAAATCCTCTGTTCGTTCCCGGCCTTCTGACTTATACATAAGGGCCCACCGAACCGCTGCTTTCGACAGATCTTTCATTATCAGATCCTCATCCCTTTGGAACTCGATCCCCTCTCACATTCGTCTATCCAATACCCTTCCTACCTTTAAATCCCACCTGTTCAATCATTTCTTATCCATCCAGTCCCCAATTGTAAATAGATACTAATGTAAATATGTATATAAATTATTAGTTCGTTCTTCATTACTTTTACTTCATCCTTTTTTTTTCAATTTTTTATTATTAGCTGATTAAAATTAGAAAGTAACTTATAATTTTTCATTTTTTTACTATGACTGTTTAATTACTCTGCATTTTTATTTATGTATCTCTAAGGCTCCTTAGCCCATATTTATATCTTTCTGTAGTATTCTAAAGGGATTCGTCCCAGAATAAATAAAGTATTATTATTATTATTATGAACAGTTTTTGTGTTTTTTTTGCAGTTTTTGTGATCTTTAGATCACAATAGTTTTAAAGTGCTTATCAGAAATTTATGTAAGTTCATCATATTTATTTATTTTTCTAAGATCTTTTAATGTATTAAAAAAAAATAAATTATCAATTTTATTTTATCTCCGTTTTAAATTTCATTATGTTTTGGGCAGCTTAAGAGAAAAATACTAGTGTAGAAGTCCTTAAAATTTGTAGGTTACAGCAGAATCCACTTGATGGATTCTCCAGATTAGCCGCAGGTATTGGTAAAAGAAAAAGAAATTTTTGTTTAACATCTTTAAATACACTTATAACTTTGTGAGATTCTCAACCACTGGTTATAAATTTAATTATTTGTAGTAGGCAGCCCCCTGTATTTACTCTTTTATATGACATTGAGTGAGGAAATGAGAAGAAATATATAATATGTAGGAATGTGAATTGTACTCAATTATGCAGGGGACAAATTATTCATGGGAAAGTCTCATATCGATAAACAATCGATGAAGAAGGACGCTGGAAAAAGGAGAGCAGGTAGCTAGCAACAGCAGACGTCATCTGGGAAGAGAAGCTTACTACATTGAAGACTAAGAATATCAAGCCGACAGTTCACTTATATAGATTCATAATGATGTAGAGATGGTTGATCGTTGATATAATATGAGAAGGAGTTAGTCGAGGGTGCGGTCAAATAAATAATAAATTAAAATATATTAATTATTTTAATTTTTGACGATGTGTCAACTGCCTCCCGCAGTGCTACATCCTACGCCCTGAAGACGACCTGCAAAGTGGGTCGAAACATTGGTAAAAATTAAAATAATTAATATATTTTAATTTATTATTTATTTGACCGCACCCTCGACTAACTCCTTCTCATACATAGATTCATTTATTATCAGTTGTTAAAATAAATTGTTTTGTTAGACGGGAGTGAATAAAAGGACATTTAGTTGTCCTATAGGCCTCACAATTGAAGAATAACAAACCAGGTGAGTCAATTCATTCAAAGTGTATTTACTGAGTCCCACATTTCAAATATATATTCTTATTGTTTCTTGTCACTCAGTGTCACAAAAGGTATTAGATTCCTAAAATCCCAATGAAAGTTAAACACCCTCAAAAAGTCTATATCCAGTGACGGGGTTTTGTTTTAATAGTCAAGAGTGTAAATAATCTAGTTCCCCTGATATAAAGTGGAAGGCTAGGCGCGAATTCCCGCCAAAAAAAGTTATTTAAAATTAACTGTTAACATGCTATTTACATATTGTTGTGTTAAGGTTTGATAGACTTTAATTAGATTGAAATGTAGAAAAAAAGATTTTTGTTTATTATTTTTTTTTACAATTGACCTAACATCAATAAAACAAACCTATATAATTTAATGATGTAGAGATGGTTGACCGTAGATATAATATGAGAAGGAGTTGATTCGGGGGGTACGGTCAAATAAATACTAAATTAAACAAATATTATTATTTAATTTATTATTATTATTATTTAATTAAATGATACTATTTGTTTAATTTAGTATTTATTTGACCCCCTCCCCTCCCGATCAACTCCTTCTCATATATAATTTAATGAAGTAAAATTGATTCTTGAAACAAAATCCTCATCCTTTATTAATTTCATAGAAAAATGAAAAAAGAAATACTGCTTAGTTACCGATGCAGTACTCTAACTGTGTGAAACTGATGTTAAACATGACACATTATCTTGGAAAGGTTTTAGTCAAAGTATTTGTTTGTGTACTACGTTCTGTTTAAAGTTGTTCTACACCTTTTGTTCAATTAAGAAATGAGACAAAATGAGCGAAAAATAAAAATGAATTGGTGTGTCATCGAAAGTTATTTTATAAAGATTTTTCCTCAACATAGAAGTTATAATATTATTGAAGTACTTTTTTATTTTTTTTTTATACCCTCCATATTAACTAGTGATGTCTCGGTTCTAACGAGAACGAATAAGTGGGAGTCTACTATAGCTATCAGGCAGCAAAAATTACTATGTGAATGAATACTTTAACGATCACAATAAAATTTCAGTATATAGCTAGGACGTAGCAGAGTTGTTTCGGAAGTATACCGGATCTTGAAGTCCATAACAAAATCTTCAAAACACAATTTACTCCTTCTCAATGCATCAACATCTGAGTTTTGAAACCTCCCATTTTTTTCAATTAATTTTAATTAAAGTTATATTAATTGAAGGATTAAAATTGGGATTCTTAAATTCTTCATGAAATTCTCTTTTGTTTAATACCTCATTCATCAAAACTCATTACTCCTGAGAGCCAGAAAAGGAATTTATACTCCTGTATTTTATATAATGTAGATGGAATAAAAATAAAGCATAACTAAAAATAATAATTAATCAACTAATGCTGGAAGGAGAAGTTTAAAGTGAATAAGTATTTTATATACCTGAGAAAACACATTTCCACTGTTTTGGACCTTGAACAAATGACGAACAGGAGTTTTGTTGGCAGTAAATCCAATCCTGATAGGAGCATTCATTATCAGTGTTTCTGATAAGTAGTCATAGATACTAATAGATGGTAACTCTGAAGTTCCTTCGACAAGGAAATTGAAACTTGAATTTTCTATTGTGTAGGGTAAATCAAGTTCTATTTTAACCATGCCTCTATGAACCTGAAAGATTTTTTTTATATATCATAGGATATAATCAAGCAGTTTATATTAGGTTAGCAAATAAATCCTTTCAGTTTTTCTGTTTTGTTTGTCACTATGATACACTTCTTATCTGATGAATTAATCATTAAGGTGGATTGTTTATCCTGTTTGTAATATGTCAACAACTTTATCTGTTAACTCTTGTTAAAACTAGCGTAGTATTGTGTTTGCTATTGCACTGCGAATATGGAAGAAAATATCATTCATTATCGGCATATTTTGTTGTATTATTTTAAAAAAAGATAAGCGTGCTGCAGAAGCTCATAGAAAAATTTGCATGTGTTTATGGAGATGATGCCTTAACCAAACGTACCTGTCAAAATTGATATGCCAAATTTCATTCATGAAATTTTGCCGTTGATGCTCAATAGTCTGGTCGCCCACATGAAATTGAAATAAGCAATGTTAAGGCCATTGTTGATTAAAATACCACTCAATCAGTGAAAGAGATTGCTATGGCCCTAAATGTGTCGCACACAAGTGTAGAAAACCATTTGCAAAAGCTCAGCTATGTTTCCAGGCTTAATGTTTGGGCCCCTCACTCTCTAACCAAATTCAACTTGGCAACACGTGTTTCTGTTTATGATTCACTATGGAAACAGCAATAAAACAACCCATTTTTCAAAAGGTTGGTAACAGGAGATGAAAAATGGATAGTTTTTACGATAATGTAGTCCGTAGAAAATCTTGGGGACCTAGTAGTGAGGTTCCTAGAAGAATGTCAAAACCCGGATTGCATCCAAAGAAGATAATATTTTCCATATGATGGAATTTCAAGTGTGTTATTTTCTATGAGCTATTGCCATCAGGACAAACAATTGATTCAACTCTATACTGCTCACAATTAACAAAATTGGATCAATCAATTTAAAATAAATGTCCAGAATTGGCAAATCGGAAGGGTATTATATTCCACCAAGACAACGCTAGGCCCCACACTTTATTGTTCACTCACAATAAATTGAGCCTTGGATGGGACCTTTAGCCCCACCCTCCCTATTTACCAGATCTAGCTCCAAGTGACTACCAATTATTGTGGTCTCTGTAGAACTCCATGAATGGAAAGAAATTCCAAAAGGAAGAGGAGATCAAAAACCACTTGGATCAGTTTTTTTAACAATAAACTCCAGACATTCTATGAACATGGCATTATGCAGTTAATGAAAAGATGAGAAATTAAATAATATTAAATAATGGTCAATATATTTTAGATTAAAATAAATTTTATGTCTATAATAAATTGAGTTTTATTTCATCCTGAAAAACTGAAAGGACTTATTTGCCAACCCAATACATTTTTTTTAAATACTTAAAAAGTATCAACTATTGTGTCTAAGAGCACTGCTTGCTTAGCTTTGTTGTTATTTGGTTACTTTTTAAATCTACACAAATAATAAAAAAAACTAGTATGAATTGATTTGTTTTCAAACTCTTTCCAAAGTTCTGCCAAACAACTCTTCCAAATTGGTGACAGTATCTTCTACTCAAGTCAAGCTCCCTGGAAAATACTCTCTCTTGTAATTCTGAACAACTAGTCTCTCTACCAAACAACAACTTCTGAAATGGTAATACTATTTCTGGGTTTTATTCACTGGAGCCAGGATACCTTCTCTTAACCTCTCTTCACTGCTTGCACACAACTGCTTGCCAAAACAAAAACCTTTGTCCCTCTCCTCTTTGGGATTTTCCTTTTTAAGAAACTACAGAGTAGTCATTTTCTTTTCCCTGCACTAGTAGAACTAGATTAGCTTGCATTTCATTTGTCCAACATTAATTTATTAAACCCTTTTTACTCACTTCCAATAAAGGTGTACATTACAATATATAGCAGAATAGAAATTTTTTTGGGGGAATGTTACGCTATTACAAAGTCTTTGAATTGCATTTTTAATGGAGCTAAACCTTAATCCCTAGAGCTAATTTTTAAAAACTCATTAATGCCATTCAAATAACACAAACCCTATTTCTTATATTGACGGTAGACAATAAAAACTTCATAAATCCATCTGTTTTTGTAAAACTCATAAATCCAGTTTCTGAACAATGTATTTTTATATTTAACCTATTAACCTACACTTTCATATTTAACCTGTTGTACTATCAATTATTAAGCTCTTATTTTTCCATTGTAAAGTTTAATAAAATGAAGAAATGAGATTTTCATTGCAGAAGTAATTTTTTTTTTTTATGTAGTGGATCAAATTTGTTGAAATTGAAAATCACTTAATCATTCATTTATCAACTCTTAACTTTCTTCTAAATTTGGGCTAATTCGAACAAGTGGTTATTGAGAAATAAGCGTATCGAAGTGCAATTTTGAGAGAAAATTGTGAATAAAATTCAATAAAAATGATACAGCATCATTTTTTTTACCAATACCCACATTAAAGATAATATATTTTCATGTGGCTAACCGAAGGTATTAGATGGAATTTGATGAAATTGATACGGGACCGTCTAGGCACCTACCCGCACAATTCTTGAAGCTTTTATGAAAATGAGATAAACGGAAGTACGTGATATGCCTGTCACATCGATTTGACAACAGACAGACAGACACCAAACCAAATTTGATTCTTGATGTATGAAACGTAAAATGTGAGTGAAAATGTTTGATTCTGAGCATAAAAATTACAAATAAATAAGAAGGGTGTCGTGCAATAGATGATCGTACTTCCTGCTTGGTCATGGATATACTACAAACATAAAGCTAATAAATTGTGAATATTTAGTCCTTAATTTCTTCTAAAGCATAGTCACAGACTTCGGAAAGGGGGTGAAAATATTGTTTCCCCCCCACACAATATTTTGAAGCAAAAATAATAAAATCAAAATTAATTAAGAAAATAGGACAAGTTGACTAAATGGTTAAGCTGAGGCCTAGAAGTAAGTATGCCAGTATTTTACCACACCCTATGTTACTATTATTGAAATTTTAGTTTATATTCAAAGATAATTAATTATATGTAGCAAGATATCCTAGGATTTTATGAATCATCTTTTTACATCCTTCTATTTTTATATAAATATTTTATCACGTCAATTTGAAGAATCAAGGAATTGAACGTTCATCTCACTGCCTCAAACCTTCAAGTAAAAATAAAAATATATAATATATTCAATTGCTTTGGGAACATATCAAATATATCCACATGAAAAATAAATAATATACAAACATATGTAAGTTTATTTTTATATATAGTATTATATGTATATTGTTCGTTTTATAGTAATTTTGTTGACTATGTTAATTATCGCTCATAATTTGTTTACATAATGTGAACTTCCGAGATTTTTTTTAGGGGAGATCCATCGTCTCCTTCTCTCCAACCAGAATGAAAAGTCTGTGGCTATGAGCTGCCTAAAATATGTATATCTCACATGAGGCTACATTAAATAATGCTGAAAGTATGGTTTGTTTAACGTTAAAAATATAAAAATTATTATAGCATACATTTAATTCACCATCGTTTGAAATATTGATAACATTTATTTTATAAAGACACATCATTTATGAAATTGCAAACCAAAAATACCAGAACAATTTTTTTTATATCTATAATTAAAATTTATTTTACAAACATCAGTTTTACATAAATGAAAAACAAACAAAAAATGGACTACTTACCTCTAACTGTTGAGGTGAATATGTCAAAGTAACTATTTCTGTTAGATACGGTTTAATAAATAGAGTAGGTGGTTGTACACTGAATCCTTCGCCATTCACTATCACAGAAACATTACATCCCAGCTGACTCTTGTTTTCAATAAATATATCAATATTAACTGTTTGATACAATGATACATTTCTTAAGTATAATGTACCTTCTATATTTATGAATACAGCAACAAAACGACCCTAATAAAAAAATAAAATAAAATCAAGATGTGAAAGTATGTAAATAATTTATTTTCAAGTAACAATCTAATAATAATATTATAGTGGTTTTGAAAGTCGAGAGTTACGAAATAGCAAAAGTTATTTAAAAAATCTAGAATTGTAACAGTCTCTAGCTTTTCGACTAATTAAATGATGAAAGAATTTTCAAAAAGAAACTGAAACTTTCTTTAAGTTATAAAAGCCTCATAAAAGAAACTCGCAGGAAAATTAGTATATACCTAGTCCTATCATAAATATTGTAACAAGGTAATATATACAGATTTCAACAGAAAAATTAACTTTTTCAAAAACTTTATTAAAAAATAAAATGTATACATATATAGAGAGTAAAGCAAAAAAGAAATTACTCAAAATGTACCATTTTTGCCTTGACACAGGCATTTGATCTCTGTGGCCAGTCATCAATAACAGCACGCAGCACTTCTTGAGGAAAGCGCTCAACTGCCCGGTACAGAGATTGCTTGACGTTTTTCATGTTAGAGAGTGCTCTGTGGTATGCCATCCTCTCCAGTTCGGACCAAAGCCGATAATCTAGTGGGTTGAGATCAGGGCTTCCTAAGGGCCAATCCGAGGCAGAGATGAATTGTTATTTTGCAGCCACTGCTGAGTTGACCTGGCCTTGTGAGTTGGAGTGGAATACTGCTGGAAAACCCAATGACTTCCAGCAAACAGAGTATCATTCAGAGGCTTGACAACAGGTTCCAAAATATTGTCCTGATAGTTTTTAGCAGCTGTTTTAACTCCTTTTTCACAAAAATGGAGCTTTGTGGTTCCATCAAAGCAAACTATTACTGAGGAAGGGTGATGATCTCTTTCCACTCTTAGAATGACTTTCTGGACTTCTTTAGAGCTGTGTGCGTACACACAATCATTTTGGTGGATTACATATTTCTTCAATTGTAAAAATTTCCTCATTACTAAACAAAATCATTCAATGAAGACCATTGTTGTAACGGCCAAAGAGCACTTTGCATCTATTATCCACTATAATTTTAGGGTGATTATACCTATAGGGTCTCATTATACGTATTTATAGTATACACGAACATATGGCGGTACCCAAAGGTTTCAGTGTTGAAAATCTCTGACCTACATTTTCCAACTTTGTGTAAGGCGATCGCAGCTATTCGGTTTTCTTTAACACCCCACTCCATCTTAACTGAGCGAAAGAAAAATACAAACTAATTGGGATTATTATCCTGACATGTAAAGAAAATAACCCGATAGAGGTAAGGATTATCTAAATAATACCCAAGGATGTAAACAAAGTTCAACTTTTGTAACAGAATTTATGGCAGAACTAGGTAGATGTAGTTATGCTAATCCTCAGGTTGAGTTCATAGACCAGTTAGTTATAATATAAACCAGTGATAAGGTTGTACCGTCCTCCTTTATTTATTAATAATCATCCTATCCTATCACCTTCAGCTCTTCTGTAAAAAACTTAGGGTTAACATTGACGAAAATTCCTGCTGGAATACTCATATTGCCCATATCCCTAAAGATAAATATGTACGTTTAAGTTATTTCATCGTTCCTGACATCATCTTCCACAACCTATTCCCAAGCTCCTTGTTTCATCATTGATTTTCTCCATCTTTGACAATGGCTATGCAGTATATGATAGCCACTCGATTGTATTCGATGATAGACTGAAGTGAATCTTGCTTATTAAGATTTGTCTACAGTACTTAAAGGTCTCATGTGTCCCACCTGTTTGGCAAGCTAAAGGTATTATTTCGCTGGTACTGCCCATGACGACTGCTATTTCACGCTGCCAACCGCTATTTCACTGAAACTGCTCACTGGGGTAGTTATAACCTTCGAACATTTTGTTATAACTACAAAAATAAAAAAATGGACTTACTATACTATACTACTATATTTTACTACCGCTTTTTTATTAGAAGAGGAAATGTTGTTGATAAGAAGACGGAATATCAGCAATATATTCTGAACAAGAAAGCAGGAAGGGTTTTATATGAAATTGATAACTACTCATTTGACGGGTGGCAAAGAGAAATTAAGAAATTTTTTTAGATTGAATAAATGTCAATTCAATTTTGCTTTGAATATGATAGAAAATTATATAGTAATTATTACATAATTGATTAGTAATAAATATCATATATTTGTAATGAAATCAGAGCAGGCAATGTTTTATTATATTATTAATAGTAATCAGTAAATCAGCACTATAATAAAAAAATACAACTCAATTTTTCAATGTGTGGATTTTAGTGTTTACCTGACGTTAAAATTTTTTTAATTATTTAAATTAATTAATGTCATTTGGGTTTAGGTATGTATGAATTTTGCTGTAAAATACTGTTGGTTGAATAAATAAATAAATAATCTTGTTATTTCAACCTTAAAAAAATAATTTACTATTGCGTTGTTTAAGTTTTAAACAATATTTCTTATAATTTTGCCAGACTTGAAAGAAACATAGGAAATAAAACGTATCAAGGTGACTGTTATCATTAAAACAATGCTCCGATATGATAACATAGCCTATAACTGCCGAACCACCAGCAGCTCCACTGCTTCAGGAGCGGTCAGATAAGAACAGCCTAGATATGACGTCATACCTAGACTGTCGAGGAGCACCAACGAAATAGGTTCCTTTCTAATCCACTAAAGCAGTGATCAAATGCAAGTGGTTGCTGCCGTGGGCAGTAAGTGGCTTTTCTCCTCCTTCCTCTGAGAATACTTCCTCGGATCTTTTTCATACTTCAATTCTCAGCATCCTCCCTGTATTTACCATCTTCTTCAGCTCAAACATCCATTAAACTCACAGAAAACAAGAACCCATGTTGCTGACAACTGCCTCCCGCAGAACTAAAACCTTCGAACTTCCTTCCCTTGCCTTCTGGAATTCCCTTCCATCTAACATGTAACACTCCTCTTCTCTGCCAACATTCAAATATTTCCTTTCCCAATATTTAAATCCTAAACAGACATTCTATAATTGTAAAATTTCATTTTATTAATGGAATTTTGATAGAAGTAAATAGAAGTTCCTAATTTTTAATACCAATTTTTTTTAATATATTTTAATACCGAAATCCAATGATTTTTCATATTTTTTTTCTTTTCTTCAATCAAGTTATGTTTTTTCTCTCTATAAATTTTTTTCATTTTAATTATATTTGATTTTGGGAAGATTTTATTTTCAGTCGTTTATATATTATTATTGATGTTATTGTACATATTGTTAGAATTTTTGTTAATGTAGTTTCCTATCAGATATGATTTTTTTTTTTTTTGTTGTTCTTTATTGTTATTCGTAGTGGACCGTATCCCAGAATAAAGTTTATTTTTCTATTTATCTTCTTTATATTGTAACATCTCTCTTATATTTTACAAATAATAATAATATAACCTCGGAAACTCACTTCTTACCATTGGGATACTTCCTATAAATAAATAAGAGAATGAAAATATTTATTTATCTCAGGTTTGTGTTACTGACAATCAGATCAACTCAGAAAAGTATTATTATTTACACTATTTATACTAAAATTAAACACTGATTTTAAAATAAAGTCAAGTATGAATTGGCAAGCTAACCTTTTTTCTATAAACACTGTTTCTTCCTTTGTTGCACTAAATTCATTTGCCTTCAAATGCTTTCCAATATTCTGCCAAACACAATTTCTAAATTGGTGACAGTATCTTCTACTCAAGTCAAGCTCCCTGGGAGATACTCTCTCTTGTAATTTCGAACAACTAGTCTCTCTACCAAACAACAATTTCCGAAATGGTAATACTATTTCTGGATTTTATCCACTGGAGCCAGGATACCTTCTCTTAACCTCTCATCACTGCAGTCACACAACAACTGCTTGTTAAAACAAAAACCTTTGTCCCTTCCTCTTTGGATTTTTCCTTCTTGGGAAATTACAGAGTAGCCATTTTCTTTTCCCTGCACTAGTAGAACTAGATTAGCTTGCCTCTTAATTGTTCAACATTAATTTATTGAACCCTTTTTACTCACTTCCAATAAAGGTGTACATTAAAATATCTACAAGCATCCAGTAAAAATTGTATTTCAAAAATAATAATTTCATTTATAGCTCAATGACAAAACAATCAATAAATTGTGAAATTTAATTTAACAAAACTTTATATTTCTAACAAGAAATTGACAGTTTTAAATAATCTTAATGTTAATTGAGCTGTTGAAAGCAATATAATTATATAGTCATATATGAAACCAAGGTATCAATATTACAAAATTACAAATAACCAGGAATGAAAAATAATACAAACATTGTTAGGGAAATCGGAAAGTTCCTGTCTCGTGTTAAAAATATTCAATTCTCTGAATAATGATTCAATATCAAAATTCAAAACGGGTGCTATTCCCCTAAAACAAATAGAAATTCTTTGGGAGTTTTCCGGAAGCTCAGGAATGGTCAACAATATTCCCTGTAAAACAAATAATTATTATAAGATTAATGAACACTAGTATATTATAGTTAATTATTCATTATTTTGTTTGATCATGTGATTTAAGAATGATGCAAATAATTTATAAAGAGTTCATTTAAAATATATGAATTTTATATCTATTTTCGAATTCGTATTGAAAACAATGCAACATTTTGAACCCATATATTAATACTCAATATCATAGGTGGAGAACCTGTGGCCTCCTTAAGTATTGTAAAGTTTATTAATATTTAATTATTTATGTACTGGAAATTTGAAAATTAATAGATTTAAGTTGAATATATGTACATGGATGGTATGTATTAATCTAAAATAAAACTTTATTTTACCTGAACGATTTTCTGAGCAGCTTTGGGCATGCAAACAACTTCATAAATTTCTTGGTTTCCTGGTAAAATATTTCCTTTACCTTTACTAATTTTTAATGGAGGAAGAGATATTGTATTTTTTAAAGATGATTCCTAAAAATATAAGCATTATTTATTATTATTATCATCTTTATTATATTAGCATTTGCCGATTGGAAGCTGAAGGCGGGGGACAAGTCCAACCACCTAAAGATATATTGGGTTGGCAAATAAGTCCATTTGTATTTCTGTTTTTTTTTTTATATCACTATGATATACTTCTTATCTGATGAATTAATCCCTAACGTGGATTGCTTATCCTGTTTGTAATATGCTAACAACTATATCTGTTAACTTTTGTTAAAACTAGCTCAGTTCTGTGTTTGCTATTGCACTGTGAAAATGGAAGAAAATATCATTCATTATCGGCATATTTTGTTGTATTATTTTAAAAAAGGTAAGAGCACTGCAGAAGATTATAGAAACATTTGCAGTGTTTATAAGGATGATGCCTTAACCGAATGCACCTGTCAAAATTGGTTTACCAAATTTCATTCAGGAAATTTTGACATCAATGATGCTCAATGGTCTGGTCCCCCACATGAAATCGAAATGAACTATGTTATGGCCATTGTAGATCAAAATCCCACCCAATCAGTGCGAGAGATTGCTATGGCCCTAAATATGTCGCACACAAGTAGAAAATCATTTGCAAAAGCTCGACTATGTTTCCAGGCTTAATGTTTGGCTCTCTCACATGACTGGTTTTTCTAAAATCACAAAAAATATTATAACTTCAATATGACTTTAGCTATCTACAAGTAATTAAGCAGGAATTTAGGGCTAAACTACACAAAATGACTTTAACAGGACTTTCAAAAACAATCTAGAAATGAAGATAAAAAATAAAAACCTATAAGGAGTTTTTGTTTATTTATTCCTTATGTAGGCATTAAATAAAAATAAAAAAACATTCATACGGTTTTGAATAGCAATAATTCAGCTTTCCAATAGATATAGTAACATCCCATTTGGAGAACATCCTGAAGAGTTATAAATGATCGGAAGGGTGCTGTGTTCCACCAAGACAACACTAGGCCTCACACATCATTGGTCCCTCGCAATAAATTATTGAGCCTTGTATCTTTTGCCCCACCCTCCCTATTCACTAGACCTAGCTCCAAGTGACTACCACTTATTCCGGTCTCTGCAGAACTCCATAAATGGAAAGAAATTCTCAAAAGAAGAGGACATCAAAAACCACTTGGATCAGTTTTTTAACAATAAACTCCAGACATTCTATGAACATGGCATTATGCAGTTAGTGGAAAAATGGGAAAAAGTCATATTAAATAATAGTCAATATATTGTAGATTAAAATAAATTTTATGTCTATAATAAATTGAGTTTTATTTCATCCTGAAAAACTGAAAGGACTTATTTGCCAACCCAATACATTTTTTTTAAATACTTAAAAAGTATCAACTATTGTGTCTAAGAGCACTGCTTGCTTAGCTTTGTTGTTATTTGGTTACTTTTTAAATCTACACAAATAATTAAAAAAAACTAGTACCGTCATGTTTTTTTTTCTTAATATTAACAATATCCATGAACTATTTAACCCATAAGATCTTAATTTTTGAAGCTAGATTATCAAGACAATAATATGGATTTCAAATACGTAACAGGGCCTTCTGGATCACAATCAATGTTCCTTATAAGCTTACTATGAATCCTCCAAGTATAAATTAGTCCCCATGCATGAGGGGAGGAGGGAGGCGATTCACCGCTAAAGACTTAAAATATATTATAGTGATTTATACAAGAGTATATTTTGACATTGTACATTCTAAATTATATTTATGTATATCAAATTTACATAAAAAAAGAAGGTTCTACATAATTTGAGAACGGGCACCAGTTTTTGACCAATAAAATTCAAGAGAATGACTTCAAACCTACATCGGACTATTTAAAGATCATCAGACTGCTGACGAGCAATAAGTTGGCTAGTCATTCTTCAAACATAAGTGAAATGAACTCAGTTATTACTAGTTGAAGATATAATTGAAAAGTTAGTTTTCAAATTAGTATATATAAGTAAATTAGTTAACAGTTCACTTGAGAATTTATTACTTACGTTAGTGAAAGCTAAGTTATTATTGAAAAATGATTGAATAAAATAATTAACATTAGAGAAGAGTAAATAGTCGACTGATCAATTATGAGGATGAAATAAAATTGTCAGGAATTTCAGTCACAATAATATTTATAGAGTTAGCAGACATTTTGACCCAATCCCGTGGGTCATCACTAGTTTCTCCACAACACTGCTTTTTCTTCTTCACTACATTCTATCTCCACATTTGATAATGTACATACAAGAACTGAGCCCTGATGATGACCCACAGGTCTGGGCCAAAACGTCGGCTAACCGAATAAATATTTATATATATATAACAGTCTGGCCAGAGACGGCGTACAGTTCACATCACTCCCGTGAAATTCAGTCATTTTTTACATAAAACAATCTATTTCATAAAATGTTCTACAGTGATTTCTCACAATAGTATTTTTGTTTCTAATCCACCATAGTTGCGTATTATATTTATTAACGAATCATTAATACATAGAAGAAAGTTCATGAAACATCTGCAGCAGAGAGAAGAGAAGTAGCTAATTCCCTTAAGCCGGAGAGTATTAAAGGCCATCAACACGCCTTAATGATAAACAACACTTTCCTTGCGTAAGTAAATATTTTTTTCACTTTCAACAAAACGGCGCAATACTCAACTTGTGACGGCCCTATCGTAGTCAAAGTGGCTCTTCTCCTCTTCCCGCCGCCTTTACTTCCTTGGAAATTTCTTATTTCAAACGATCAACTCCCAGCACCCTTCCTATATCTACTGCCTCCTCCAGCCGAAACCTTTAGCCCACTCAATAAAAACGAGATCCCGTGATTCTGACCTCTATATTCCATTCCACAGGACAAAAACCTATGAACGTTCCTTCTTAGCCCGCTCCGTCACCTACTGGAATTCTTTGCCACATAACATCCGTCATGCCTCTTCACTGTAAACCTTCAAATACCTCCTTTTCTAATATCTCCTCACATCCTAAACAGACGATTCGCAACCATAAATTTCATTTTATAAACTGAATTTGTGAGAAGTAAATGGTGATGCCTACAGTTTAAGTTTTAACATAAACCAGCAATGATCTTTGACTATTATTTTTACTATTTATTTGTATTTCTCTTCACCTCACGTGCTTTTTCTTTCGGGTATATATGGTTTATATTTTATACTTTTTGTCTCTCTGTGTACCAATATGAGTAAGTACATATATATAGTCCCTTTTTTACCTTTATACAACAATTATTCCTAAGATTTTATTTTATCTTAGTGTTTGCTTATTATTGTATGAATCACTGTAAATATTATTACATTTTGTATTATTAAATTATGAATCTATTAGATAGCCTATTGTTTATAAATTGTGCAGTTATGTATATATAGATATGTAATTTCTTTTCTGTCTTTTTTTTTTTTTTTATCATAATAATAAGTAAATTTGGAGAAGATTGTATGTTCATTTATATATGTATGTATGTATGTGTATATGTGTGTGTATATATATGTATGTGTATGTATGTATATGTGCGTGTATTTATATATATATGTATATTTTTTTTGTTTATTTCTTAGTGGTTACATACTACTTTTTAAATAATGTATATTATGTTAGAATTTTTATAAGTTAGTTTTTGGCCAGATTGGTATTTTATTTTGTATTAATTCATCTTTGTTATTCTAAGTGGACTTAGTCCCAGAATAAAGTTCTATTTCTATTCTATATATTATTTATTTAAATATTTATATAATAAATATAAAAAATGAGACTGAAATTACTGATAATTTTGTTTCATCCTTATAATTAACAATTTAATAAACAATTACAATTAAATAAACCTATTAATTAAATTCAGTCTGTAATACTTTATTTATGGCTTGATGTTACAGGATTGAATTTTAATTTAATAAAAAAGACAAACGTCAAATGAGGACTAAAAAATAAAAATAAAACTATTGACCAGATGAGCTATCCCTATGTACTGTTTTCATTTTCCGCCACTAATTTTATGAGTACAGAATCCTCAAATTGAGTACTTTGTACATTCAGGGATATTGCGTCATTTTTTATAATTATTTTCTTAATTTCTAATTTTTCAATGAAGTCCATTCTTTTCCCTTTTGAAGTGGCAACAGTTTTACCTTATTACTTTTTTGTGGAATTTTTTTGGTTCCTCGCCGTTAAGGCTATACGGGGTTTTCCTGGACCAGGGAGTGTGGTCGTGGATTTAAAAGATGCCTTGGCACCGGGACGCGAACTCGTGACTATTTTTATAATATTTGTCATATATCAGGTTGCCGGGCAACGGTGGTGCTGTGCACACGCGTAAGCCCATTCGGCCGCCCCGCCCACATTTTTTGTGGATGTGAACATTTAAAAAAATTATCTTTAAAATTTGATGCATGGCCTGAACCACAGAAGTATTGTTTAATTCTGCTTTTTAGATTTTTTCCCGCCTGCCCGATATAAACGACAGAACATCGATTTGATCCTTTAAATAATAGTGGGGTCTACTTGATATAATGTTCATGTTCAGCCGTTTATATCAGGCAGACAGGAAGAAGATCCTCATTTGACAAGCAGGAGAGGAGGACCACCATAAATTAGGTGATTACCATTTTTATTAATTATTTTATTAAAATTGGATTTTAAATTGTTAAATTACATTTTATGATTATTTGCAAAAGTCTTTATTGTTGTTAATTTTATTATTTACCTAGCCTGATGAAGGTATGATAAAAGTCTGAAACCGGTTGTGCAAAAGTGAACAATAAAAGAAAAGACAGGAAGACAATGTCATTTTTATTAAATTATACTTTAATTATGTTTACTGCAAATTAAGTATGAATGCGCTCTCTGATATCTATTATAAATGTTCTTAATTGAGACAGAATATAATATCTCTCAATACAAAAGTTAGTAAAAAACAAAACAAATTCTACTGAATATTTAATAGTTGACCGTTGCATTATAAAAGAAGGAGATGGTCCAGGATGGCGGTCATAAATAGGCCAGAACTGAAACTCCAGTTCTAAGTGAAACTCCTTGCTGAACACACCTCCCTCAAGAAGACCTGCAAAGTCGGGTTGAAACGTTGGCTTTTAATAAAAATAGTTTTACTACTATTTAGTCTATTCATGACCGCCACCCCAGACCATCTCTTTCCTTTAAAAAAAGTCTATAATTACGTACTTACTACAAGCTCATTCTGAAATATGAAAGAAATGATATTTACTTGAACCATTGACAAATTAAGTGAAGGGTAAGCATTATTTAAATAAACTGAACTGGGCTTTAAAATTTTAAATGAATAATTAAAATCAACGAAACCAATATTTTCCAATGTTAAGAAGAGTTTCTTTATGGTACCAATTTCCACATTGCCGAAATCTATAAAATCTCCTGGATACAAAGCATATCTGAAAGAATTAAACTTTTTAAAATCCAAATGACAATAGACATTTTTTAAATTATAATAACAGAACAATTTAATAATAATAATGCTTTATTTATTCTGGGATGAGTCCCTTTAGAATAATACAGAAAGACAAAAATGTGGGCTAAGGAGCCTCAGAGATACATAAACAAGAATATAGTTTGATTAAATAGTCAAAATAAAAGAAATTATAAGATACTTATTAATTTAAATCAGTTAATAATAAAAAATTGAAAATAAACATGAAGCAAAAATAATGAAAAACGATCTAATAATTTATATACATATTTACAGTAGTAACTACTTACAATTTTATGAGGACTAGATGGATAAGAAATGATTAAACAGTCGGGATTTAAAGGTAGGAAGGGTTTTGGATTGACAAATGTGGGGAGGGATGGAGTTCCACAGGGTTGAGGATCGAATAATAAAATATTTATCAAAAGCAGCGGTTCAGTGGACCATTATATATAAATCTGAAGACTGGAAACGGGTATTGCGGGAGTGGACAGAGGCCCCTGCCCATTCATATATTCTATTTAAATCTTCTTGAAGCGTTTTTGTGGCGGCTAATAGGTCAGAAGGGGAGAACGACAGGTATATTTGGAAATCATCTGCATAGATGTGGTATTGGGAGTGACGGATCAGGAGAGGAAGGTCATTAATATAAATAGCAAACAGAGTAGGAGATAAGGAGGAACCCTGAGGGACACCATAGGAGAGGAGAAGTGTCTTTGAAGGAGGTTGATCTAGGACGACTACAAATTGAGATCGATCAGAAAGGAAGGATTTGAACCAACGCAGGACACTGTTCGATAGAGGAAGATTTTGCAGTTTGGTAAGAAGGATGAGGATAGTTAGGTTTTGGTGTTCAATGGAGTTTTGGAGGACCAATATGCATGTCATCTTTTCTAATGAAGACACAGGAAAAGATTCTGGACAGGTATATAAGAGAACAATTAGTGAATTCTAATTCCTTATGTTTCAATCAATTCGCATACCAATCTGGGAAATCATGCGAAGCTGCAATACATAATTTGGTTTCAAAGATTGAAAAATCCATGAATTAGAAGGAAATAATGATTGGTACCTTTGTAGATATAGAAGGTGACTTTGATAGGACTCCTTACAAAACTATCATGAGTACTTTAAGGACAAGAAAAATAGATCCACTCGTCACCAAATGGATTGGCAACATGTTGTTTACAAGAATTCTCAAAACTGAACTAGGACACACCGTAATGTGGATCAAATCTGCGGGAGGTTGTCCATAGGGAGGTGTGCTCTCTCCATTACTGTGGTGCTTGGTGGTGGACTCCTTGCTCTTAAAAATAAATACTGCAGGCTTTTATGCACAAGGATATGCTGATGACATCGCTATTCTTATACGTGGAAAATATCAGAATGTTCTTTCTGATGTATGGAGGAATGCGACAGGTGTCTTGGAGGGATGGTGCCATTCTACTGGACTGAGTGTTAACCCCACCAAGAAAGACGTTTGTATATTTACAAAGAACAAAAAGGTACAAGTAAGACTATCTAAAATAAACAACATTCAGCTAACAGTAAGTAAGAAAATCAAACACCTAGGTGTTTAAAATGATGTATAATAAACAATAAAATGATGTGGAATAAACAACTAATAAAGCAATAAAATGCATTTGGGCACGTAAGAATCCTGTTGGGAAGTCATGGGGATTATAACGTCAGATGGTCAACTGGCTGTATGTCAGTGGTAAACCCTGTGCTTTTATATTCAACGGTGGCATAGTGGCCCATTCAAGAGTGGGCCACAATAGGATAAAGTTGAAACAAATACAGAGATTAGCCTGTTTAATGAAAACTACTCAAACTGCAGCCACGGAGATAATCTTAGGTCTATTACCTCTGCAATTGGAGATTGAAAAGCAGGCTTTGAAAACTTTTTACATGCTACAAAAATTAAACTTACGTTCAAAGACAAACACCCTGGAGGGACATTGGAAAATAATTTAAAAATTGAGGAAGACAGGCTGCTCACAATGCATTCTGTCACTCAACCCAAGAATTTTTTACAAAGAGGTATTATGTAAAAATAGAAAACCCATTAATGGGATTAATTGTTATACTGAAGGGTCACTTATGACATGCGGATCTGGTGCTGGTTTTTGAAGAAAGCATGAATCAGAGGAAGGGATGTCAATATCACTTGGCAATTATGCAACGATGTTCCAATCTGAAATACTGGCAATAACTCACTGTGTCTCAAAAATGTTGCTTGACGGGTTAGCTGGGAGGAAAATTTCCATATATATACCGACAGTCAAGTGGTTGGTTATATGAGCACTGAACAACTATAAAACTAGATCTAAGGCTGTTGAGGATTGTGTGAAATTCTCAATGACTTATCCAGACTTAATAAGGTAAACATTGAATGGGTTCCGGGTCACTCTGGAATAAAAGGTAATGAGATGGCGGATGAACTAGCCAGACTAGGCTCACAAAAGATTCACATAGCTCCTGAACCCATCTGTGGAATTATTCAGTGTCTAATAAAAAACAGAATTGGGGAGATTTATGGTGCTGAAGCTAAAAAGAACTGGTGCTTGAAAAAACAGACTCACTCTAGATTGTTTCTAGAAGGAATCTGTCAGAAAAGAAGCAACCAACTAATTAATTTGAACAGGGGCTCACGTAAGAAAATTACAGCGGTATATACTGGACACTGTAAACTGAATTAATCTCCAGCTCATGGAGTCATCTCTTTGTAGGTACTGTGGTCAGGAGGATGAAACGGCTTGTCATATAACTTGTTGGTGCAAAGGTTTGCTGGATTAAGATTCCGACTATTCGGCATTGATCTCAAGGCAGACGAGCTCATCAACCCAACAAGCTTGCTACAGGTCTGAGACTGCAGGAATTACGCTCTGAGACCGCAGTGCATCCATGCAGTTAGAAAAAAAGCCTTTAGATTAAAACTCCTCCTTATCTTCTTTATGGGGAGTGGGGTAGCTCAGTGGTAGGGTATTGAGGTTCCAATGCTAAAGGTCCCAGGTTCGAACCACGACTCATGGCAGAAAATTACAGTATCGCGACCCTGTGGTAGCGAGACCCTCCTGGGGCATAACCATCCTCCATAAAGTGGGTTAATTAATAAGTTGTAGTGCTACAGTTTTTTTTTTTTTATATTCTCGTACCTCGTCACCAGTAACCAATTCTGTTGTCAGGAATTCATATATCATATATCATAATATAATCTTAAATATATTTCTTTTCATTTTAGGTTTATATCCTTCTTTTTATTTCCAAGCAACAGGAATCATAATGTTAGAATGCTGAACTACTTTTAATGCCTCTCCTCCAAGGATCGCAAAACACAGGATAATATTAATTCTGTCTTCTGAGTGATAATAACCAGCCCTCTATTTTAGACTTATCAGCATTTTAGACCTGCATTATGTTATATATTCTTATCGGCTTGACACTTTAATTTTATTTGGTTTTGTGTTTTGGCAAATTGAAAAAAATAAATAGCGATTTACTGTTCTAAAATTAAATAAAAAGAAACATTAGGTGTAAGGCCTTAGCATTTGGAAGCGTCCTTAATTAAATAAAAATTTCTTATGTGATCCGCAGAACTATCTACATATCTATCTGTTTCATTGGTCGTGGGGTGACCCTGGGTCGGGAGACCCTCCTGGGGTACACCCAGCCTCTATAAAGTGAGTAGCCTTAATTAAATAGTTGATTAAGGGGGAAAACCTAGCAGTTGAGCGTGACCTCGGTCAAATCACATCCTTGCACAACCATTGACCTAGAAACAGTGCTTTCCCTAAATAGTACTGAACCCAAGACCCTTCATGGGTTGTAGTGGTACAGGTATTTTTATCTTCTTTATTTCTTGTATAGACAAATGAATATTCTAATTTTCCTTTTTTAATATAAAATTAACTCGTTATTGCCAAATATTCGCCCCTAATAATAAGTCATATTACGTTATGCCTTTCATTGCTAATAGATTTTGTCCCGTGTATCGACGAATGTCAACTTTCGAAATAGTCTTGAGTTTCGCTCAGGGGTATTCGCTTGAATTCTGTTATGCCTCTAATTTACAAATACCTAATAAATCAAGGATTCAAAGTTATTAAAGAAATCTTTATCGCAACTCATTTCCAATATTTTAATCCACTGTCAACAAATACCACATAAAAATGAATTGATTATTAATAAAATAATTGAAATAAAAACATACTTTGGAAAATGTGAATGAAATGAAAAAATCAATGGAATCTCAGCTATTTTCAAATTTGAATCGAATGGAGAATATATTTCGACAAATATGGCTTTTACTTTCTCAAAATATACCTCATCCTTACAAAAAACTTCAACCTGAAAAATAAATATTTTTAAACTTATTCAAAATCAGATTTAACTTTTCACTGTAAAAAATAACAATCAAAATAATTAGTCATCGCCTTACTACTATATACTAACCTCAAAATATACTTTTTTCGTATGAATATATCCTTCAAGCGGAAAATTTATTGTTATGCTATCAGATACTTTGTTCTGCTCATGGGCCGCAAAACGGATTCTAGAAAAAATAAAATATAGTTAAACAATAAGGTTAATTTAACTACTATTTATATATAGGTTTATAGAATAGATTTTGGCTTTTATCTACTTTAAGCACACTACTGATGCTATTTTTTTCTCTTTTTGCTTCTCTAACATAGTGTCGTGTTAAGATTTTTTTAATAATAGCTCATTAGAAAGAGAATGAAATGGTGAACATTTCTCCATGATTACAGTATGCAGCTCTGAATTTTATTTTCTGAGATATTTTAGTCCATACCTATTTTTCCCTTTTCGCCTCTCTAACACAGTGCACGTTGAAATCCAATTTTAAATAATAGTCTATAATAGCTCCAATAATATTACTATCATACAAAGAATATGAAATGGTGAACATTTCCCTAACTTACAGTTGTAGTAGATAGCTTCTATCTACTCTTTTATTTGACATTGAGTGAGGGAATGAGAAGTAGTGTATAGGAATGTAGGGTTGCACTATTGGTAATTGGACTCAATCATGCAGTGGACGTTAGTGACAATTAGTGAAAAGTATCAAATCTATAAACAATCGACAGAAAAGGCACAGAATAAAGAAAGGAAGAAGCCTGGAAAAGTTCCGGCAGGTTGCAGCAGCTGGAGAGAGACGCTAGTAGATAGAAGAACAAAGGAAGGATACTTGAGACGAGGACGTTAACACGGAATGAGGGAAGCCCACACCACTGAAGATTAAGACAAGACCTTAATAGATCATTCATTACAGTTGTTAAAAATAAATTATCTTTGATATACAGGAGCCGATGTTCCTTTTACTTAGTTGTCCTATATGCCTCACAATCGAAGAACAACAAACCAAGTTAGTCAATTCATATAAAGTGTATTTGCTCAGTCCCATATTTCATATATATATATATTGTAATGTCAACATTACATGGCATTTAAATAGTGGCGCACGTGCGGATGGTGGGGGAAGCAAGCCTCATGTAACTCAGAATGTGACGGGCCGCCAAGAGAGAAGGTGGTAGCGGCCAAGAGAGAAGGTTATGAGCCGCCAAGAGAAAATTTGACAAGCTGTCAAGAGAGAAGGTACTAGCCAGCAAGCTGAGAAAATAAAAAGAGCCACAAAGTTTAGACTGGGACAATCAAGGTTTTTGAAAACAATATTAAATTTTATATGTATAATTTCTTAATGTATGTATCTAGTTTCTTTATATGTATTTAGTAATTAGTAAATTATAGTTATTTAATGTTGTATGAGTGTTCAGTTGTCAGAACCCAACCTGAGATTTATATTATATGTCAAAATAAATAATATATTGAAAAAGGAAACTCGTTGTTTGATTTATGTTGACAAATGGAATGTTACAATATATTATTATTATTTCTTGTTAATCAGTGTCACAAAAAATTTATGTTTCCGAATTCCAAAAGCAGTAAACACCCTCAAAAAGTTTATATCCGATTTTTAGTTTCTGGAATATTTTAGACTATGTCTTCAATAAAACTTGTTATCATTTGGTTTTTGACACTATTTTTCCGTTTTCATCTCCCTAACACGGCATCGCCTTATAGTACAATGTTGAATAATAGCTCTCATTACAAAGAGGATGAAATTCTGAACATTTCCCTCCCTTACAGTATGTAGGTCTGATTTCTAGTTTCTAAGATATTGTAATTCGTATGTTCAACCAAACTCGTTCCTTTTTCTCTCTCTAATACAGCATCACGTTCATATACAATTTTAATCAATAGGTCATTATAATGAAGATGAAATTTTGAACATTTTCATTGTTTACAATATGCAGGTCTGATTTTTGGTCTGATGAATATTTTAATCCAAATGCAAAAACACTTCAAAAATTCACTGGTGTGCTTAACATATCAATTGCAGTTACGATCCCCGGCGTCTATCAGATATAACAATTATTTACATTTGTATCTATCTCTACATCTATCCAACTCCCATTCAAATATTTTTAAAACAGACCATTTTAGAGACTTTGTAAGATAGGCAAAATTCGAAACAATCCAGGCCAAAATTGAAATAAATATTGGAACCTGGGGACCTAAAGTGTTAAAGTAGAAAAGAGCCTACATTTTACATTAATTTATACTTATAGATTTTAATAATCATAAATTATGGTGTTCTTTTTTAACATTATTTTATGAGTTGGCCATTCTGATAATAATGTACTAATGAGAATGCATGCTTAAGATCCTAAGGGCTAGTACATTATAAAATTTTTTAAAAGGATTAATTATTTTTCTTATGTGTATTTACTTTCTTAATGTTATCTAATCTATCTATCTGTCTACTACTGACTGTATTGTCTCTGTCTGACCATATCTGTTCACTCCTATTTAAAGAATGAAATGGATTTAGACAGGATGAACTGGGGTAGTCTAAGACTACCAAGAATGATAGGGAGACCACCACCCCTATAACATCCAGAGCTCAGCAAGCTGAGGAGACCATCCACAGACCTTGCAAGGACAGGTAACTTTACATTCCTCGCGACAAAGAACAACATGTAAAGGAGTAAGTATACAACAAAGGGACCATCAAATTAAACGCACAAAGGAGGTAAGTTAGGAGAGAGTAGAGAGGGAGAGTGAGCAGATAAGGTAAAAGAATAACACAATGGATCTGATATCAAACCGTTGGACGGAGATTCCAGAAGCCAGATGCGTTATGACTCATAGAGTGCCTGCCCTAGTGACCAGGCCACTATTTAAACTAATAACTAGCCCTCAGACCTGTTCAAAGGTTAGTGAGAGGCAACATTAGAAACAATTGTTTTAATTGGGCTCTGAAATATCTTAATCCAAACTTCTTTTATTTTTATTTAATAACAAACCATAACTATTAACATTTAAAATATTATAAACATCAATTGTTCTGAAAAAGAATTATATTACAATAAGAAATAATGAATACGTTCTGAAAGATATACATATTTCACTGAGAAACTAACAGATTGCGCTACCAAAATCACTAATCATTATTAGAACCATCAAGGACTTGCAAAAAGAATGATCTAGTTCATAAGAACAAATCCTAGAGGGCGCCACATGCGTCCTTCAATACACTTTATCACAAGTTATTTACAATTCTATTTCCCTTGGAGAAACAGCTCCGTCTGCTCTAATACATTGTACTTTTTTATAGTTAGTTGTATGATATAATTGTTTTTAGAATTTTTTAAATTACAATTAAAATTAATAAGACTTATTATAATACATAACATTAAATTGAATTTTTAAATATTTTATGTATATAGATACGAATCTTTACAAAGTTAAAAATATGAAAATTATAAGAGAACAAAACATGAAATCAGTTAATTATTACAATTCTATAAAGGCCCTACCAAAATATGTTACAACATACCAAGGGATTTGAACTCTTAACACGTTAAATACTTTAGGTGAGGGCTTCGTTTTATAAAAATACCTCACAGAAAGTTGTTTATTTCTTTAAAAAATATATATATATTGATATTTTTTAAAACTATCTTTAATGACTATGAGAGGACCATCCGAATGAGAAGAATTCCGCAGCCTTTCCTTCCTAAAGTTCTAGCTCCAATTCCTCTCCTTGCCATAGCAACCACTCATACTGGGAATACGTTTTTTGATGTTTGATTTCCTTCTAAATTCTTATTTCGTAAAAGAAATGAAAAAAAAAATTGTAAAATAAATTTATACTTGTTACAAAATTGTAGAACTATGTAGGAATGAGTAGAAGGGACAAAAGAGTGTAGGATCGATGACAAAATGTTTTGTCACTGCGCATCTTTCTCTCTCTCTACCACTAACGGATCCAGGACTTAATTTTGGGAGATGGGGCTTCAGCCCGAAAGATATTTTTTGTATGTGTTGTTACGTTCCTCTTTCCCTCCAAAATCAAACAACGAGTTTTCTTTTTCAATATACTATTTATTTTAACAAATAACATAAATTTCAGGTTGGGTTCTGACAACGGAACACTCATTCAACATTAAATAACTATAATCTCCACTAATTTTCTAATTACTAACTACACTTATATATAATTTAAATAGTTTTATAAATTAATTTGTCCCGGTCTAAACTTTTGGTTCTATCCCTCTGTCACATAAATGGCATTGTTAGCACTCACCCAAATGTTTACGCCTGTCAGTGAAATAATCTCTTCTTACTTACGAATGTTCCGTTTTCTGTACCACTTAATTCTTTTCTGCTATGTTTTTTTCTTCCAACATAAAATAATCTCCACTAGTGGCCTCTATCAACACTCAAACCGGCTAGGAGCATCCTCTATCAACACCATCCTCTTTCACTTTCTCAGCTTGCTGACTAGCACCGTCTCACTTGGCAGCTCGTCACATTCTCTCTTGACAGCTTGTCACATTCTCTCTTGGCCGCTATCACCTTCTCTCTTGGCGGCCCGTCACATTCTGAGTTACATGAGGCTTGCTTCCCCTACCATCCACACGCACTTCCTCCCCGTAGTTCGTGCTGTTACCACTTTCGCGCCACTATTTAAATGCCATGTAATGTTGACATTACAGTATATACTACGATACTACTTCGGAAGAAAGAAAAAAACTAAGCACCTATATAAAGTGGTGATTATTTGATTCTTTAAGGCCTATTAAATGTAATAAGACGAACAATAATACTTTGAGGGATAATTTTTTTCATAAAACATGGTTATATTTCAACATTCCGGGAGGAGAGAGGGGCTTCAATCCGAAAGTCCTCTTCCTCTTCTCCCTAGATCCGCCTGTGCCCTCTACCCACCAGCAAACTTATCTTAGATGGACTCTATGTATTAATTAAATAAGATCAAAATTCCGTCATCGTATGCATTGTTATCCTGATAAAAATGAAAACCATTAAATTTAAGGTTACTTGTTTCATTTAAAATTATTTTGAAACATGATGCGTAAAATTCTTAATACATTAGGAGTTAGACATTATAGTGAGCAATTTCGGACAAATACAAAAGTGTTAACAGTTGAATTAATATTAACAGTATCATAGTATGGGGGAGGGGAGTAACTTTCTTTGGAAAGTAACAACAAAATAGTACCTTAAGGAAGTATAGTATATTGGCAGTGTGATATTTGTATCAAAATTACATTTTCCCTAAGCCCTATTATTTAATGAAAATAAAACATTTAAAAAATTACCTGTAAAATACTTGTTTACTAGTTTTGCATCTGGAGAGTTCAACTTCACTAACATATCTGTTCAATACTTTGATATTACCAAATTCTAAATAGTTCTGTGTGCCTAAATTAGTGTTAATTTCAACTTTAACATCAGTGGCATAAAGGTCCAATGTATAGCATTTATATCGAAGTAACTCATTGTTCTCGGCATCAAATACCTGAAAAAATTGTTTATTCACGAATTAGTGAAATTATTTAATTTAAAATAAGATTAAAAAGAAAAAGTGAAAGTAATAATTGTGGGTTGATGGTTGACTGTAGCGAATAATTGAAGAGAAGGGTGGTTGGGGGTGATCAGTAAAAAAAAAAATACTAAAAATAAATAATTGTATTTTTGTATCGGCCCAAAGTTCAGGCCTTCATCAGGGCTAAGAGAAGAACCAGATAACAATAGCTATAAGAGACTATATACATTAAATAATAAAGAATTGAAATTAAAAAAAGTGAAAAAACTTAAAATAAAATGAACTAGATAGAATGAACAATAAAGTAAAATAAAGTAGGAAGAATTTTAGAGCTCTTGTGATAGTTGTATGGCGGACTTTCAATTTCCTTGTGGATTCATACTGACTATACTCTTCCTCTATCAATATCACTGTAAACTAAATTAAATGACTTCCTCCAGCCATTGTGAGAAAAAAAGTTTGTAGCAAACTAAGTTGATGTGAAAGAACAAATGAGAATAAGTTTATGAGAGAGAAACTGTATCAGTCGAAGTGGTAAGTTAATTTTGTACATATATGAGAATAATATATGCGAGTGACATTAATTAAATTAATCTACAAAGAACAAGATTTCAAATAATTAAATAAAACATGGATAATATAATTATAAAAATAATTCAGGATCAATATGTTTTTTAATTACCTCAATATAAAGTTGTTTATGGTCATAACATTTTTCTGGCCTGAAATAAACAGAGACTTCTTCACTCGAATAAGGATCTAAAAAATTGGAATTCCTGTTACATCTGATAACTGGGGATAAAGTATCGAGGATAGCGATTGCCCAATAAATTGTCTTGTAACATAAATTAGTAATTTGAAAAACAGACATTTTTTCTTGGTATAAAAGAGTATTCTTAAACGTCAGATTCCTGGGCTCAAATTTTATTAAAGGATTTATACCTTCAGATTGTACCTTTAAAAGAAAAAAAAAAAGAAATAAATTATGTGTAAGGAGAATAAATTTATCTATCTAGGGTGTGATGGATCTTTAAAAAGTCCATTAATGATGGCTCCATTCCAAACTAAGTGGAACATTGCACTGAATAAAAATTTAAAATAAATTTTTATAATTTTTTGTTTTTTGTCCAGTGTGGCTTGATTTCCATCACTCAATGTCATATTCAATCCATTCTGAGTATGAAAAACTGATGGAGTAAAGTGATATTTTGAACAGTTTTAATAATTATAATAAAAATTATTCAAAAATAAATATATGATTAAAATTCATGATATTGATTAAATAAAATGTACTGCCCAAAAATTAATAGGGATATTGTTAGTTATGAACAATTTATTTTACCTAGAACATTTATTTTATTGTAATCATAAAATACATTGAAAGTTAATAAAAATATGATTGTGACTGAAGGGAAGGGGCAGATGTGAAATATTCATATTTTGAGGATATTGATGAACAACTTTTCTCTTATAAGGTTGCGTTTTGTCATCAAGAAAATGGAAATCTGTGCCAATTATGGTCCTGGTTTGAGGAATGTACTCCTCTAAAATTTCTTGAACATAATGAACTGCAATGACCTTCCACAATACGGAGTATAATCCATCCTTCTGAGTAGATTGCACGATAATTACTTTGGAAAAAAAGAAAAGAAACAAACTTTCATCCCAAACAAACATACAAGGCTTCATCCTGAAAGCCCTCCCCCGTAGATCTGCCTGTGCCCAAGGCAAACCCCTTATCATTCCTAAAATACAGTATCAGGGAGACAACTACACTTGAACGACTATGGATGGGTCTGAAATTCTTCAGGAGGATTCCAGAAAGCATTAATGTAGTCCATTGCATCAGTGACCCCAAGCACTGTGAAGTGATTGATGCTATCAGTATCAATAGATTCGCAAAGGCATCTGGCCTGTTTTAACTGAGTTTAGGACGATGCACAATAGGCCTTCTTGAAGCCGCGGTTCACCCCTCCCCCGTCGGAGCAGAAAAAAAAAAATATAGTCCATGCAGGTCATTTCTATTTTCTGTATGTAGCTATCGTAGAGCCTTTTGATACTTTTTAATAATACAGAATAAAATTACATTCTTACATATACCTTAATGGTCTGTGGTAAGGGATTATTTTGAGTTGATAAGAATATTTCTTCCATAAAAGAACCTACATCACTTATTGAAGAAAAAATTGTTACAATCGTAGTTTCATTTGGCTGGAACAAAAATTAAAACTTAGTACATTAAGGTTTTGTAATAGAAAACTTGGTTTTCATAAGGAAGACTTAAGTTAAAAATAACAACTTATTAAGAAAAACTTTAGAAATTGAAAGACTCTTTCAAAGCCTTTTTATAATATTTATTTATTGGATACAACTCTGTTAGATTTCTTGAAAAAAAAAAAAATTGAATTTTAAGGAAATAATAAACACAAGCATTAAATAAGTGCTGCCTCAAGTGCTTACCAAATTGAAAAATCATCAATATTTTTTTTAAAAGCATTCATCCACTCTCAACTCTAGAACTTTGAGTGCACCAAAGCGCTCTCAATACCTCAAACTCAATAACAGGGATCATGTTTAGAATTCATGAATTCAAAATCATTAGTTCATTCATGAATTCATTGGTCTTCATAGATTGAATGACCTATTCGAATTCTCCTAAGTTAAATTTAAAATTATGGAAAAATTGCACAAGGTGACAAAACTATATATATTATCAATTAAACATAAGCACATGTCAAACAAAGCTAAAACATTTCTGAAAATGATCTCGCCTAATGTACGTTGAGTCACTGGCTAAAGATAACGTATTCAAGCAAGTAATTAATATCCTTAAGGCGTTTCTATGACTTGTCTATAATGAAAAATAAATGAGCGCAAAGAAATTTTCCAGTGAAACAAAAAAAAAAGTATTCCATACCTGCTTATGAAATTATCAAGCCAAGCTTAATGGCATTGAAATATGCTTAGTTATCCTTAATTATTAAAGAAAAACTAGAATACCATTTACCATCTACAAAACCTATACGAAGTAATTTCAGTAATATTTATTGAGAAATAGAGCCATTTCCATTCTGTCTCTCATCAATAAAATTTAACTTTTTCTTCTATTCATTATTCCTAGAATTGGTGTCTTGAGGTTTTATTTTTTATAAATTAGGCCGTTTTCCACCAACATTTTATTTTATTTTGACGTTTCCACCAAAATTAGAGGCATTTGCAAGACTGGAAAAATTGTTTGTCATTGTTATATCACATTTACATTTGCAAAATCAATTTTATTTTAAATAATTATTTAATCTAATGATTTATGTCTGACAATTTTGCTATATATAAATTTGTATACTTATTAAAAGACTATCATGTACAAAACTCTACTCATTATATAAACTTGATTGTTTCCTTATTGAGTCATCCATTATTCAATGTCATATTAATTTTTCTGAGAAAATTCAAACTGTCCTGATATTTTAGAGTTCTCCCTACGTCATTTCTTTTTCTTTTATTGTTTTGCAATAGTGTATTATTTTGTTGGTCGAAACGTAAAAATAAAATAAATAATAAATAAAACGTTGGTGGGAAAACGGCCTAATTTATGAAAATATAACTTTAACCTTTTTTTTTCTTGGTCGGATAATCAGAAGATTTGGATTATTGATAAAGTCCTGTAGATTACACGATACTCTTAAATGAAAGCTTTTTTTCACTGACTTTTATTTCCTTTAAACATTATCTACATTGTTTAATGCTACCTTTTTGCACATACTATAAGTATTATTATGAGCAAACAAATATAAATAAATGGATTTATTCATTGTACAATACAACGTAAAATCCTGACATTAGTTATAGATTAACAAATTGACAGCTTCAGAAAGTCTTCTCCGAATGACTTGAGAGGATGGCAAAACTAATTATTAAACTGGTTTAAACATCCAAATGTTGTTTATGAAAATATTATACAAGACATAGTTGCGCCAACAAGCTCATATGACGTTCAGTTGGTAAATTGTTGGTACTCCGGCACAACAGTTTAATTCAGTAACATTTTGAAAAAATGAACTAATTTGAAATATATCTTGTAAAGATCTGAATTCTCACCTCAATTTCAACTTCTTTCGGTAGAACATCAAATTCTGGAGATTTTTTATGAAAGTCTATGGACACTTTAGCTGTGACACTGGATATATTTGAAACCTTGAAGGAAGCCTCCTGATGGTGGATACTAATATGAAAATAAATAATATAATTAAATTTCCCGACCTATAATACATTAGTAAATAAATTCTATCTCTAAAAAGCCTTACTTGTTCTTAAGCTTTTTCATTGTCGAAATCAAGGCAGTTTGAAAGTAATAAATTGATTCATTAGCACAAAAACCACTTTTATGGCATAAATGACCTTCAGAAATTAACGGCATCTTATATAAAAAAAAAAAAAAAGATAAAATAATCAATCAGGGATTGATTTTGTTAAAAGTGATAAGTTGAATACCTATTTCATATAATTGAGTTGAATACCTATTTCATATATTTATTGATACTAGAACCAGGTTAAGTCCAAATTTTCTTTAATCATGGACGGTATAAGCACAAATATTACATCAATCCTCTCCTCTATAGTAAATAAGGTGAGAAATACTATATCATCGGCCTTTAGAAATTTCGAACTTATCTTTACTTTGGCACTGATATTAATGAGTGGCTAATAACTTCGAGTCATGACCAAGGTTAATCCTGGTCTAGTTAGTTTATTTAAAGCCCAAATTTTTAATATATTGCAGGCAAAGGCGTACACTTTTCAATTTGGTTGGAGGGACACACTCCCCCAAAAAACACTCGGAAGTTTATTTTGTGTGTAAAAATTACGAGTGGCAATTAATATAATCAGTATGATTATTGTTAAATGAACAAGATAACAATATTTTAGGTATGTGTTCACTAACACAAAATAAACAAAAAAGTTCATATTAACATATATCTCAAACTCATTTATTAAACAGATATCAAAGGTTAAAGATTTATTATTTATATGCTACATTGAGACTGACTTTACAAAGTTTAACGTGTTTAATACTAAATAATAGGTTTTAATTACCTGATAAATAAATGAACGATAAGCGATGACAGTAGTTGCTCATCAGTTTATCTAGTTCTGTGTTTTAGTGTGAGTGAATACTGTGACACAGTTCAATCAAGACACCATAAGTTAAAAGTATGTCTGTTAACTATACAAAAGTGAATAAATTTATGGTGTTTCCCATGATAAATTAATTTTAAAGCCGTTAAAAACGAAATCATCAACCCCTCTAACCAGGTTCCTTTCCTTATAGAAACGTTTTTGTTACAAGTGGTATGAAAACATCTCCATTTCGTCTTCCTGTCTAACTTTATTTGATGACCTTCTTCACACAATTTCATGTTTGGAATTATCCTAGCGTTTTGAAAATATTCGATAGCCTCTTCTTCTGAAGACGGCATTTACCACAATGTAATGACATACATAATTTGAAGAAAATCACACAAATGGAACAAAAATAAACAATGGAATAACTCACAGCTTAATAAGCACGAAATAAGAAGGGAGGTTATGTAACGTAAAATTAGATAACAAGGGAGGTTTTGTCCCGACCACATACTAGACAAGTACCGAAAATTGATTATTTGAGACAAAACAAATAATATATTGGGTTGAGGAAAAAGTAATTTTGTTTTTTTTTCCATGTTTTTAAAAGAAAATTTATATATCTTCAAGCCATTGCTTCGATAAGCTCTGATGAAGGCCTGAAGAACTTCGGGTCGAAACGTCGGAAAATGTTAAAATAAATATTTTTATTTATTTTTGTCATTTTTATTTCGACTGATCATCCCAACCATCCTTATCTTCAAATTTATTTATATATATTTTAAACACTATCGATGACATATGTGCCTTTCTGATTGATGACCTTTTGCCACTTTTGTCGTCTGGCACTGCAGAAATTCTGAGACTTCTGGACAAAAAACTGAACAAAGTGATTTTCACAATCCTCTTTTGATGCCAACTTTACAACATTAAGAGATTTCTGCGAAGAGCGAAACAAATAGTAATCAGGTGGGAGAAGGTCCGGGCTAAACAGTGAATGCATCGAAACTTTTCAGCCAAGCTTTCTTAATCTTTGCCAGGTCATTAAAGATATGAGTGGTCTAGCGTTGTCATGATGAAAGGCAACGCCTTTCTTATTGATCAATTCTAGCTATTTTTCTTGAATTGTCTGCTTCAATAGCATTAGTTGTTCACAGATGAAAGTTGAATTAATGGCCATCTTCGAGCAGCTCCTGATGAACAATTCCTTTCCAGTCCTACCAAACACTCAGCATCACCCTCCTTGGCTTTGCCACTGTTCGTGAAGCTTATCCAGACTTTGAGGTCTATTTCCTCCTAATCAAACTTAAAAATATTTCCTTATCATCTAGTGCCCTTAAGTGGTTCCAATCCTTTCCCACCGATAGCTCCCAGTACGTTGTAGTTCCTAATAATCCTCAACCAATGTCACTACCTCAGTCCCGAGGCGTCCCACAAGGTTCCTCGTTATCCCCCACCCTCTTTTCCATCTACATCAATGACCTCCCTTCCCTTATCATACACTGTCAACATCACCCATACACCGATGATGTCCAAATTTATAATTCCTTCAACCCGACAGATTCCTCTAATGCCATCCTGAAACTGCAACAAGACATCAATAGAATTTGCACATGGGCAAATCTTAATAAGCTGACATTAGATACGGAGAAGACAAAAGCCATCCTGATCGGATCCCCCTCACTCCTCAAATCCATTTCAGCACCTCATAATCTTCTTCCGAACAATTCAGTGATCTCCTTCCATACCACCGTTAAGTTAAAACCCTAGGCGTTACCCTCGATCAAAGCCTCTCTTGGAAATCACACATCTTCCAAATTTCCCGCCGTACTATATTCACCCTAAAACAGCTTAACCATATACGTTATCTTCTTCCATTAAAAAACCTGTCAACTCCTGATCTCCTCTCTTGTTTTCCCCCACTTCGACTATGGCTGCATGGTGTACGGTGGACTCTCGGGAGAACTCGAAGCCAAACTTAAACGTTTAATGAATTGCTCAATCCGCTTTATCTTCGGGATCTCAAGAGATACGCATATTACCCAGTTCTACACCAAGTTGAAGTGGCTTTATCTGTCCTATCTCCGTCAATAATTCCTTGCTACCTTCCTATACCAATCCATTAGATCACGACGACCTGCCTATATTCTACAGATCCTCTGATTATTTTGTAATTCATTGATATTTCGTTCACTTAATTACTTTCTCTGTATATTTTATATTTACACGTATTTATATCTTTTCTCAATCAACTGGTAAATATTAAATTGTATTTCATGGACACACCAAAATATTAATATATATTCTGTATTAGTGACTTGTTCTAAAGGGACACTAGTCCCAGAATAATAAAATTATTTTCATTTCATTTCATTATTCTCACACTTTTCATCACCTATAATCATTTGTTTAAAAAATAGCTCGATTATGTTTCGTTTCAGGAGAGATTGAAAATGGAAACTCAGTCTATTTAATTTGTCACTGTTAATTCATGTGGAACCAAAATATGGAGTAATATTGATATCCAGGCTTGTTTAAATGTTTCAAAACTGGTTTTTCATTAATACGCAGTTCTGTAGTGATGTTAGTAGATAAACTAAGTTGGTCTACCTCGGTTTTTAGATGAATATCATCAACTTTATCAACGACTGGCCGGCCAGGACGAGGTTTATCTTCAACGTCAAAATTTCTGGAAGGAAAACGAGCAAACCGATTCTGACACTGATATTTGCTTAAGCATCCATCATCATACAATTTTCAATAAGCCTGTGCTGCATTTTTGCCGTTTCGGAAGTAAAACAGCAAAAATGACCAAAATGATCTTCTGGAACCTCCATTTTTAAAGCGACCCCTAACCACCCAATACCTGTTGACTGGGTAAATAAATGGCATAATTTTTATACATAGAATGTTCTCTTTATTGTGACCTTTCAAATCCACTATAGAATGGCTTCATTGAATAACAATTATAATTGTGGGTTGATGGTTGACTCTCGTGAATAATAAAGAGAAGGATGGTTGGAGTGATCAGTCAGAAATAAAAAGGCAAAAATAAATAATAATATTTATTTTAACATTTGCCGACGTTTCGACCTGAAAAGAAAAGAAAAGAACCAGATAACAAGATATGAGAAAAAAATAAAGTAGGTAAAAAAATTAATTCTATTTGCAATATCTTAATTTTACTAATTATTTTTATTTCTTAAATATCTTCATATTCCTTTTTTTTTTATACATTTTATTCTAAGATTACCATTTTAATACTTATGTTACCTTTTTTTATTATGTTTACTTTATTATTCCACACTTTGTAACAGTTATTATTATTTATCTCTTAGTTCTAATTATTGTCATTATTCTATCCAATAAATTTTTTTACCTATTTTATTTATGTTTCTCATACCTTGTTATCTGGTTCTTTTCTTAGCCTGAATTTCAGGTCGAAACGTCGGCAAATGTTAAAATAAATATTATTATATATTTTTGCCTTTTTATTTCTGACCGATCACCCCAACGATCCTTCTCTTCAATAACAATTATAGTTATTAAATAACGAATAACAATTATTTTAGTACACCTTAAATTCTGAGAGCTGGTTGCTACAAGCTAAAGTAACATCAGTAGGTTGGTTTCATACGGTTACCTCTCACCTATTCCCTTCCCGGTACCTAGCTAATTTCCTACCCTAATAATTAAATGCCATATCAAGGCCTTCTGACAACTGTAAATTATTAAGGTCTTGTATTGTGACCTTATTTAATATTGAAAAAATGTTTGCATTTTAGGTGATTAAATGAATCTTAAATGTCTTGTATTACAATATAATATTGTTACATACTTCCTGATATAAGTTGTTGAACTCAAAAGTGACTGTAGGAATATCACAAATGCTTCTTATATCCGCTGTAAAACTATTATGAAATCCAGCAGCGCGAACAGTTAATTTATTAGAAATTATTCCACAGCTGATTGGTGAATATACCACTTCCCATGATGCCTTTTCTCCTGGTTCAAGGTGTTTTCTAGCAAGGCAATCGAAATCCGATAGCTCTCCTAAGTGAATAGACAATATTACAATAAGCAAGACTATTTTTATTAATTTATTTCATTTTTTTTTCCCTCAATGCAATAGTTATCCAAACATAATTATAACTCTTTTTTCAAAATTTTATTTTTATAAATTCTACTAGGTTAGTCCTATGTCTTAATACTTTTTAACTAATTTTTAAAAAAAATATTTTTACAGTTAAATTTGACCATTCGATATAACTAAATTAAAACCATATCAATTTCTCATTTTAGAAGAGTACCGCTATAATGGCCTAATGAGAGGTAAATTGTTTACTTGCATGAAAAAAATAAATGTGTAAATTTGAGCTGTAATAAAATTCAAGTGATAAAGAATGTATGTATAGGTTAAGATTAAGACAGCATTTTTTGAACAATAAAAAAAGGTTCATATTTAGCTAAAACTTTAAATAAACTGTGCACCTGGGAGTTGTGGTGGTGGACTAGAGGAGTAACCTAAGTCCATTGTAGTAGGACATGTATGACTGCCATTTATATCAGCATGGTATATATATATATATATATATATATATATATATATATATATATATATATATATATATATATATATTATATATATATATATATAATATAAAGGAAGGAAGGATTATATATATATATATATTATATATATATATATAAAGAATGTATGTATAGGTTAAGATTAAGACAGCATTTTTTGAACAATAAAAAAAGGTTCATATTTAGCTAAAACTTTAAATAAACTGTGCACCTGGGAGTTGTGGTGGTGGACTAGAGGAGTAACCTAAGTCCATTGTAGTAGGACATGTATGACTGCCATTTATATCAGCATGGTATATATATATATATATATATATATATATATATATATATATAATATATATATATATATATATATATATATATATATATATATATATATATATATATATAATATAAAGGAAGGAAGGATTATATATATATATATATATTATATATATATATATATATATATATATATATATATATATATATATATATATATATATATAATATAAAGGAAGGAAGGATTATATATATATATATATAATATATATATATATAATCCTTCCTTCCTTTATATTATATATATATATATATATATATATATATATATATATATATATAATATATATATATATAATCCTTCCTTCCTTTATATTATATATATATATATATATATATGTCCTATACATATATATATATATATATATATATATATATATATATATATATATATATATATAATATAAAGGAAGGAAGGAGATTGTCCGGGGTGGCGGTCATAAATAGGCTAAATAGTGGCAAAACTATTTTATTAAAAGCCAACATTTCGACCCGACTTTGCAGGTCTTCTTCAGGGCTAGAACCGACAAGATATAAAAAGATAGAGAGTTATGGAAGATACATAATATAAAATTATAAACAGTAAGTACATTAAAATATAAACAAAGTAAGCTAAGTAACAAGATCCCAAACTGAAGTAAATAGATGGTAACAATTATTGTAGTGTAATATATAATATATGCAAACGTGAATATACTTCTACAGATCTAGAGGAGAGATTGAAAGAAAAGGAAAAAGGATATAATATGAAATAATAGACGTAAAGGAATGTGGAGAAATAAAAAAAAGAAAAACAAAATTAAATAAATAAAATTAGAAGAATAAAAATAGAGACTTGCAGGTGTGTCAAACTGATATTGTAATTCACACCTGTAAGACTCTATTTTTATTCTTCCATTTTATTTACTTATTTATTTATTTTTTTGGTTTTATTTTTTTTTCTTTCTCCACATTCCTTTATGTATATTATTTCATATTATATCCTTTTTCCTTTTCTTTCAATCTCTCCTGTAGATCTTTAAAAGTATATTCACATTTGCATATATTATATATTACACTACAACAATTGTTACCATCTATTTACTTCAGTTTAGGATCTTGTTACTCACCTTACTCTGTTTATATTTTAATTTACTTACTGTTTATAATTTTAATAAGCTTATTCGCATTGTTTATAATTTTATATTATATAACTTCTACAATTCTCTATCTTTTTGTATCTTGTCCATTCTAGCCCAGAAGAAGACCTGCAAAGTCGGGTCGAAACATTGGCTTTTAATACAATAGTTTTGCCACTATTCAGTCTATTTATGACCTCCACTCTGGAATCTTTTTATCATTGGAGGCCGTAGTAAGGTTAGGCAGTGCTAATAGAGACTGCGATAATTCTTTATCTTTTACTGTTGCAAATTTTATTTATCGCTAAATACATACACCCACATACATACATTAAATTTTAATCTATTATTACCAAATTGTTGTTACTGAATAAACGAGCTTGGAACAGTGTCTGACAGATGGCAGCAACATAAATGAATGTTACAATAACAATTGGATACTAATTTATCAAACAATCGTTACAGAGAATAAACTGTTTATAAATATAAATACTGATAAATGAATAATTTATTACATAAGAATCAGTCAAAATGATAATTCAATAACCATTTCTCAAAAAGAAGATGAAGAAGGAGAAACACTGGAGAGAAGGTTGGATCCTAGAGGCTGTGATGTGAATATTAAAAATAGTCACGAGTTCGAGTTCCGGTGCAGGGGGAGTCTTTTAAATCTCCCCACACACACCAGAGAAAACCCCCTATAGCCTTAAAGGCGAGGACAAAAAAAAAAGTCAGAGAGCTACTACTACTGGAGCATTGTCAAGAATAGATGAGGAAGATCAAGCCATTATACAACTGAGGTGTTAGAGAACTTCTAAATTATTCAGAATCTGACAAAGTTTCTTAAAATAAATTAGTTGTTTTGGCCAGGAGTGAATATTCCCCTTTTTATATACCCTACATGCTGAAGATTGTAGAAGACATCCCCCTGTATTTACTCCTTTAGTTGACATTGTGTGAGTGAAAGAGAAGGAATATATAGGAATGTGAGGTTGCATGAATTGTACTCAATTGTATAGCGGAAAAATTATTCATTGAAAAGTCTCATATCGATAAATAATCGATGAAGAAGGAAGAAGGTGGGAGGAACCGAAAGGACGGAGTAGGTAACAAAAGCTGGAGAGAAGAGAAGACATTTTAGGCCGGGACAGGTAGAAAGGAGGTTGTCAGAAGAGAGGAAGACGGGCTTGAGGCTGAGACATTGAGGCGGAACGGCATACCTGGGAAAGAGTCTACTACAAGATTTAGAAGATCAAGTCTAAAGTTATAACACTTTAATAGAGTCAATTTATTACAGTTGTAGAAATAAATTGTTTTGTTAGACAGGAGTGAATAGTCCTTTTATTTCCTATAGGCCTCACAATTGAAGAATAATAAACAAGGTGAGTCAATTCATTCGAAGTGTATTTACTAAGTCCCTCATTTCATATATATGCTCTTATTGTTTCTTCTCACTCAATGTCACAAAAAGTATTAGATTCCCGAATTCCCAACAACAGTTAAACACCTTCAAAAAGTCTATCCAGAGCTTGGGTTTTGTTTTAATAATCACGAGTGTAAATAACCTAGTGCCCCGATATAAAAGTGGAAGGCTATTCGCAATTCCCGCCAAAACAAATTATTTACAATTAAACTTTATTAGGTTATTTACACAAGTGAGTCCAATTCATTCAAAAACACCCATCCCAAAATTTCAGATGAACTTATCATTCTTACAACAAAATGTCACTAAAGAATCAGGTCCCCGAAGCCCAATGGTAGTAGACACCCTCAAAAAGTTTATCCAGAGCTGGGAATTTGTTTTAAATAACTTTAACCAAAGGGTGTAAATAACTAAGACTCCAGTGTAAAAGAAAGGTTATCTACATGAAGTTTGGCAGCAGTACAAGTCATGTTACAGCATACTTAGGCCACACCTATTTCAAAAATTTTTTTGCTAAATATGAAATTTTTTTTGTTTAATTATAAAAGTGCAACCTCAATCTCAAATAAGTTCTCTATTACTTGAATTCTATTCCAGCTCAAATTTGAATGATTTTTTTTTTCATCCCAATACCCAATTTAAGGATATATTTTTAATAATACAATAAAATTAAAAGCCCTTTCAACATTATTTGTAACATAATACATATTCAACTTACACTGTGGTAAAAAAAATAAAAATAAAATAAATATCAAAGAATTTACCTTGGCTCTCTTTTGAAAACAATAAATTACTACAATGGCTCATTTTCTTCATCTGAAAAAAAAAATAAAGCAATTATTGTTTATATAGACTATAATTGAACACTCATAAACTAGAAAGTGACATTTTTTTTTAATCAAGTAATTTTATTATCATTTTCAGAGATAGACTTGATCACCAGATTGGGGTCACCATTAAAACAGAATAGGCCGGTGTTGATAAAATTTATAGCAATGAGAAGAAAAATACAGATTCTGAATGCAAGCTGGCAACTTAAATCAAATATGCAGTTCTCTTGCAATTATACTCCTCAAGAGAGAGTAACCAGGAAAGAATTATGGCCATATATTAAAATAGCTCGTGAAAATGGAAGAATAGCAAAATATAGAGGAGATAGAGCATTTATTGATGGTGTCATTTATACTTTAGAAGAGTTAAAATCTGAAGATTCGAGCAGTAATATAGAGTCCGGAATTGCATCAAAAGACACAGCTGTGGATGAATTAATGAATAGTGATACAACAGAAAGAACTAAAAGACAGAGAAGTGAGGAATCCACTCCCGAAAACAAGGCTGAGTCACCTCGGAAAAATGAGATAGAAGATTTGTATAATAAAAAACAAGCCAATAAGAAAATAAATAGTTCTTTGAAATTAAGAAGCAGCAGCCTGGATAGATATTTCAAACAGGGCACAAATGAGGGTGACAAAATATTAGGAACCTCTGGTTCTGTAATGAATTCTTGGCAGTTTATAGGCAACCAGGTTAATAAAATAGGTTATGACAATGGAAATTTCGATAGGATAATAAATAAAAAGGAAACTAAAAAATTATCACAGATGAAAAAATGGGATATAATCACCTATAATTGTAGAACACTAATGGCAGATTCTCAATTAACCGAGTTGAAAAACGAATTGGAAGTTATGAAATGGTCTCTTATTGGTCTGTCAGAAATGAGGAGATATGGTACAGGCAGTTTGGAGTACCAGGATGGTACAACACTGTGTTATAATGGTACAGAAAAAGGGCAAGGTGGAACTGGCTTTCTTATAAATAGAAATAACGAAATGGAGGTACGGTCATTCAAAACCTACACTCATCCTATTTCTAGGCTATTAATATAGCTAAATAAAGACAAGAATTTTTATTTGGATCTACAAATAGCAATTGATGAGGACAGATATAATCAACTAATATTAATCGGAGATTTTAATTCAAAAATAGGTAGTAAAGGTAACTCAAAATATATGGGTAAATTTAGAATAGGTGAATTGAATAATAGAGGAAAAAGACTAATTGAGTTTGTGGAAGCTAATGGTCTTTACATCATGAATAGCTTTTTTGAAAAAAATCCTAATAACAAATGGACATGGCAGAGCCCAGATAGAAAGACAAAAAATGAAATAGACTTCATAATCGTTAAAAATAAGCAATTAGTGATCAATATGGAAGTTTTAAACCATCCTGACATTGGCAGTGATCACAGACCAGTTGGGGCAATGTTGAATAAAAAGTTCACCATTGTAAAACATAAAAAAGAAAATAGGAGATCCAGTAAAGTTAAAACAGAAAACCTAATAAAATGGAATTTTGAAGATAAGTTAAAATCAGTTTTGCCTAAGTTAGACCAAGAGATGACAACTTCAACCCAAATTACAGAAATAACAAACTCATTAAAAAAGGTACTTGAACAGTTTAAGGAAGAGAATTCCAAGATAGACGGTAACTGTCGAAATCTCCCAAGAAAGATTAAAAATCTTCTAAACAAAAGAAGAAATTAAAAAAAAAAAAGGAGCAAGATATAAGACAACTTAACAAATTAATCAGAAAGGAAATTGAGAACTGGCTGAGAGAAAGGAAAGTAGAAAAGATGGAGGAAGCCATTAGGACAGGAGGTAAACTAAAAGAGGTAGGATCTCTAAAACAAAAATGACTGCTATTTTAAATGAAAATGGGCAAGAATTAAATGATAACTTGGCGATAAATAATAGAATAAAAGAATATTATGAAAAACTATATTATGATAAAAGAAAAGATAAAACTGCGGAGTGGAACATAGAAAACTGGGATCCAAAAGAAGAAATTATGATTGAAGAAGTATTAAGTGTAATAGATATCTGTAAGGAAGAAAAATCAGGTGGTGTTGATGGTCTGACAATTCCACACATAAATGCTGGGGAAATGATAATAGCGCAGGCACTCACTCACTTGCTAATGACTATAATCTATCAGTGAGCCTCCTTTTTCTGGATTACAAAAAAGCATTTGACTCCCTAAAAACCGATTCTATCATAAATATGCTGAAAAAGAGAAACATTAGTTCAAGAATATGCAAGATACTGGAAGATATGTATTCGAGATCCAATGCAGAATATAAATCAGGAAATACAACAGTAAAAATAAAAATTAGAAAAGGTGATACCCTTTCTCCTAAAATATTTATATCAGTTCTCCATGACTTGATGCTAACTATGAATTGGCAGAACAAAGGAATGAAAATTTTTGGAGAGTGGCTGAACCATTTAGAGTTTGCTAATGATCAAGTCCTAATAGATAAAAATATAGAAGAAATCCTAACGATGGCAAACCAATTAATAAAGGCTGGAGATAACATAGGACTGCATTTTAAGAGAGGTTTGTGCCCATAGCATGCTATACAGGTCAACTAAAAAAATTGGAGGGCCTGGAAAATTCAGTGAAATAGACAAGTCTTTTTTGTAAAAGAAAAAATCATGCAGGGAGAGTTCTTCCTGAACAATGGATGTTTGGCGGAGTTTGAAGAGAAATCAGTGTTCAGGTTATAAACATTGGCAGATAGCAGTCCTTCCCAACCGCACAGGAAACAAGTACCCAAATTGTGATATAGCGATTATACCAATCAGTGATTTAGTTGTATTAACAGTGTTATCTTGTATGATGAATAGAGAGTAGTGATTACTAATATTGTAGTGATGTGTTTTAATATTGAAATATTTAATATTTGGCGACAAGGATAAAAGTAATAAAGAAAGGTACTTCGTGGGTGTACGAATTAAAGAAACAAGACTTGATTTTAAAACTAAAAGAATTAGGTTTGGTTTTTGATGAGGCTGATTCTGTAGACAGGTTAAGACAAATTGAGAAGTGAAAATAAAGAAGAAAGCAAGGAAATTAGTGAAAAGGTAACCCAAGTTAAAACAAAGAATAAAGGAGCAAGCTACAGGATGGAGACCTGTAAAATTGAATTTCGTTTAAATGAGGATGACTGGGACACTTTTATTGAAAGGTTACAACTTTATTTCCTTGCACATGATATTGAAGAAAGTAAGTATGTACCAGAACTGCTTATAAAGGTGAGCGCAGAAACCTACATTTTTATTATAAATTTAGCAATACCAAAAAACCCAAAGGACCTCTCATTTAAAGAAATTGTTTCTTTAATGTCTAAGCACTTAAATTCCAAATCTTCGGAACTATTAGAAAGACATAAATTCAACAATACATATCAATTAGCCTCAGAAACAATCAAGAGCATCTATGCACTGTAACTTTCCCAATGTTGAGATGTCACTAAGAGATCAGTTAGTTTGCGGTATAAAGAATCATGAGACACGAGTTGAATTATTTAGAAAAGAGAAGGTTTCATTTTCAGATGCTTTGAAAATCGCAGAGACCAGAGAACTGGCAATGGAAAGTGCTTCTAACACCGCAGGCACTAGCAACTCATCGGATAACGTGTGCTCGCAGGTAAACTATATGATTAAAGGAAATACAGACAGCAACAAAACACATAAAGGTATAAGTCTAGAATTAACTCAAGGGCGGTCTAGTTATGGGAAGATACAGTGTAAAGAAGACTTAATTAAAAAAGGTAATACACATCCATCATTATTTAATAGCAATGAAAAAGCAACTGTCACCTGTCACATTTTTAGTTGAAACATACGATGGTATTACATGTAAATGCCATGTGGACCAAATCATCAGATTGGAAAAAAAAAATAAGAGAAGAGGATATTTATGTAAATCAACAAGAGAGCAACCAAATAATCAGTCATGGAAGTGGGAGCCCTCCTTGAGCTGCAGAAGACTCGGTTAGTTAATTTGTGTTCTTAGTTTTATAAAAGACTTATATGTATTTTTGATAATTTTTTTTTCATGTTTTTAATATGTTGCTATTTTTATAACTATGATACACTTTCTTTAGAAAGGGGGAAATTGTGATATACTGATTATAACAATCAGTGATTTAGTTGTATTAACCTAACGGTGTTATCTTGTATGATGAATAAAGAGTAGTGATTACTAATATAGTAGTGATGTGTTTCAATATTCAAATATTTAACACAAATGAAAATCAGATAAGAAAATATGAATGTTTTCATTATTTCCCTGAATGCAAAACCAACCCCTGTAGTTTGGCCTCTTTCTTCTGCCTCACCATTCGTACTACAAGTATATACGTGTCAGGCCATCTTCATGTAGTTTGTTGGTTTTAAGATCTTTTTCTGAAATACTAGAGATATTTCACCAGATAATAGAGCATGTTATGCATATATGTTATGTTAAAGTATAACAAGGGAACTTTTAAAATGTATAAAGTAACAGCTAGCTTAGCAGCCGATGGATCTGCTGTTAGTTATCTTTCAAAAATCTATCATTTTTTTTTTTTTTAATGTTATTTAGGTTATTAAGTTAACTTGGAATCCTCATACTAGACTGAAACGACAAGAAACCGCTCGACGTTTCCGATTACTTCAGCACTTACTAGACAAACGCTCTAAACTTCCCATTAATTACAGAAGACTCATATACTTGACTATAATAAGACCTATTTTGACTTACGGAGTTGAGCTATGGGGCTCCACTAAACCATCGAATTCCTCTCGCATCCAATCCTTACAATCCAAAATCCTTCGTATTATTTTCTAAATGTGATGCTTCAAGTCTTGTTTGTCAGTGGAGGGTCTTTCCTTATCCATTAACCTGTTTTACCTTTCGTGTTTATGACTCGACTCTACTTTCATTATACAGTGCCTCCAGAGTTTAAAAATGTTTCTCAACACGGGGAAAAAAACCCTCATTACTTATTCTTAGTTGGGAAAATAAATAAATTAAAAATCTCTTGTACTAGAAAATTCTGAGGTCACGGTTTCTTTTTGCCTCAGTAATTTCTTAGTACCTTTACAAACAGAATCAGATTTTTTTAAATTAACGTCTGTGAATTTTATATTTATTTACTCATACCAGATTGAAACGACAAGAAACCACTCGACGTTTCCGATTACTTCAGCACTTATTATTATACTGACAAACGCTCTAAACTTCCAATTAATTACAAAAGACTCATATACATGACTATAATAAGGCCTATTTGGACTTACAGAGTTGAGCTATGGGGCTCCACTACCGTATTGAATTCCTCTCGTATCCAATCCTTACAATCCAAAATCCTCAATGCTCCTTACTTTGTCACTAATAAAATTATCCATAAAGATCTTAATGTTCCTTATGTTTCAGATCTGGCCCAATCCAGATACCTATCCTTCCATAATAAACTTCAGAATCATCCCAACCCTCTCGTTTCTAACCTTGCTTCCTCTTCAATTCCTGATAACCCTTCGAGGCGTCTGAAAAGAAGATGGCACCCTGATCTCCTAATGTAGTCATATCATTTGAGTGCTACCATTGGGTAGTTACTCAGCAAGTGTATTCATGTCGTTATATCAATTATGTTCAAATTTACTTGATGTATTTATGTAATACAGTTGTAAATGTCATAAAGAAATAAAAAAAAAAAAAGTTATTAAGTTAACTTTTAATTGAATCCTTCATTCTGAAAAGGAGTCATATCCACTTGGAAAAGATGTACAAGACATCTTTTCAAGATGATCAATTAAATTGTATTAAAATTTTGTTTACTTCTTAATTTAATTTTAATTTTTTTTTTCAAAACACAAATTAATCTTTAACTGGGGTAGTTGAAATTATTTAGAACACCAACTTGAAATTAACATTATTTTATAATAAAAAAATTATAATAAAAATAGTAATTAATTTATTATTCATTTTACCTTATATGACTTCTTAGATTCTCTGATTTTATCATTAAGTACTTCAGAAAGTTTTTCTTTCATTGATTTATTATTATCATCTATTTTTATAAGATGTGCTTCATCTACTTCCTTGTATATTTTAAAATGTGAGAGTCTCGGATCATGATCCATGTTTTTTGGGCTACGCAAATGAAAATAAAGTCTCGGTTCAGGAATCATACCTTTTGTTTTCTTCTTAGGCACTATAAAATTTAAAATGCATTAGGTTTTCATTTAAGATTTAAATTCGAATTAATCTAATAATTAGAATAAAATGAAAAGCTAACATAATCATATTAGTTATACTATAACATGAAATTATTAATCCATTAAGTTTAATAAAATAGTAATATGGTTCTCAATCATATAGTAGTCCTATGGAACAGAAAAAATTAATATTTAAAGTCTTAAAATATTATTTAAAAAGAGAGAGAGAGAGAGAGAGAGAGAGAGAGAGAGAGAGAGAGAGAGATATATTACCGTGAGAGGCCCCTGGTTTGGGTCTTGTGGAACGATTCCAAAAAGAACAAGGAGCTTCCTCGAGGAACTAGATGTTGATGTTGGGGAGTTTGCGATATTGGCCGAGAATATTATACTACGAATGATTCCCTGGGAATCATTCACTATCACTTGTATAGTAATTTACCGTGAATTGAGGACGTCTTTAATCATTTAATTATTCTATTTTAAATTTTTAGCATTGTCTTGTCTTTTTGTCTATATTTCTGGATATATGTGTGTACGATTTAGTGTTAGATTGTTAGCATTCGAATTTTTTTTTTTTTTTTGTTTGTGTTATGCAATGTTGATGGCTTAGTGTAGTTTATTAGGCTCGGTGCAGTTATTAGTTTATACTTTATAAGACTAGTATTATGAAAAGGGAGGAAAAAAGAAAGATATATATATATATATATATATATATATATATATATATATATATATATATATATATATATATATATATATATATATATATATATATGTAATAGTAGAATAATGTAATGTATGAATTATGTCCATTCAAGTTTTATATACCTTGGGTCTGAAATTAATAGCAAAAATGACATGGCTCAAGAAATACAAAGAAGGATCATGGCTGCCAATAGATGTGTCTTTGGACTTGGCTGACACTTATGAAGTAGGTACTTCTCAAAGAAGACCAAGCTGATCATATACAAGACCCTTGTTCGGCCTGTTTTGAAGTATGGCTCAGAGGCTTGGACGATTACTAAAAACGATGAGATGAAGCTGAGTGTGTTTGAGCGAGGAGTCCTCAGAAGGATTTATGGTCCAGTAAAGGAGGGTGATGTCTGGAGGAAAAGAAAAAATAGGGAGCTCAGTTCTCTCTATACAGACATCGACATAGTCACGTATATTAAACTGGCCAGACTAAGGTGGGCAGGGCATGTGGCCAGAATGAGCACCGTTGAAATACCAAAGAAAATAATGATGGAGGAGCTGCACCTCGTAAGAGGGGTAGGAAGACCGAGGATGAGATGGTTGGACAACGTGGTCTATGATGCGAGAACCCTGCTTGGTGTACGGAACTGGAGAGCTGCAGCAGAAGACAGAGCCAACTGGCGGAGGCTCTTGGAGGAGGCCCAGTCTCGGTAACGGGATGTCGTGCCACATAGGATGATGATGATGAATTATGTCCAAATGGATTGATCGATAAGCTGTGTGTAAAGCAACCCTATGCAGTAGGGCAGCACTACACTACAATAAAGTATTTATTTCTCTCTAGTATATTATTAATATATTATAGATATTAATATGTTAGTAGATTCTCATTGTGTGAGCAAATCTTTTTTGAAATTATGTTTAGTGGAATACATAACCAGTTAAACTAACATTAAATAACAATAGAAAAGCCCTGTACTGACATGAATAGTGTAAATTTCTGAGAGGACGGTCAGGAAGAGTTGAACTTCTCAGTTTTTTCCGATTTACCAGTTTCTATTCATGACCGACTCTTATTTCGGTTTTGTACAATTGTTGTATTCTTAATTCCAAAACTTTTTCTCGTCATACTATCCTATCGAAACATTCCCTCTCTTGTAGCTATTTTCTCTTTTACATCTTCCATCCATACCTTCCTTTGCCATCCACTCTTTTTTATATATTCTGGCTCTTGTAGGAAAACTTTTTTTGGCTATCTGTCGTCTACCATTTTCAATACTTTGCCAAACCATCGAAGCCAGAAGTTTCAGATTATCAAGACTATCGTAACTATTTCTTCCTCGAGATATTTTCTAAGAAATATCTTAATTATCTTTTACATTAATCCACACTACTAAATGCTATTTACAAATTCTGGAGAAAATGACTATTTCGTATCGTCAGGTATGTTCTCGATGACCTGAAGGGTATATATTCTGTTTTATTCTTGTTTATTATCAGACCCCATTTAGAATAGCCCTCGGTATATTTCATAATATCAATTGCAGGTCACATTCCTCTAATGCAATGACAAACTGATCATCCACAAATTGTAAGATGAATAAGAACAATTTAAAAAATCTGTACCATTACAATCCATGAAGAATCTTGAGTCACCTTAATTAACTATTAAGGTGTACCCACTTTAGCTCACGCTGTCAATTTCTGGAATTCTCTACCTATCAAAATTTGGCATTCCTCCTCAATATCCATATTCAAATCCCTCCTATTCCAATTCCTATCCCAAAAACCGTCAGATACTTGCCAAACTTTCGATATTATACATTTCTAGTCATCATCAAACGATAGTACTATTCTATACTGTGAACTTCACTAGGGATATTACAATATCTTCCTGCTCTTAATGCCACAGACCGCATCTATTGTTTGTTTTTATTTTTTTTTATTCGTATATAATTAAATCTGTACCTATAGGTAGCATTTGACAATGATGAGTCTACATATTATTCATGATTTAAATACACTGACATTTTATATTGTCAGCTTTGTCTTTTCTTTGTTAACAGCAACACACCTCGTTTTAAAGAAGAACTCAATGTATTTTTTATTATTTTATTTTTCAAAAGAATATAATTATAATTTTTCCTACTGTACATAGTCTTAAGTGTTTTATCATAGTTTTAAGTGTTTTGTATATAGATTTTTTTTTTATTTATAGCTTGTTTAACTAATATTTTCTTTACTTTCTCTTTTTTATTATTGTTTTATTTTAGCCAGATGTAGTATTTTAATTATGTTCTATTTTGTTAATCTAAAGGGACTTTGTCCCAAAATAAAGTTATATTATTATTATTATAGAGGTTGGGTGTGATCCAGGAGGGTCTTCCGAACCCAGGGTTAATTCATGGCTGATGAAAAATTATTAATCATCAGCCGGACTCGAACCTGGGTCCTTGAGCTCTGGAAGTCAGTGCTCACCCACTGAGCTACCCCGCATCCTTATCATTAATACGATCAGAATTAATACATTACCAGGTGGCGGTTTAGGAGTTTCAATACCGAAAGCTGTCTTTTGTGAACACAGAACAGGAATGAATTTCTCAAAATTAAGATCTTCAGCGCACAGTATCCACAAGGGAAGTTCAGGATACTCATTTACCTATAAAAAAAAAATCATTGAACTGCAGCATGACAATTCACTCATCATTCATTTCAACTCATTATAAGTTAAATATCATGATGTTTGAGTTAATATGACTAGCATATTTGCAATGGAGTGAACTTGTGAACTAGAAATTAAAACTTTATACGTGTCACCAGAAAAAAATTGTAAATCTTTGGTTATAATCAGGGGATTGTATTATTAATGCACAGTAATGAAATATATATTTTATGAGTTTAACCATTTGTAATATATTCTGTTAAAACACTTTTCCCAATTGTTAATTTCAAAAACTGTTGAAAAGCATTTTATTCTGTCATAACACAGAAAATACATGGGGATATTACCTTGTCAAATTGTGGTTAATTGATATCCCATTGGATTAATTTCTTATTAGAAATTTAGAACCACTCCTTGAAAGAGTGCAGAGCAGCATCTATGAGCCATTCAGTGAACTACTCACGAAATTTGATGTACAGATTACTTATAATTTATTTTGTACTTATTTAATAGCGGGTAGCGTCCGACTGCTATCTTCCAATGTTTATAACCTTAACACTGATAAGCTCTTCGTATTCATATTTATTGTATTGTATTGATATAATTGAAATTGAGAACAAAAACAAAAATAAATGTAATAATAAAAAATTACTTTTATTTTTCAACATATATATTAAAATATACCAACACATTATAAATATATAATTAAAAAACATTACGAAAACATTGCAACATATATATCAAAATAAATGAAATAATAAAAATAGGCAAAAAATAGATGAAATAATAAAAAAAACACTTAAACAGCATATGTACATATAAAAGAAACACTATGAAGAAACGATATAAACAAAATATGAAAAATTTTATTTTAACTTGATTTATTTTGGTAGGCAAAATAGTTTTGTGGTATTTAAAATAGCAAGGAAGGGATCCGCCATGGGCACAAACTTCTCTTAAAAATTTGTTCCATGTTACGATAGTTGCGTTGGATAGTTTGAGCTGCTCTTTCCCCTACTATATTATTGTTAAATTATGGGACCACCTATAAATGAATTTTAAAGCCGTTAAAAAAGAAATCTTCGACCCCTCTAACCACGTTCCTTTCCTTATAGAAACGGTTTTGTTACAACTACGAAAGCATTTCCATTTAATCTTCCCGTCGAACTTCATTTTATGACCTTCATCATAATATTTGACCTTTGCAAATATCCCGGCGTCTTGAAAATGTTTTATAGCCTCTTCTTCTGAAAACGGCAATTCCCACAATGTGACAACATCCATAATTAAATAACACTAACTCACAGCACAAGAAACAAAAAGTAAACAAGGGAATAACTTATGTTAGATGAGATAAGGGAGGTTATGTGAAGTGAGATTAGATAAAAAAGGAGGTCTTGGCGCTACCTGCTATTAAATAAGTACCATTTATTTCTTTATGAATATTTGATGTGCATTAGATTCTTTATATTGATGTATTATATCATAAGAATAAAAAAGAAATTCACCGATGTAGTAATGACTTAAATAAAAGAATATTGTAAGCCACACTTTTCTCTAACATTACAAGACGCAGGGGCACGGCTCCAAATAAAAGATCCTATCCCCTAGTACTTCAAATTGCGCATTCTCCCATGGCTTCAGATGTCTTTCTGGCTATCAGAACCACACTAAATAGCTTAAGCATGTTATTAAAATGAACATTCGCCATTTAAGCCCTACCAGAATATTTTGATTTAGTTCAATCAACATAATAACAATAAAGATCACTTTATTTTACACTGATATAACAAATTTAATTAAAATCATTATAGCCATTTTGGAGAAAACTGCAAAAATATGTGAATTTGACAATATGAAGTACCAATTCAGTTAAGTCAATTTTGGTGAAAAAGTAGCAGTACTTGTGCCTTAGGCAATCGGGACAGAATCTGGCTTCTTACCTCGTGTTATCCTTTTGTTACTTATGCGTTATTAAATTGTTTTCAGTTTTGTTTAATTTTATTATCTTCTGTTAAAATGGATATAATTACACTTTGGAAATTGCTATCTTCACAAGAAGAAGCCATCAAATATTTCCAGAAGGTCGGGATAATTACAAAGGAAATTTAGTGAAGAAGGTCACAAAATGAAGTTTGACGGGAAGACCAAATGGAGATGTTTAAGAAAAACGTATCTATAAGAAAAGGAACGTGTTTAGATGGGTCAAGAATTACCTTTTTAACAGCTTTAACATTTATTTATGGCTGGTCTCATAATTTAACAACAATCCAGTAGGGCAAAGAGTAGCTTAAACTATCAAACAAAAGTGTGGTGAGATATTTAAGAGAGGTTTGTGCCCATAGCATGTTATACAGGTCAACTAAAAAAATTGGAGGGCCTGGAAAATTCATTGAAATAGACTAGTATTTTTTGTAAAAGAAAAAATCATGTAGAGGAGATTTCTCCCTGAATAATGGATGTTTAGCGGAGTTTGCTGAGAAACAGTTGAGTGTTTCATGGTAAAAATGAAAGGCAGAAAAGCAACAACTGTATTAGAATGTATTAAAAATAATATAGAAGAGAGAAGCAGCATATATTCTGACTGTTGGAAAGGATACAACGCCCAACAACTGAATGAAGCGAAGTATGGTGCTGAACATAAAACTAATAATATTTACTACATAGTAAAGTAAAATTAGATATAAAATACAGAACAGTAATTTAGAATCAATAATTATACAAGACACAATCAATTTACCACTTTGGTAGCTCTAGATTTCATTGTAGCATTAAAATCAATCAGCTCTTTACGGAATTTCATTATATCAGATTTAATTGTAGAATGCTTCTTAGACAACACCTGAAAAAAAAAATCATTTTAAATATTTCAAAAATAATATCAACACAAAATGTAGAGGCAATATAGAGCATATAATACAGGACAGTCTTGATAATCCAAACACGTAGATTCCATGACCTTTTCGGATTATTAAAATTTTCAGATTACGAAATGATGGAAAAATTACACAAGGTAACGGAAATATATGTATTATCACTTATATGTGTCTCCCACCACTACACTGAGTTAGGATGGCTCTTCCCCTCCTTAAGAAGACAATATTTCCTAGGTATGTTCCTTTATCAAATCATTACCAATCATTGTCCTTCTTAAGCCTACAACCTTCTCCAATTTAAGTCCTCAATCCATTCCTTCACTACAAGATCTCGACCCTCTGACCTATACATCCCTTCTCATAGATCTGCCTCATTTCAAAATTCCTTTATAGCCCGTTCTGTCAACTTTTGGAATTCCCTCCCGATCAAAATTCGACATGCCCCTTCCCTATACACATTTAAAAACCTCCTATTCCAATTTCTGTTCCAAAAACAGTCAGATACCAGCTAACTATTAATATTATATCTGTATTGTGTAGCAATCATATAATCATAATACTTGGTAAGAGATAGTACATGAATTTCCTACTATCGATGTAGGAATTTCAATACATACATTTTTTTTTTTATTCAATTATAATTAACTGTTTATTTTTATATATATATTCAAGTAAATTTTTTTTTTTATGAAATGAACTCATTCTATCTTTTTTTCGTTCTTCATTTCTTAAAGTGTATGTTTATGTTGTTCAACCCTTATATATAGTTCTGTTCATAGTTCAAGTGATTCGTTCATAGTTTTAATTGTTTTGTTCATAATTTTAAATGCTCTGTACATAGTTTTATCTGTATTGTATATAGCTTGTGCACCTAAGGTTTTCTTTACTTTTTATTTTATTTTATCAATTTTATCTATTGTTTCAAACGTTTAGGCCAGTAATATTCTATTATTTTGTACATTATTGTTATTCTAAAGGGATTTAGTCCAAGAATAAAGTTTTTTTTTCTATCTATCTATCTATATGAAAATATATGTACACTAACAAAAAAAATTATTTTTGAAAATATGTCTCCTACCATCATTACACTCAGTTAGGATGGCTTTTCCCTTCCTTCCATAGACAATATTTCCTAGGAACATTTCTTTATCAGATTATCAACAATCTATGCCCCTCCTATGCTTATGATGTTCTCCAATTCAAGTCCTCAGTCCACTCTCTTATCACAAGATCCCAACCTTCTGAACTTTATACCCCATTTCAAAGATCTGCCTCTTTCCAAAACTACTTTGTTGCCCAGCCCGCTAATCTCTGTAATTCCCTCCCTTTAAAAATCTGCCATGCACCTTCCTTATTCAACTTTAAAACCCTCCTATTCCAATTTCTATTTAAAACCAGTCAGAAAATGGCTAACTACGTGTTAAATTTCAGAGCCTTGGTTTAAAAACCAATGCTTTATGTATATATATTTTTTTTCATAACTTTTCATGGACTTGTTTATATTCTTACATGTACTTATAATTGGACATTACAGATGTACCTATTATCATTACAGATGTACCTATCATTTTTCCCTCCTGAGTTACTGGGGGCATTTGCCAAGATCCAAGAAGACCTAGATCGAATCAGTGCCTGGGCAAATGTAAATGGATTAAGGTTAAATGCTGCCAAAAACTCAGGCCATTGTCATTGGTTCCAAGCCCCTCCTTAGATCCTATACAGACTTTCCCATCCTTCACCTTAATGATCAGCCAATCTCCTTCTACTCCTCTGTTAAAAATTTAGGATTTTTCATTGATCAAAACCTCTTTTGGAATCACCATATTTCTCATATCACTCGACGGACAATTTCTATCCTCAAACTATTCTATCGCTTCCGCCATCTCCTACCTTAACATACACGTAGACTCCTAGTTTCCTCTCTCATTTTCCCCCACTTTGACTATAGCTGTGTGGTGTATGATGGCCTCTCTGTGGAGCTCCCTGATAGACTGAAAAGACTAATGAACTGCTGCGTAAGATTTGTGATCGGGGCCCCAAGATACTCCCATGTTTCTCACCACTACGCTGAGTTAAAGCGGCTTTTCCCCTCCTTCTGAAGACAATATTTCCTAGGTACGTTCCTCTACCAAATCATCAACAACCATCGTCCTTCTTACGCCTACAACCTTCTCCAGTTCAAATCCTCAGTCCATTCCCTGTCCACAAGATCTCGACCTTCTAACCTTTACATGCCTTCTCACAGATCTGCCTCATTCCAAAATTCCTTTATTGTTCGCTCTGTCAATTTCTGGAATTCACTCCCTATCAAAATTCGACATTCCCCATCCATATCCACATTCAAAACTCTTCTATTCCAATTCCTATCCCAAAAACAGTCAGATAGTTGCTAACCATTCGAGCTGATTTTAATAGAGAATTTAATACATTTTTATTTTTCAATTCTTTATTTTTTTTCGTAAAAGTATATACTGGTCTATAAGAGCAAACAGCTTTAAGTGTCTTGTCATAGTATTAATGGTTTTGTATATAGTTTAGTTTGTTTTGTATACAGAATTTTTGCCTTATATTTTTTTTACATTATTTCTTTTTTTCGATTGATTTTATTTTGGTCAGATGTAATATATTAATTTTCTTCTATTTTGTTATTCTCAAGGGACTGTGTCCCAGAATAAAGTTATTTTTTTATTTCTATTTCTATTTACTTATGAACCTGTATATATATTTTTTATACCGTGTCATTGTTGTTCTACAAGATTTGTTATTTGCATTGTATATAGTTCTAGACATTTTGTATATGGTTTCATCAGCTTGTTACTTTTTTTGTATATTTGTTAGTTTACATAAGATATTTTATTTATTTAATATAATTCTCTAGGCCAGAAGTATTTCTCTGTTCGGTAACAGTTTGTTATTCTTAAAGGACTTTGTCCCATAATAAAGTTACTTCTCTAATATCTATCTATCTACAATGTATGTTGAGTCTCTGATTTTGTTGCTAAAAGAAAACTTCTGATCCTGCAAATTCCTTAAAAGTACCAAGCTTTTAGTAGTTGACGTTACATCCATTAACCCACTCCAAACAAGTATTAATTAAATTCCTTTCTGGCGTTCTATGACTTATCTATAATGAAAACTATAATGGGCACAAATAATTTTTCCAGTGAAATAAAAATTAATATAAAAAATGTATTCCACACCTGATTTCGAAAGTATCAAACCAACTTATTGGCATTATCTGCTTTGTAATCCTTCTTAAATAATTTTTTTTTAAAAAAGCTTTGACTTTTCAGCTAACATATTCCTGGAAACTGGACATCTGCTGAAACTACATATAAAGTAAGGTGACCAGATTTTAATATCGATAAAGAAGAAAACCATTGCCTGGGGGGAAGAGGTTTCTCATTAAAAATTTGGTTCATTAAGTCCAAATTTGCTGTTACAGTAATTATAATCTGGTGCAAATGTTTATCAGATAACATAGCATTCAGCTGAAATAAGGTTGAGAATTTAGTTCTAAAGGCGTATTTTGAGAGCAAATAATTTAATGATTTTGTGCCAGGAGTTAGTACACAATCAAGCAGTACTTTTTTTAAGAGCTACAAAAATTATTGACAGTAATCAAAATAGTAAATGAAGTTAATTTGCTGATGCCTAAGATTTAATGGTTTCTTTATCAATATACAGGGTGTTTCAGGGTTAAGTGGCCAAACTGCAAAAATGAACTAAGAACCTCAAAACAAGAAAAAAATTCCTTTGAAGGTATGTCCACAAACGCTTTGTTTAGGAGATATTCACTCCTTCCATTGTTATGTATTATTTACGTTATGTGAAATAAATAAAACCTATTTATTTGTTCTAACTACTTTATTAATTAAATGTAAACATTAACATTCATATTAAATGTTGTTCAAAGTGATTTCCTTGACCATTAAGACAGGCTCGGCATCTTTCTTCAACAGCAGCAATGGCAGAACGGCACTGGATATGTGTTATTGTTTCAGAAGATTCAAATATTCTTCTTCATAAGGAATTAAGGTCATTGAACGGGTTTGCATAGAATTTTTGTTTAATGTCACCCCAAACAAGAAAATCCTGTGATGTCAGGTCTGGAAAGCGTGCAGGCTAAGTAATTGGTCCTGCACGGCCAATCCATTGATTGAGATATGGGATATAATTGAGCAAATCCGATCAATGACCATTTAATATGAATGTTAACGTTTACATTTAATTAATAAAGTAGTTAGAACAAATAAATAAGTTTTATTTATTTCACATAACATAAATAATTCATAACAACGAAAATCTGTAGGAGTGAATATTTCCTAAACAAAGCGTTTGCGGACATGCCTTCAGAGGACTTTTTTTTTCATTTTTGTAGTTTGGCCACTCAATCCTGAAAAACCCTGTATTTTTTAAATAATGATACTTCATTAAAAAGATAATTTTCAAATTTTTTATTATCATTAAGTTCAAACATTGGTCGAATTCTAACAACTTATCAACAATGCAAATTTTGCTAAGCAGCTGTCTTATAATCAGTTCTTAACGATTATACATATTTTTAAAGTTTATCATAATAAAATCAACAAAAATAATATAAAACTCATATCCTGGCGAAATAGCTACATGGCTGCCAGAAACCTATTCTAACCTAGTATATTCTCTTTCCATTCTTCTACTGTTCTCTAGCTTAACGTGCATTTTTTCCAAAAATCTGGACTTTTTCAAAATGCCAAATTGTTAAAAATTGGGACGTATGGTCACCTTAATATAAAGAGATTCCTCAACTTCTGGATGATCGGCTAGTTTTAATCTTCTCTGTTTAGAGATGCCACAGTACGATTTCAACATTACCACTCGAAGCAATTCCAGTAATATGTACTGAGAAACAGAACTATTTCTATTTTGTCTCTCGTTAGTCAACTTTTTCTTTCTTGTCCAGATTACCAGGGGTTTTCGGATTAATATGGGTTCAGATTACCGAGAATGTCCTGTATAACCAAATAATATAAAAGTAAAAAAAATTAAATTACAGATTTTCTATGTTTATCATTTCTATTCAGGGGTTCTTCTATTACAGGTTGAGAAAAACACTTCTGTAAAAAAAAAATCGGAATAAATATTGCAATAAACAATATTTGTTAATATTTACATAAAAATAAATCCAAAGTAATATAAAAGATTTATTAAGAATTATTGGGAATTTTTTAAATAGTGAGATTATGAATTATAGAGATTCATGAAAAAGGAAAATATCTGATTAAAAGACTATGTTGTGCCTTTTTTAAAAGTTTTTGAACTATTCATCATCCGTGTCAGCACTGTGAAAATTAAGTGATAAATGATAGCCCAAGTTCAGGAAAATCATCAATTTTATTGTTTCATTTTGAATGAAAATAATTTTATTATTCTGGGACTAGTGTCCCTTTAGAACAAATCACAAATACAGAATATATATCAATATTTTGGTGTGTCCATGAAATACTATTTAATATTTACAGGTTGATTCGGAGTACAATAAAGTTGTAAATGATATAAATACGTGTAAATATAAAATATACAAAGAAATTAATTAAGTAAACGAAATATCGACGAATTACAAAATAATTAGAGTATCTGAGTGTACATTGAGATTTTTACAGCTTAGGTTTTTAAGTGCATTTCGTGATCAATCGGATTGGGAATGGAGTAGGTGTTCGAAGAGAAGAGATTTGAAAGAGGATATCGATTTTGCGTGTCGAATATCTGAAGGTTTAGAGTTCCAGAGGGAGACAACTTGTATTAAAAAGGATTTATCAAATGCAGCAATTCGGTGAGGGGGAGGATAGAGGTCGGACGCAAGGGATCTGGTGCTACGGGATTGAAAGGAGCGTTTGAATTGACATCACAATATATACAAAAAATACTTAGGAAAATACAAATATATACAAAAAAACTAAGAAAAATACAAATATATTTAAAAAATACTAAGAGAAACAAAATAAATAAAAGAGCTCTTATTAATTAACCGTTATTGAGCAACTGTAATTACATAATCTAAAAAATTCTTGCAAGCTTGCGGAAGTTTGAATGTGTAGTAGGTGATAGAGTAGGAGTTGTTTGAAGGAATTGGTGGACGTGGTTTGAAGTATGGAGATAGGTAAGGAGTTTCAAAATGAGGTAGTACAAATGATGAAGTATTTGCTGAAAGAAGTGGTTTTATGGGAGAGAATATATAGATCTATTTATCTACTAAAAAATTTTCAAGATCGCAATACTTTCTCTTACTATATAATACATATATAAGTGTAAGTAAAAAATCAATAAAGATGCGTACAAATAACATTTACAGAAAAAGCACAGCCTTTAAAATAACAGTTAACACTTACTAAGATAGATTTGTGTTCTTTTTCAGTTTCGAAATTGTCTGAAAGTTCCCGTAATTTTGTTTCAGAAGAAAGAATTCGAACCTCCTTAGAGGCAGGCTGAAAAAAAAAGAAATATAATAAAATAATTAATTCGTTAATAAAGAATATTTACACAAAATGCATAATTATAAATAATAATAAAAAATAATTATAAATAGCTGCTTGGAACAAACACCTACTTTGGCAGATAATGGTTCCGTTATACCATCAAAATCATTTGATTGTTCTGGTATTGTAGTGTCAGATGAAACAATTTTGTCTTGCTTATATGGACTCTAGAAAGAAAAAAAAAATAGTATAAGATATATAGTAGTGTCCTATTAATCTAAGATAGAATTAAAAAGAAAAAAATTCATTTAGCCAGGCCCGTGTACAAATATAATGTAAAGAGAGCTTTTTACTTCCCTAATTGAATACAATGGCAAAGTGTTATTAAAGGACAGTTTAGGCAACAGAGTTGTATATATTTAAACAGGGTGTTTCGTAATTACACTGCACTTTTTTAGCTATGTGTTCACCAACAAGTCCATATTAACATATATCTCAAACTCATTTATTAAGCAGAAATCAAAGGTTAAAGATTTATTATTTATTTACTATATTAAGACTGACTGTATAAAGTTTAACGTGTTTAATACTAAATAACAGGTTTTAATCACCTAATAAACAAATGAACGATAAGCAATTACAGTAGTTGCTCATCTGTTTGTCTAGTTCTGTGTGTTTGAGGGTGAGTGAATACTGGGACACAGTTCAATTTATGATTATCATGGGAGACACCACAAATTTATTCACTTTTGCAAAACAAACAGACATTCTTTTAACTTATGGCAAAGTACACAGAAATGGTGCTGCTGCTGTTCGAAGATATTGTGAAAAATTTCCTAACCGAAGAATAAAATCGTTTGAGGCCATTAAAAGATGGGTACTAGTTCACAACAGTTCCGCACGGATTACACGTGGTTCACAATCACTTCGATCACACTTGTTCATGGAATCCCGAAAACAGCCGAATGTTGTCGTCTTTTATGACGTCAGCTATTTCCCCATCACACAACCCCTTTTCATGCATTTTTGAAAAAAAAAAAAACAACGTATTCCCTTCATGGAACTTCCTTACTAACAATTTATTAACGAATTGTGTATTTACTAATTAGTCAATTATCAATTTTTATTATAATGGTTATCATTGTGAAGTAAAAAGAAAAAAATACATAAAATAATGTTTGAGTCGTTTCTTCAAGGCCTGTTAAGATTTTTTTATCATTTTCATAATAAATAATTTGAAGTAATCTATTATCTTTTTATTTGTTGTTCGAGCTTTTCAATCGAAGTTGGAATATTTGCATTTATAATTTATTTTAGCAAGCCTTTTTTAGTTTGTCATCTATCTGGTTTATGTAACTTTTTGGATTTCTAATAACACGAGCATCAACTATTTTCTTGTGGGGGGAGGGGAGCGCTTTTTATGCATATACTGTCAGATTTGAGATTAAGCATCAAGTTTATGTAACTTTTTTGAATTCTTAGATATACGGATCCACTATTTTCTAGTCGTCGGAGCTTTTTATGAATATACTGTCTGATTTAAAATTTTTCGTCGATTTTTGGATTTCTAAGATATAAGAGTCCACTATTAGGTTGTCAAAGATGCTTTTTATGAAAATAATGTCAGATTAAAGATTTATGAATATACTGATAATTCCAAGATAATGAATAACGAAAATCATCAATAAGAAAAATAATATCGTGAAATAGCATTCAGAGATGTAATAATTAAAGGTTTTTATCTATTACTGTTTCTTTTTTACAGATCTATGATATATGTACAAGTTCAATTCAGGTTTCATGATGTGAAAACCTTAATTTAGAATGTAAGTCGGCTCCTGCTATAAAACTGAACATGGTTAAGTTTATTGAAGTACTTATTAAATGGCGGGAAAGTTAATAGTAACTGGCCCAAGAGATCGGTCGCCTTCGTTATCTTTTGGATAAACCCGAACGCATTCGGGATTCCAGGAACAAGTGTGACCGTAGTGATTGTGAACCATGCGTAATCCATGCGGAACTCTAGTGAACTAGTACCAAAAGATGCCTTAGGGATAATGGCACGCTAAAACCTATACGAGTAAACACCGGTCGACAAAGATTTCGACAAACTGCAAATGTTGAAGAAGAAATACTCGATGCTGTTCAGTTATCTCCTACTACCAGTACCAGAAGATGGTCACGTCGTTTCAATTTTCCCTCTGTCACTCGCGAACTTTACGTGACCAACAATTGTATCCATTTCACGTATTGAGTAGGCAAGATTTGTTATAACAAGCACAGAAATTTTTTCCATTGGTTAATTTGACAATGCACATGAGATCCTAACTTTCTTAACTGTATTTTGGTTACTGATGAATCTTGTTCTACAAGAAACGGGATTCTTAATTTTCAAAATACCCATACTTGGGCTGAAGAAAACCCTCATACGGGTTCTCATAAGAGCCAGAGAAACATGGATTCGTCGTGCTGAATGTTGCATTCAACAACATGGAGGTCCCTTGAAAAGTTACTCTCAATGTTGTAATAATAATAAATAATAAATATATAACCTTTGATATCTGTTTAATAAACGGGTTTGAGATATATGTTAATATAAACTTTTTTTGTTTATTTTGTGTTAGTGAACACATACATAAAATAATGCAGTGCAATGACGAAACACACTGTATATATATATTTTAAAATAATGTTTGATTTCCTCATGTAATCATTAATGGAACAGATTTCCATAAAAAAATTAGGGAAAATGATATACCTCTCCTCTTCAAAAGTTTTATGTCAGTTTTGAACTGAATATGTTCTCTTTTTTAAAATAATGCTGTATAAATTTTATTAATTATAACATTCAATTAACCAGGAAATAAAGAAGAAAATAAATTTACCTCTTTAGACTCTGTATTGGTTACAAAATGAACTGATTGTTCAGGCATTTTCGGTTTAAAAGGTTCAAATGCCTTGACAGGTCTCTGAAAAATAAAATGGATTGTAAAGTTATTAAAAAATTATCTATACTAATATAATATTTCATTGGTTTATTGTAAAAAGTCACTACGTACATATTTGATGAAGCTTTACTTTTAAGTACATTTTGACCTTATTTATCAAGACGTAAACGCATCAAAATGACATTAACCTCTCTTATCAATCAAATATATATATAGAATACATAGAGAAAGATACACAGCTTGAATACATAGAGAAAATATTAATTTAAGTACTTAGTCATTTAATAAAATGTTAATCAATGACTTGCAATGGACGAAACATTCCCACATAAAAAGAAGTCATTGAATGAATAAATCTTTGGTCGAAAAATGACAGCCTAAATTAAATAAATACTTTAATACAGTTTTCACCTTAAACTTAATACACAAAATATATAACCAATTAACTCCTTTTTGCAATAAAATTATAAAATAGGCTATATAAAAAAAAAAAACATTGGTCCAGCAGAATGGAGTTATGTCCCATTACGACAATGGCTGGCCTCAAAATTTCCGAAAGGTCAGGGAAAACTTTAAAAAATTTGATGTTTTTGAACTTCTTCCACACCCACCATACAGTCCGTACCTTAATCCATCAGATTTATATTTGTTTTGATTCATGGCCCACTTCTTGAAAAAAAATAAATTTAATACATTTCACTAAGTCAGGGAGAAAACAGCAGTTCAGGGATTTGTCTATAGCCATCCGAAAGAGTGCTGCATAGGATAAAGCAACTGGCCGAAAGATGGAAAATGGCAGTGCATCACAATGAGTTATATTTTTAATATTAATTTTATGTTACATCAAAGAAAAATATATTGTAATGTACACCTTTATTGCAAATGAGTAAAAAGGTTTTAATAAATCAATATTAAACAATAAAAAGGCAAACTAATCTAGTTCTACTAGTGCAGAGAAAAGAAAATGGCTACTCTGTAGTTTCCCAAGAAGGAAAATCCCAAAGAGGAGAGGAACAAAAGTTTTTGTTTTGGCAAACAGTTGTTGTGTGACTGGAGTGAAGAGAGGATAGGAGAAGGGATCCTGGCTCCAGTGGATAAAACCCAGTAATAGCGTTACCAATTTGGAAGAGTTGTTTGGCAGAACTTTGGAAAGTGTTTGAAAGCGAATGAATTCAGTGTCACAAAGGAAGAAACATATAATATAGAAAAGGGTTAGCTTGCCAATCCATATTTGACTTTATTTTAAAATCAATCAGTGTTTAATTTTAGTATAAATAGTTGTAAATAATAATAGTTTGTCTGAGTTGATCTGATTGTCAGTAACCCACACCTGAGATAAATAAATATATTAATTTTCTTATAATTTTGTGTATTATTAAACAACCTCTTATTTATTAAGAAAGTATCCTAATAGCATTACAGTGATCTTCTGAGATTATGTTATTATTTGTAAAATATAAGAGAGATGTTACAATATTTTAATTTTTTGTTGAAAATAGTATTTTTTTTTTTAATACAGCCTATTAACAAAGGAATATGGAAAACTGGATAATCAAGCTAGTAGAGCTTACCAATAATACCATTTTCATTCATTATAGATAATGCAATCGGACAATCTTTTAGGTATATTTGAGTCCATATAACAGAAGAATATTTTTCCTTAGGATAACTAGTCCTGTCATAAATATTGTTACAAAAAAATATATACAGATTTCAACAGAAAAAATATTTTTTTCAGAAAACATCCTAGAAAATAAAATGTATATCTATAGAGAGGAAAACAAAAGAGAAATTACTCAAAATGCCTTCCTTTTGTCTTGACACTGGCATTTAATCTCCGAGGCCAGTCATCGATAGCAACACACAGAACTTCTTGAGGAAAGCGCTCAACTGCTCGGTCCAGAGATTATTTGAAGCTTTCCAAGTTAGGGAGTGCCGCCCTGTGGCATGCCATCCTCTCCAGTTCGGACCAAAGCCGATAATCAAGTGGGTTGAGATCAGGGCTTCCTGAGGACCAATCCGAGGCAGAGATGAACTGTAGAATGTTCTTTTGTAGCCAATGCTGAGTTGACCTAGCCTTGTGAGCTGGAGCAGAATCCTGCTGGAAAACCCAATGAATTTCAGTAAACAGTGTATCATTTAGACGCTTGATGACTTTCAGTAAACAGTGTATCATTTAGAGGCTTGACAACAGGTTCCAAAATGTTTATACACATGATCATTTTAGCGACTAAATTCTTCTGATTTGAGCAGCCACTACTCTCACTGCATTTGCCGTTCTCACAGTGCAAGGGCCCGGTCGAGGTCTGTCACATACATATAGGGTCTCATTATATCTATTTATAGTGCGGTACACAAACATACGGCTGATACCCAAAGGTTTCAAAGTGTTGAAAATCTCTGACCTACATTTTCCAGCTTTGTGTAAGGCGATCACAGCTATTTGGTTTTTTTTATCACCCCACTCCATGTTAACTGAGCGAAAGAAAAATACAAACCAATTGGTATTATCATGATGTAAAAAAAATAACCCGAAAGAGGTTAGGGTAGATAGATCTGAGTTCTGCTATAATATAAACATTCAATAATATTTTATATATTTATGTAGTATTGTAAATTAAAAAAAAAAAAAGAAAAAGTAGATAAGTTAAGACAAAAACAAGGTACATCACACCTAACCAACTAATATATTATAACTGATATATGACAAATAAACAATAATAATTTATGAACAAGATAAATTACTTTATATACTGCTTACTCTTTATCTTTTTAAAAAAAAACAATAAGAGATAAAATAAATCATAAGCTTACCTGTTTGTTATCTCTCGATTTTATATTAACATCAAAATGAATTGAGGTTTTATAATTTTTTTTTTTATGAGATACAGACGATTTGGGAGAAATCACTGGCAATGGTTTCGGAAGCTTCTAAAAAAATAAATCACATGGTAAATATAAATAACATATATATACTAGGGAGAATCCCTTGTCCGCCTAAAGGCGGACCAACCCTCATTTTAAAAATTATTCAACTGTTCATTTAATTGTACTAATCGTTGATCAAATTGTATAACTGTAATTTACATGTATTCTGTAGTTAAGAATGTATTATTTTTTTATCAACATAAAATAACAAAACAAAACCACAGTTCGGACAAATTTTTAATTTCTTAAAACTCTATGCTATATTTCGCACCGTATTGCGAATTTGTCACCATATATTTAACTTATTCAGCTTCATACAAGCCCAACATCAATTTGGGCCTTTTATTTCTAATATTTTCATAGCGCATTATATTATACTTCCTTTTCTATTTCATAATAATTATAATTATATCACATACAATATAAATAATATTATATATAAATAAGTGTCTAGATCGAAAAATAAGTGCTGTCGCATAGATAAAAATCAAACTACCACCTCCAGATGAATACCATTTTCCGTACAAATGTTTCGTCTAAATTCTTTATTCTGTATTAAGAAAGTATGAGGTCAATACTGTAACGAAGACAGTAGGGTACAAATCTCGGTTTTGTATTAGAATAACAGGAGCTCAACCCATATACAATTAAATGAACAGCTCTATAAGTAATTAGTGCTAATTATAGAACTAATAGGAGGGCTCCTGTAATCTCCTACTCTCGTAATACTAAAATAAAATAAAATATGAGTCACTAAAAACTTTTATATATATATATATATATATATATATATATATATAAAATGCAGAGCATAAAAATATCAGTATGGAACTAAATACTAACTTCAGTAGGTATGGGGTCTGTTTTATCATAAAAATCATTTGGATATTCTTGTATTTTTTTTATTTCAAAAGAACCCGAATTACTGGAAGGCCTCTGCAGGAAAACAAATCAGTTTAATTATGCCTATAAATAATATATACATAAAATTCAGTCATTAAAAAAATGAATATTAAACTAAATACTAACTCTGATAGGAATGGGATCTGTATTAACATCAAAATCATTTGCATATTCTTGTGTTTTGATTTCAAAAGAACTCGATGACTTAAAATATCCCTGTGAAAAAAAAAAAAAGTTTGAAAATGCCTATAAATAATATATACACAAAATGCAGTCAATAAATAGGAGCATGGGACTAAACACTAATCTTGCCATGCAGTAAGAGTTTAGTTATAACATCTAAATCATTTGGATGTTGTATATTTGTTCTTAACGTGTTACCGATGACCTCTGGAAAAAGAAATTTAGTTCAAATAGGTTAATAAATAATATATTGTAATGTCAACATTACATGGTATATAAATAGTGGCGCGAAAGTGGCAAGAGCATGAACTACAGGAAGGAAGTGGAGGAAGCAAGCCTCATGCGACTCAGACTGCGACGGGCCGCCAAGAGGGAAGGTGCTAGCGGCCAAGAGAGAAGATTATGAGCCGCCAAGAGAAAATGTGACAAGCTGTCAAGAGAGAAGGTACTAGCCAGCAAGTTGAGAAAATATAAAGAGCCACAAAGTTTAGGCTGGGACAATAAAGGTTTTTGAAAACAATATGTATAATTTCTTAATGTATGTATCTAGTTTCTTTATATGTATTTAGTAATTAGTAATTTATAGTAATTAAATGTTGAATGAGTGTTCAGTTGTCAGAACCCAACCTGAGAATTTATGTTATATGTGCTAAAATAAATAATATATTCAAAAAGGAAACTTGTTTGTTTGATTTATGTTGACAAAGGGTACGTAACAACATGGCCCCCTATGTTGGCTTTTGAGAACGTTACAATATACACTGATTACAAAGCTTGTAAGGACCAATTGTACAACTGGCTCTAAATAGGAGTGCGGAACTAAATACTAACTTTGCTGTATGAGGCGTCAGTTATAACATCAAGATTTTTAGAGCGTTCCTCTATTTTTGTTTTAAAGGACACTGACCTTGTAGACCTCTGAGAAAAGAAATCAGTAAAGATATACCTATAAATATTAGGGTAAAAGCAACAGTAGCTGACGGCGTATCAATATCAGATACCCTACTCGAAAAATGAGAACAAAACTTCGGGACCTCTTAGACCTCTATTTCATTTATTTTTAGTTTCTACATTTTCTCCTTATGTTTTTGTCAGCTTTTCTTTAGTCTTGACAAAAAATGCAACCGAAATTATAAGTGGCAAATTAGGAAGGTCTCTCACGGTCCACTTAATGTCAGTAACAACCAGCTGTCAGTAAGAGCACCATATCTTAGGTTTGCTTTTTTCTCTTTAATGTAAATAATTTGTTTGGGTGGGAATTGGTGAATAGCCTTCCGCTTTTATATCAGGTAACTAAGTTATTTACACTCGTGAATACTAAAACAAAACCCCGGCACTGGATATAGACTTTTTGAGGGCGTTTAACTGTTGTTGGGAATTCGGAAATCTAATACCTTTTGTGACACTGCGTGACAAGAAACAATAAGAACATATATGTATATATATATAATGTGGGACTGAGTAAATACACTTTGAAGGAATTGACTCACCTTGTTTATTATTCTTCAATTGTGAGGCCTATAGGACAACTAAATAAAAGGACTATTCACTCCTGTATAATGAAACAATTTATTTTAACAACTGATAATAAATGAATATATTGAAGTCTTATAACTGTAGGCTTGATATTCTTGGTCTTTAAATGTTCTGCCTCTCTCATCTCAGGTAACTTCCTCTCGCCTCTGTAGTAAACATCCCCCTGTATTTACTCCTTTAGATGACAATGTGTGAGGGAATGAGAAGGAATATATAATATATAGGAATGTGAGATTGCACTGTGAATTGTACTCAATTGTGCAGTGGATAAATTGCTCATTGGAAAATCTCACATCGATAAACAATCGAAAAGAAGAAAAGGTCCGATCAGGTAGCTGGCAACAGATGGCGAGGACGACGCCAAACACTTAAGGCCTGGACACCTACACAAGAAGACGTCATCTGGGAAGAGAGGCTTACTACATTGAAGACCAAGATTATCAAGCCGACCGTTCACTTATATATATTCATTTATGATCAATTGTCAAAATAAATTGTTTTATTATACCGGAGTGAACAGTCCTTTTATTTAGTTGTTCTATAGGCCTCACAGTTGAAGAATAAACCAGGGGAGTCAATTCATTCAAAGTGTTTACTAAATCCCACATTTCAGATATATGTATTCTTATTGTTTCTTCTCACACAGTGTCATAAAAGGTATTAGATTCCCGAATTCCCAACAACAGTTAAACACCCTCAAAAAGTCTATATCCAGTGCCGGGGTTTTGTTTTAATAACTGACGAGTGTAAATAACCTTAATCCCCGATATAAAAGCGGAAGGCTATGCCCTATTCCCGCCAGAACTAATCATTTACATTTAACTTCCTGTTGGTTATTTACACCTCTGTGTTTCTGGCTCAAGTGCCCTCTCCCTGGCGTCATTCTGCAGCTGTTGCTAGCTATCTGTTATCCTTTTTCCAGCATCCTTCTTCATCGATTGTTTATCGATATGAGACTTTTCCATGAATAATTGGTCCACTGCATAATTGAGTACAATTCACAGTGCAACCTCACATTCCTATATATTATATATTTCTTCTCATACCCTCACCCAATGTCACATAAAGGAGTAAATACTGGGGGATGTCTACTACATTAACTACCCAAAAATTTTTGTTTTATTGTTTTTTTGGAGTGTTTTTAAATTATGTTTTATCCCTTTGAACTTATCTTGATGAAGGAATTGGATATTCAATAGGTGTCAGCTACTGGAGCTTTATAACGGGGTCTTTTACCAGTAGCTGAAAGACCTGTACTCTCATAAATAGAAGATATACTCAATATAACGGGTCTTAAAAATGGAAACATTTACTACTGTTTGTAATTTTATTTAATGATTTGTATTAAATATAAAACGAAAATAATTTTTCCTATTGCCAAAAACAGGTCCTTGACAGTGACCAGCATTTATCGATAAATTTAAGTCAGGAAACGCAAGAAGTTAGTTTTATAATAAGTTAAAGTGAAGTTTTAATCTACCAATACACCCAATTAATGACTGTTTTCGAATTAGTAAAGGTTGGGAATCGAGACCAATCTTGGTTTCCTTCAATAATTATAAGGTTAAACAAGCAATAATAAAAAGAAGAGATGACAGCCAGAAATAATTACAGAGTAAGCCATGACAGCTGACTGGAAGAAAAGGAAGGCAGAAAAAAGTTTAGTTGTATTAATAAATTAAAAGTTTTGGACAAACATGCGTCATACAGAAGGGGTTTCTTCAAAGTTAGAGGCAATCTATATCATTTTGTAGTAGATATCCCCTAGTATTTACTCCTTTATGTGACATTATGTGAGGCAATGAGAAGGAATACATAGGAATGTGAGGTTGCACTGTGAATTGTACTCAATTGTGCAGTGGACAAATTGTTCATTGAAAAGTCTCATATCGATAAACAATCGATAAAGAAAGAAAAAGGTCCGGTCAGATAACAGCAGCTGGAGAAAAACGCCAGAGAGAGGGAGAGAAGGGCACTTGAGGCTGTGACACGGAGACGAGAGGACGCTAGGCCTGGACAGGAAGAGAGGAGGTTGTCAGAAGAGAGAGATGCTGCAATGAAGATTAAGAATATCAAGCCTACATTTATAAGACTTTTATACATTCATTTATTACAGTTGTAAAATAAATTGTTTTATTATACAGGAGTGAAAAGTCATTTATTTATTTAGTTGTCCTATATGCCTCACGATTGAAGAATAACAAAACAGGTGAGTCAATTCATTCAAAGTGTATTTACTAAGTCCCACACACACACACACACACACACACACACACACATATATATATTCCTATTGTTTCTTCTCCTCACTCAGTTTCACAAAGGTATTAGATTCCCAAATTCCCAACGACAGTTAAACACCCTCAAAAAGTCTATATCCAGTGCCAGGATTTTGTTTTAATATTCACGAGTGTAAATAACCTAGTTCCCCAATAAAAAGCGGAAGGCTATTCGCTATTCCCGCCAAAACTAATTATTACTTTTAACTTTAACAGGCTATTTACAATTTGAAGGAGGTGGAAAATATGTTAGAAAATTCACCGACAATCGAGCGAGACAACCAATTACAGAAAAAAAGAAAGATAAATAAAAGATTAAAAGAGTTCGAGTTCCGTTCGAGATCTACTTCACTCAACGGTCACCCTTCAGAAAAGCTCCTTGAGCTTAAAAGTAATTTTAACTTAAGATAATATTTAACAATATCAAAGGTTACCACAATTTACGTAACATCAGTTCATTTTCAGATACTAATAATATAATGGCAATATGTGTAGTAGAAACCTCGTTAGTGACCGATAATTTTATCATTCTACCTGAGCTAAAAATTTTCAATACATTTATTAGTAACACTGCAATATCATATAAATATAGCGCATATTTTGTTACCCATTAGAATGATAACAAATACATCGTATTATTGCGACATAAAGAAGTATATTTAAGTTTTTTTGTTAGTTGATCAACAGTGAAACTTAATTTATATTGATCTGAACAATTTGCTTTATATTAATGTATTAATCTTTTTTCCTCCTTATATTGTCCTCGTGTACTATATCATGTCTTATATTGTACCTGTTATTTAAAAACTAACTATAACTAACATTGATTGGGCCAGATTCCATGTCTACGCTGTTTATAAGCCAATAAATAAATAATTAAAAAAAAAACAACTGAATGATATAAATGGTAAAAATAAATGTTTAAATACCATAATTGGTAATTGGTTGACTGTCGTGGATAATGAAGAGAAGAATAGTTGGGGTGTTCAGTCAAAAAGGAAGGCAAAAATAAATTATAATATTTATTTTTACATATGCCGACGTTTCGACCTGAAGTTCAGGCCTTCATCAGGGCTAAGAAAATAACCAGATAACAAGGTATGAGAAACATAAGTAATGATGGTAAAAAAGATAATAAAAAATAAAAAAAAAATAAAAAAAAATAAAAATTATTAGAAAAATAAAATAGATAAATATAATTTTATCTCTTAGTTCTTAGTCATTATTATAACAATTTCATTTTACTTTATCTATTTTATTTTTCTAATAATTTTTATTTTTTTTTATTTTATTTTTTTTTATCTTTTTTACCATCATTACTTATGTTTCTCATACCTTGTTATCTGGTTATTTTCTTAGCCCTGATGAAGGCCTGAACTTCAGGTCGAAACGTCGGCATATGTAAAAATAAATATTTTAATTTATTTTTGCCTTCCTTTTTGACTGAACACCCCAACTATTCTTCTCTTCTTTAAATACCATACTTTTATTGTAGGAAGTTAGTCGACTGTTCCAGGTATCATAGTTTATAGGTAATCAGAAAGCAGTCATTTAAAGATTTTTAGTGTTGCCGACATTTCAAGCCAAGCATATTGGGCCAGTAGTACAATCAACAGGGCAAAGTAGTACATGGACACTCAAAGGAGCACTTGAAAACCTTAAGTAATGGAGATAATGATGACTCACATGATTGGGTTGAAACCTTGGCAACAATAAAAACATTAAAATGACTGCTTCCTGGTTATTTATCACATATAATACTTTTTCTTATTATTTTGATTTTCTTCATTAGGCCGACTGGCCACCAAAAGCGCAGCGTAGCTGAGTCAGATTGCAAAACCGAACAGAAGGTTTTCAATGAGAGCTCGACCAATAGAAAAAGAGCTGAGCTGAGCGCAGTTGAGCGGCGTAGCAAGGGTCAGCTCAGTTCAGCTATGGGTCGACAGAGGTTCAGTTTCAGGAGCTGACTCCGCTACGGTCAGCTTCCCCCACCATACCTACTCACCGCTGTCATACAACCCTCTCTCTGGAGCTCCGTTCCTCAGTTTCGTCCTTTTTTTCTATTTGTTTTCACTGCGCAACCTCTCAAAGTATTTTATTTTGGTCCAGTGTAAAATATGCAATGGATGTGGAAGAATTCTTAATCGATTGTGTAAGTGAAAATTTTCAATTTTATATAGGATACTGTAGGACAGGAAGTCATAGGTTTACGACGAAGTATGAAGGTAATTTGATGGAATTTATTTCAATCCTCCAGTTTTGACACCATTTTTCAAGACTTATGATGTGTGATTGAAGAGTTTGGGATGCAATAGATGGATCGTTATTAACTGATAGGATACACGTGTCATCGGCATAGGTGGTGATGACAGTGTTGGATTGGGTTGGGATGTCAGCTGTATAAACTGTGTAAAGGATAGGACCTAGGATACTACCTCGAGGAACACCGGCAGACTAAATTTCTTATTTAAATTACAATGTTATGTAGTTAATTGAAGGTCATGTAAAATCATGACTCAGTAATCTCAGAGGATGCTAAGTATCAGTATGGAACTAAATACTAACTTTGGTTTGTGTCAAGTCCGCTGAAACATCAAAATCATTTGGGGGTTCTTGTATTAATGTTTTAATAAATTCTGATGACCTGGAAGACCACTGGAATAAAAAAAAAAAAAAAAAATAGTTTAAATGTGTAAATAAATAATAAATAAACTGAGTAAACAGGTTTTAAATAGGAATTTGGAACTGAATACTAACTTTGGTAAGAGAGGAGCCGGTTATAACATCAAAATCATAAGGATGTTTTGGCAGTTTTGCTTTAAAAGATCTCAATAACTTGCTAACAGTTCTTTGGATGACTCCTTTGGATTCTGTGGCAAGATCAGGATAAGATCTTTTTTTATGTGATTTAAATGGCTTAGGTCTCTGAAATAAATATATTCACTTTGATAGAACTTAATAAAATGAAAAGGACTACAACCCTCTTTGGATTCTTTCATCTTACAAAGAGTTGGAAAAATTTTTAAAGCCATTTTTAGATAATCTCAATAATAAAGACACATACAACATAAAAGGGCATTTACGGCTAGCAATAGCACTATGAAATTAAAAATTAATAGTGATAATGAAAAACTTTAAAACTTTGATATAGTTTTATAATTTACTTCAATACCAATGGTGCTTAAGTTTAAAATTACTTTGGAAAAGCAGAAAAAATCGTGGTAGTAGGAAACCTAAAGTTGAAACTTCCATTGAAGGTCTTAAATTGGTACATGAAAACGTTTTTTTATGATAAACAACTTATGTGGGTTATTAATTTTTTTTTTAATATAATGAATTTTACTGAAAACTTGAAGATTTTCTAATGGGTAGAATTTTGTCTGCAACTCTGAGAGAAATATTAATAAACCAGTTGCCCCATGCTGGAATCAATACAATTTAATACCTAGTCCTGTGATAAATATTATTACAAGCAAATATATACAGATTTCAACAGAAAAATTAATTTAATAAAAAAAATCTTAGAAAATAAAATCTATATCTATAAAGAGTAAAAAAAAAAAGAAGAAATTACTCAAAATGTCTCTCTTTTGTCTTGACACTGGCATTTAATCTCCGAGGCCAGTCATCGATAGCAACACACAGAACTTCTTGAGGAAAGCGCTCAACTGCTCGGTCCAGAGATTATTTGAAGCTTTCCAAGTTAGGGAGTGCCCTGTGGCATGCCATCCTCTCCAGTTCGGACCAAAGCCGATAATCAAGTGGGTTGAGATCAGGGCTTCCTGAAGACCAATCAGAGGCAGAGATGAACTGCAGAATGTTCTTTTGTAGCCAATGCTGAGTTGACCTAGCCTTGTGAGCTGGAGCGGAATCCTGCTGGAAAACCCAATGAATTTCAGTAATCAGTGTATCATTTAGAGGCTTGATGACTTTCAGTAAACAGTATATCATTTAGAGGCTTGACAACAGGTTCCAAAATATCGTTCTGATGGTTTTTAGCGGGTGTTTTAACTCCTCTTTTTTCACAAAAATGGAGCTTTGTGGTGCCACCAAAGCAAACTCCCCACCAAATCATCACTGAGGAAGGGTGATGACCTCTTCCCACTCTTCCAATGACTTCCTGGGCTTCTTTAGAGCTGTGTGCATACACAGGATCATTTTGTCGATTAAAAATTTTATCATTCTTCAAAATGCATCAGCCGTTCTCACAGTGCTCATTATATCTACTTATAGTGCGGTACACGAACATACGGCTGATATCCAAAGGTTTCAAACTGTTGAAAATCTCTGACCTACATTTTCAAACTTTGTGTAAGAACGATCACAGCTTTTCGTTTTCTTTATAACCCCACTCCACGTTAACTGAGCGAAAGAAAAATACGAACTAATTGGGATTATTATCCTGACATGTAAAGAAAATAACTTGATAGAGGTAAGGATTATCTAAATAATGCTCAAGGATGTAAACAAAGTTCAACTTTTGTAACAGTATTTATGGCAGAACTAGGTATAAAAACTGGATTGCTTATGATTTATTATTGTTATCAAAGGAAGATGAGATTTGGATGCACTTTTATAAAATATGGATGTATTAAGAAAAACAAGTTTGAAAGAATGAGTAAGCGAATTTATTGATAGAATTTGATTAATTTGGTACTCGACCATTTTTACAATAATTCACAACATTTCTCAAACTTTTCACTAAATCAAATTTATTATTTTTAAAATATAGGTGTGTTAAGGAAAACACATTTAGGTTTATAAACATTTAAATAATGGATGAAAATTTATGAAATTTGAAGCAACTATCTAGATATTAACCTTCCCAATCTCTAAAAATTTCATTAAAAATCATAAGGATATCTTACCATAGAAGACCAGAGGGGAATCAAAGATGAAAACGAACGTGCATACTCCATAAATTCCATCAGCAAAGAATGCAGTTTTGACTTAGAAACAAATCTTTCTATAAAAAACATTTCAATAAGAAACAAAAACATATCTTAATAAAAATACATAACTAAAAACTATAATAAAATAAAACAATAAAAAAACTATAAATACATAGAAGACTACAGGAGAAGTACGAAATATATCTCACTTTTTTCTAATCTACATGGAATAAATAGAAAAAAAAATAGCTATAGATTCATTGTGTAATATGTAAAAATATATACCAAAATAAGGAGATAAAAAGGTAGTAAAACAGGAAAAACAAGGTTTTTTTAAAGTCTATGATTAGGTATCCAATGTACTAATTGTTGAAATGAAACGGGATTTAAGATTCACAATCTTAAATCTAATAAATAAAAAAAAGCTCGAAAAGAGTTTAAAATAGTTTAGTAATGGTGAAAACATTTTGAACTTTTTTTTTTGTAATCTTATTGAAATGACCATTTTACAAACCGCAGAATGTAGTTCAAGCACTGAATGTGTGTGTGTGTATGTATATATATCTATATATACCTAGTTCTGCCATAAATACCGTTACAAAAGTTGAAATTTATTTACATCCTTGGGTATTATTTAGATAATCCTTATCTCTATCAGGTAATTTTCTTAACATGTAAGGATAATAATCCCAATTGGTTTGTATTTTTCTTTCGCTCAGTTAACATGGAGTGGGATGATAAAGAAAACCGAATAGCTATGATCACCTTACACAAAGTTGGAAAATGTAGGTCAGAAATTTTCAACACTTTGAAACCTTTTAATATCGGCCGTATGTTCGTGTACCGCACTATAAATAGATATAATGAGACCCTATCTGTATGCGACAGACCTCAAACGGGCCAACAAACCATGTCTCGGGAAATGGGAATTTCTGTCAGATCAATGTCTTACATATAAAAAGTGACCTTAGGATGGGTGCATTTTGAAGAATGACAGGACAAAGGCTATAACCACTTCCCTAACAAAATTTAGAGTGGATACATTATCGACTTTGGTCCGAACTGGAGAGGATGGCATGCCACAGAGCACACCCTAACTTGGAAAGCATCAAACAATCTCTGGCCCGAGCATCTGAGCACTTTCTTCAAGAAGTTCTGCATGCTGCTATTGATGACTGCCCACGGAGATTAAATGCTTATGTCAAGGCAAAAAGGGGAACATTTCGAGTAATTTCTTTTTTGTTTTACTCTCTATAAATTTACATTTTATTTTCTAATAGTTTTTGAAAAAATTAATTTTTCTGTTGAAATCTGTATATATTTCCTTGTAAGAATATTTATGACAGGACTAGGTATAAATTTCTGTTTATGTCTTTCCAGTTAATAATAATTTATGTTTTCCGCTTTTCCTTTTTACACGTTTTCTTCAACAATTTTAAGCTCCTGTTATGCTGTGCCTCAAAACTTAGTGCTAATATTGCTACTGTTTTAGAGATGGCAAACTTTTCCCAAAATTTATTAATAAAAACTTAGGTGTAATTTAAAACATTTTTTCTATGCATTCAAAAAACCCCAATTTGCATACAATACACTGATTTTTCTCTGTAGTCTTCACACAAAAATCATTTTTCTGATTTTGCAATAAACATAATGATTTTTTTCATTTTTATTGGGTATTCGTTGTCAGAAGCATATCAGTTATAAGTTTAACACTGCTTAAAAGTAAGAGAACGTGTCACACAGTGATCAGTGATTTAGGTAAGTGTTTTTAATCAGTGGGTAAAGTACAAAAAAGAAAAGAAAAACTAGTATGAAGTAGAAAAAAAAAACAAAAAAAAAAAACAGATAATTTCAACAGCCTCATTGCAAAATGTGTAACTGCAATTTTATTAGAAAGTACTGTTTTGAGCGTTTCTGGTAATTCTTGGTCTCAAGTATAACCAGAAATAAAAAAAAAACAACGTTATTTAAGATGTAAGTTATAAAGATGTATAAGAATGCTTAAAATAAAGATTTAATGCTTACATCTTTATTTTAAGCGTTCAGACGGGTCATATTGAACAAAAAATATAGTTCATAAGATAAGAAATACACGTTTTATTTTGTCTTATGAAAAATTTTCAGTTTTTGTAGAAATACTTTTGTGGTGTGGCTGTCAATTTACCTAAGTGCTTATACAGGCATAATAAAAAAATGGAGGATTAGAGATTTTTAAGCTACGATTGTCTCAAACTTTTGTGCTAAAGGAGTCATAAACATAAAATAAGTACATAAAATGTCATTACTTGTCCAAACCAGCTCTCGATCATCACTCATTATAATATCACAACACAATTTATGCATCATTTTTATGCAAGGTGAAGGTTGGTCTTGTGGAATTTTTGATTTGAGTTCTGAAATAATTTGTTTCTGAAAAAAAAATTTACAAGATACATTATTGTTGTGTCTAAGTTATGGTCTAAGGAGAAATAAATTATTTTAAATAACTGTGTACCAGGGAGGAGTAAAGTACAATGTTTCAAAAAATCATTATGTACTAACAAATCTGATTCAATATTATTAAACCAAGTCTTAACAATCTTGCTAAAATAATTGTTAATTTTATATACTCCTGGAGTCCTGCCTTGGCTTCCATGTCGGGGAATAAGGCATGACTCAAGAGTCCCCTGGGTGAATGTAAATATTGTACATAGGTGTGAATGTGATTTATTTACTTTAATTTCATTTAGCTTTTATCTATTATTTCATTTTTTTTTTTTTTTTTTGTGCACAGGCATACCAATTTACTTATTTTATTTTTTTTTACATTTCTTTTTCTTTATTATTGATATTAATTGTATGTACATATGTGAATGAATCATGTAGCCTTAATATTAATGCCCTTCAATGTGGCAAAATGTATTAATATTCAATAAAGAAAGTAATAAAAAAAAAAAAAAATTTATATAATTTGTTGAAACATTTCAATTATAAAATATTTCACTCTTGAACTCAAAATCGCTTTTAATCCGCTCGTTCTATTAATTACCTCCTTCCTGTTACCTGCTCAACGCAGATTAAAAAGAAAATAGCCCAGAAATTAGATGCTTAGCCAATACTTGAATAAATCAAGGGCATTACCAAGAAAAACTCACAGAAACTAATAATTTAACATCAAATTTGTTAGATGATAGCTGAAAATTTTCTAGAAATACTGTACAATTAGAAATTTTATAAAATAATAAAATAAAATATTAACAAGTATATGATTAGTAAGTAAAGTTGTTTAAGTTTCAGCTGTGAAAGCAATTTAAGGCAGATATATTCAAATTTATCTAAAATCTTTTGTTTAGAAATGGTACATTATACATCAATATTAGTATTCTAATATTTAGAACTTTTTTTTTTCAACCAGAGAAAATATTCCTCTTAATTATCAAATTTTTAATCCCTTTTTTACAAGTAATATATAGTAAGGGAAAGTATTTTTAGTAATTAGTATATATAGTAAGTATCATTAAAAATTTCAAAAATCAGGTTTCAACAGAAATACACGTTTTGAGGTCCACCAAGTCTAAATAACTAAGTCCCACAAAATGGCTGTGGGTATAAGTGAAGTAGTTCAAAAACAAAACATCGTACACAACTAAAATTATCTATTGAAGGAGTACATGACTGGGATGTTATAGCAACTTTTTTTTTAAATCAGCTAAACAGAAGTGCCAATTTATATCATGAATTTTACAATTTTCTCAAAAACGGCTCTAACGATTTTGATTAAACTTGGTATATGAATAAATAATTAAACGATCTTTAATATCAGGTAGGCATTATTCTCATTGATGTCACCTGACTGGGCTAAAATGCCCAAATTGAAAATTTTCTTTTTCCAAAGTACCTTTAATTTAGTTTATTTTAAATTATTAACTGTCTCTCATTGTTATTATTATTATGGCTTCCTCCACTACAGCCAACCAATCTCCACGGTCTTGTGCTACTTCCCTCCATCTTTGAGCACGCCTCAGATCGTCCTCTACATCCTCCAGCCATTTGATCGGAGGGCGTCCTCTACTTCTTTTGCCATCCGGTTTCTCATGCAGCATCCTCTTTGGCATTCTTTCCACATGACCTAACCATCTGATTCTGGCTCTTGTTATCAATGCTACAATATCAGGTTCACCATAGAGTTCCCGCAGCTCCTCATTCTTTCTTCTCCAAATTCCATTCTCAAAGATTCCGCTTTATATTCAATACTTTCCTCTCCCAGGAGTTGAGCGTGCGTTCTGAGTTTTTGGTTAAGGTGTTTCATTGTTAACAACAATAAAAAAAAGATCCAATATAAACTATAAAAGAATTTCATAATTGACTAAAGGAAAAAAAATTAATTTTATGACCATCATCCCGGACCATCTCCTTACTCAGTAATATACCACGGTCAATCATCAACTATGTAGAAAATAAGGAAAATAATTTTTTTTAGATTGAGAATGAATTTTCCAAAATAATTGTCAGAATGTATACATATTATATATTGTTGGAAAGCTGAGAATTTTAGAAAAACAATATCTATCATACAAAGTCATAAAAAATAATGGAGAACAATGACAAAATTTCAGAAAATTAATATTATTTAACCAAAACTAAATGAAATTCCTTAACTAAACATAAATTTATAAAATTATTATTAAGTTTGTAAAAAAAGTATAAATAATCCACTGAATCGAGGAAATGATATTGTTAAACATAAAAAAATTTATGTTTTATGTTATATTTAATTAATTAAATATATTTAAATAATTAGATATATATCGCCGATTTATTCCAAAAAATCGTTCAGTAACATTTTATAAAAGGGAATGAGTGGATAATTTTATGACTTTTCTCCCTGTGAAATCATAACATTATCCTTTAAACATTAGTTAATATTTAGTCCTTTAACATATGTTAATAATATATCACATTTTTCTATCTGTTTGGCCTGATGTTTGAGAGAATACAATATAAATATATTTTATTTTTTATTTATTTATTTATTAATGATATTTACAACTGTATTACAAGTAAAAATACATTCAGTAAATGTGTACAATAGAATATAATAACATGAAATAATTTGGTGAGAAACTACCCACTGGTAGCACTCTAAAAATGTATTTACAAAAGGAGATCTCGAGGCCATCTTCTATAAATATATAAAGTTATTTTTTTAAATTCTTACATTTTCTATGGAGGAACAAATATGTTTATCCCAAACGAGTTCTGGATGATTTGGAAAAAAATCATCAGTTCCTTCATCAGTGTCTCCAACAGTAAATAAATAATAATATCTTCTGATAAAGGGAGGAATATCGGCGAGTATTTCGCTGTGCTCAACACCATTGAGGAATGTTATAAATTCTATGATAGCATTAAAATTATTATCAGTTTCCAATTCTAGAAATAAATCAAATACACATTAGAACTTTACAAAAAAAAAAAAAAAAAATCTATTTTTACAAAATTATTGCAGTGCAAAAATAGTAATTATTATAATTACTAAATATAAATGAAAAGTAATTAATTTAAAATTTCAAATGACTTGAAACTTTTCTAGTATCCTCACATATATTATTACAGTAAGGCTCAAAATCGGTTTTGTACCAAATATAAGCTTCTGTCATGCTCAGATACCATGAATGGGGTACCGTTGGATTCAGAATTTCACAGGAGGTTAGCGAATCGTATTCTCCAATTTTATTTTTCTTTCTAAAATAAATAAAAGTCAATACAAACATTTTGCTAGGCTTCAATACTGGAACAGTGGTAAGTCTGTTGACCGATATGGGACAAATTGGATCTTGAAGATTTTGATGCGTACAGCAAGACCCAGATAATTCCTTCGGAACTAGCATGTCCTTCGTTTTCAAATCCAAAAACGTACTATTTTCGAGATAATGCAAGGCATAGGATTCGCATCCACACAACCATAGGTTAATTGTAGTAGTACTGTCATTGAATACATGTCTCATTTCGTCGACTTGAGGCCACTATGATCGAGAGAGGACGAGTTTATATTATTAATTGACTTTTCCTATGTTCTGTCAAATACATCTTCCGAAATGGTGACACTTTCCTCTACCCAACTCAAGCTCCCAGGGAGATCCTCTCTTGTAATCCCAAACAACTAGTCTCTCTGCCAAACAACAACTTCCAAGATGGTAACGCTATTACTGGGTTTTATCCACTGTAGCCAGGATCCCCTCTCCCATCCTCTCTTCACCCCAGTCTTGCCAAAAAAAATTCTTTGTCCCTTCTCCTCTTTGGGATTTTTCTTTCGGTGGAATTACAGAGCAGCCATTTTCTATTCCCTGAACTAATAGAACTAGATTATCTTGCCCTTTAACTGTTCAACATTAATTTATTAAATCCTTTTTACTCTCTTCTAATAAAGGAGTACATTACACTATTTATTATATGTACAAATATTATAACATGTTAAATCTAAATTATTTTAATGTTATCAATATAACCTTACCTACAAGTGTTCGAACAGCTTTTAAATGCCATAATGGAAATGAATGAAGATTAATTATATGAAAATTCATTTTATCAGCAAAGAGTCCAATCATACAACTTAAAGCGACAGTAATATCAGAAAAGAATATTCCTTTAATATTTTCAATTAAAACATTGCTTGAATATCTTGAAATTCTAAATGAAAAAAAAATAAAATTAATGTACATAGTGAGTAACACAGAAGCTCTAGATCAATGTGCATTTAAGATAAATGTACTGGTAATAGACACTCTTAGAGAAATTTTCAACATTAATGTTAACCACAGCTTTAATTCTGATGGCTGATCTTTGAAAAAAGGTTTAATTGACTGCGAATTAGGCTTTTGCCAATTTACCTATTGTGGCGTGATATCATTTGAGGTTCTGGTATCACCCTATTAACTGTTCTAGCTTCAAATGTATTCGTATTTGCACTCCCATCGGTGAGTATAAAGCTTATTACCTGTTAATAAGTTGGAAACTGTCTATAACTGGTACATTCGACCTATTACTATTTTTGTCACAATCCATTTTGCATAAGAACTGGATACTTGTATGGAAAAAAAATTGAGTTGCAATAGTTAATTCTATTATATTATATTATATAAGATTAATACTGCACTTATTCAATAATAGGGAGCGGGGTAGCTCAGTGGTAGGGCACTGAGCTTTCAATGCAAAGGTCCCGAGTTCGAACCCCGGCTCATGGCAGAAAATTAATTTATCTGTTTCATTGGCCGTGGAGCGACCTTGGGTCAGGAGTCCCTCCTGGGGCACACCCAGCCTCTATAAAGTGGGTACCCTTAATTAAATAATTAATTAAGGGGGAAAACCTGGCAGTTGAGCGTGATCTCGGTCAAATCACCTCCTTGCACAACCGTTGACCTAGAAACAGTGCTTTCCTTAAATAGTACTGAACCCCAGACCCTTTATGGGTTGTAGTGGTACAGGTTTTTTGTTTATTCAATAATAAAAAAAACAATAGTTTTTTTTTCTGGGGACATACAGGACACTCCGGGATATCAGAAAATAAGGTAGTTGATAAAGCTGCTAAAGTAACAGAAGAGTGATATAAAAACATTGCTAAAAGACAGAGTACGGAAAAATTGGGAGTCCATTTGGAATGAAATTACACCGACTAATAAACTTAGAAATATTTAAAAAAGTACAAAACAGTGGGTAAGTGCTGGAAGAGAAGAAGTGGTAGTGACAAGGATGAGAATTGGTCATACTAACCTGACTCATGTTCATATAATTACAAAAGAGGGCTAACCATATTGCGATACCTGCCAGTCCCCACTAACCATAAAGCATATAATAGAAGATTATACATTACTGCATCAAGCCTTTGTAAAAAACAAAATATATAAAAACAATTTAAAAACAAAATAAAATAAAAATTGTAGAGAACTAGCATTAAAAACTCAGTTTATTCAATAGAAAATATTATAAACCTTTTAAAAGAAACAGAATAGTACCATAAAATATAAAAATTAATGCATTACATGAAAAGAAACAATAAATTACCAATAGTATTACTTATTAAAATATATTGAAGGAAGTTAGTCGACTGTTCTACATATCATGGGTGATAAATATTCAGGACGCAGTCTTTTTTAAAATTTTTTTTATTTCTGCAAACGTGTACAGTACATGAACTACCTCAGTGCTCAAACCACGCCCTGAAGATGACCCACATGTTTGGGTTGAAACGTTGGCAAAAATAAAAAAAAATTTAAAAAAGATTGCGTCCTGAATATTTATCACCCATGATATTAAAATATATATTAAATATAACTGCATATGTAGTGTGCGTGTGTGTATAACATTGTAGCAATCTCAAAATATAGTTGTGAATATATACATTCATGAAATTAAAAATAACATCATAATGTTCAGCTAAAAACTTAAAATAACAGTTTGTCTGACAAGTTTGGTGAGGAATGGGGGGTGTGGCCTCAATCCACTGTAGCATTACATGTACAGCTACCAAATACAAGAAATATTTTTATTTAAAAAAAAAAAAAAAAAAAAAAAAAAAGAAAGGAATGCATTTACTCAGGAAAAAAAAATTCTTGGATAGAAGTTTTGAAAATGAAAACCCCATTCTAAACTAAGAAATGTGATATTCAACAGCTTGTGGTAGGTATCTTATCTTTGCAAATATACATTTCCTAATGTATATTTGCTAAGACAATTAGCGTTAAAGAAAAGTGGTGGGGATGGAGGTATATCATTAACTTTATTATACTTTTTAGCTTAAAATGATGTTTCCAGCTTCAAAACTTATATTCAACAAATATCTTACTACAAATATAATATTTCTCGCACCTAGTCCTCTCTGAATAAAAGTAATTAGTTTAAATGTTTTTATAAATACATGTTGATAAAGTAGAACTTAGAATAAAACAAAGTTGGTTCAACTTTTATAAAGTAACTTGGTTAAAAAACTGAAGATATTTTGGTACTTTTGTACAATGCAGTCAGGATGGACTGCTATCTGCCGATGTTTATAAACTGAGCACTGATAAGGTACTCATAATCCATATCTTTGTATTCATATTTATGGAAATTGAAATAGACAAAAACAAATGACTTTTATTTTACAACATATATATATATATATATATATATATATATATATATATATATGTACAAAAGAATTTTATAATTAACACAATACAAACAATTTTACAATTCCCACAGTGTAATAACATCCATTTGAACAGATGACAAAATTAACAAAAAATAAACAATGGATAAAACTAACTAAAATAAATAAAAATAATTCACATGTAACAAATATAACAACAGTTTACATTAGATAACAAGGGAGGTTATGTGATGTAAGATAAGAAGCGAGTTTCCGTCCCGACCGCATACTACACAAGTACTGTTATTTTAATAAACTTGGTTATTACCTTTTTTTAATCAATCCTTTTAATATTTCAACAGTTAAAGAAAATGGTAGTTTTTGAGAGTACTCAATTTTATCAATATTAACACGAGCAAAAGATGACCCATAAATCTTTAGGGGACACTCAGCCATTAGTACTTCCACCATTGACCTCAATTGTAAATAATTAGTACAAGGATATTTACTTGCATCTAAAACATATAAAAGCATACGATTATTTAAATTATAGGACTATATCTCTAATCTCTAATATAAAGAAAACTATAAATTACATCATTTACTTGTAGAAAGAGTGCTAAAATATGAAAAAGTGAATATTTTGATCATTCAATCATAATGTGGCAGTAAACAATAAACATAACTAGTACCATCTTATAAAAAAAAATCCTTTGTTAAACCTAAATTAAATTTGAAAATAAAATTCAACCCTTATTACATAAAAAATAATTTGTTAATTTATAAACTCTTTATAATGATAACCTTCTTCACAGTTGAAAGGATGTGAATAGGTTTGGCTAGTAAATTTTCAAGAGCTAAACTAACAATATTGTTTTATTATAGTAAATATTGAAGTTAAAAAAATTGAAAGTTTTAAGGGAAGACTTACAAGAAACAATAATTTTAAAAGTTCACATATAGGAAATTTCATTTATTTTCCACGGAAACATTTGATTTCCGTTAAATAGTATCGGTTTTCAGAAATTATTAATTACCATATTTTTTTCATCACCTTCCATTAGCATCTACGACTATATACTACGATAGCAGATTTTATTTTTCCTAAAATCTTGAGCTTTTCTTAAATTTTTTGAAGGTCTGGTTGTTGTGGTTAATATTTAATAAGACAAACGAGACATTATCATATTGTTCAGAAAACTTTTAATGTAAATCTACCTGTTTATTTTGAATAAAATCCATTACATATCCATTGAATTGGATTCTCGTAAGTTAGTAAACTTACTCCACTTCAACGTCAGGGTGGGAACAGTTGAATAAGCTGAGACGGGGAGGGGAGGTAGAGCGTTGACGGTATAAGCCGCTCAGACCCGACGATTGCTCCTCCTCAAAAATATTTTGTTCCTTAGACACTAGTGCTTTATAATTGCATTGTACACCCTTAGTTTGAGATTTTTTGGGATTCCAATACTTTTGAGAGGGAGAAGAAAGCTCTGTTTGCCTGTCGGTCATTCAATATAATGATAACTATAATGAAAAATATTCCTGAAGATGAGGAGGAGCCCTGAAAGGTTCAATACATAAGCAGAATATAAAGCTAATAAAATATTTACTCCATTGTTTATGAAAAAAGTTACAATAAATTAATTTACTTCAGAAATTATAAAATTGTTACAATATATTGACATATAGCTCAAGAACTCAAGCAGTCAGCATTCCAAACCAACCCCTATCTTCCTTCCTTACACTGTCCTCAAGAGTGGCCCAGGGTTCGAGCATTTCCCCTCTCCTTTTTAATTCCTACATAAATGATCTTTCCAAATCCATCTACCAATGTTCACATCATTTATACGCTGATGACTCCCAAATCTATTTTTTCTTTTATCCTTCTGAGCTAACAGTCGCGTTCAGGCAGACCTAGATAGGATCAGTGCCTGGGGAAGTCTGAATAATTTAAATCTAAACGCGATGAAAACTCAGGCCATTATTATAGGTTCTAGTTCTATTCTTAAATCCATTTCCTTCCTTCCTCCTTTGGTCATTAACGATCATCCTATCACATTCAGCTCCTCCGTTAAAAACCTAGGAAACTCCATATCGCCCTCATCTCCCGTAAGTCAATAGGTACCCTTAAGCTATTTCATCGCTCACGCCACCTACTCCCACAACCCATCCGCAAGCTCCTTGTATCCTCTCTCATTTTCCCCCACTTTGACTACAGCTGTGTGGTGTACGGAGGCATCCCGATGGTATTCGAGGATAGATTGAAGCGACTCATGAATATGTGCTTAAGATTTGTCTTCAGTACATCGAGGCGGTCTCATGTGTCCCACCTTTACGAGTTAAAGTGGCTCTTCCCTTCTTTCCGCAGACAATATTTCCTTGGATCTTTTCTATTCCAAACGATCAACACCCGACACCCTTCCTACATCTACAGTAGGAAGGGTGTAGGGCAATCCTACATCTCAGAAAACAAGATCCCGTATTTCAGACCTTTATATCCCTTCCCATAGAGCTAAGACGTTTGAATATTCCTTTATTGCCCGATCAACTGCCTTCTGGAATTCCTTGCCTTCTGATATCCGCCATGCCTCTTCCATGTCCTCATTTAAATATCATCTTTACCAATTCCTTCTCACATCCCAAAATGACGTTATACAATGAAATAAATATTGTGAAACAGATTTTGACTGAGGTGAATGGTTGTTAAAATTGAAAGAGTTTTAGTTTTAAAAATCAAACCATGTTTATTTTATTTTATTCTCTTTTCATTTAAATAATGTTTTCTTTTATTTTTTTCAAAATGGTGTTATTTTTACTTGTTTTAATATAATTTTACTGAAGATACTATATATTCTTTAATATTGACTAATGTAATTTTTGGCCAGATGTAGTTTTTATTTTTTTGTTCATATCTGTTATTCCTTGCCCCAGAATAAAGTTTACTTTCTATCTATCTATCCATCTGTAGCCTAATTATTAATCCTCCGTTTCGAATAATACTTAAATACTAAAAATAATGTTCTTAGATATTGCTTTTGGAATTATGATTACTAACCCTCAAAACAATTATCTTTTAATATCTCCTGGATATATATCTTTCTAATTTCCGCACGTGTTTCTTCAGCTACTATACAGTCTGATTCGGCAAGTTCTTGAAATATTATTTCATCCAATGAGACAGAAAGCATACCAAAGGCTTTGGCTAATTTTGCTCCCCATTCGATATGACCTAGAAATGAAAAAACAAAACAAATTTATAGAGTAACTGAATCAGCTACAGAATTCAATTTACTTACAAATAAAAAATAGTCATAAGACAGAAATTAACAATTTTAGATCTTCTTACAAAAAGAATAAGGATCTTAACAACATTGTATAGCTTATTTGGTATTTTTGGGTGAATTGACAACACTAATAACCTTCAGGTTAATATTATCTGTATTGCCACTTTATTGATATATGTTTGTGCGGCTTATTTTTTTGGAATCGGTGGGTAAATTATTAATTAAACGAGTGGACACCAGATTTTTTGTGCGCAATAAATGAAAAACATGTTTTTCTATAGACTGTAGCGCGAAAACAGCTCTAACGATTTTGATGAAACTTTTCTATGATGTTCTAATCGTTGTCCTTTCAATTTTCGTACATAAACTAAATTCTCGAAAAAAATTCAGGAAAAAGTTATAAAGAAAAGAAAAATGTTATGGGGCCTAACTCCCTAAGTATATATTACACGGTGAAATTTATAATAAAACTTTTGAAAGGTAATTAAATTACCAACAAAACAAAAAAAAAATCATCAGAATCGAACCAATATTAGCGATGATACAGCTTATTCTATTTTTACACGTTTTTTTAACTTATTACTTTCCTACCTATACTAGGTAAGGAAAGTATTGCAATTGGGTCAAATTTCCAACATGTGGTTTTCGACGGATCTATACATTTCACAGCCCTCTGAGTCCAAAAAAACGCCGTTTAGCCTGTCGTTTGAAAGTTAATTGAATTCCCTACAAAGCCTACTTACAGCTATTCAATTCCCAATGAAAGATTACGGGTTCATATTCTGGTGTCAGAAAGGGGTGAATGAGAGAATAAAGATGACTAAGTGAAAGTAAGAAAGTCTGTTGCCCTGATCACACAATCTTCACTATTTCCTCTACTTTTAACAGAAATTATTGTTTGTCAATACTAAGCTATGGCAAAAAGTTTTTGATCAGCAATATTGGTGAGTATTGAAATTTTTACACTGATCTACCTTAAGCCGGTTTCATTGCTTTAATTTATCAAATAAATCGTACTCAAATCTTTTGTTTGATAAATTTTCAGGAAAATAAATTCAGTTCAATTCTTTTTTGTTTCTTCATGAAAATATGTAAAGAAATAAAAACTTTTCTGAAATAGGTAGGAAAGTCGTGTGAGTGGACACACCAGATATTTTTTAAAGGTAAATGTAATAAATTTTTTGAGTAGTTAAAACTCTCCTGGTATGAGCTCATCTACTCATTAAGAAATAATTACTTTAAAAATAATTAATAAAAATAAACCTGTTTCTGGTGCACCGAGAACAATTATCAGAGTAAATTTTTCGGATATAAATGGTTCTGGTTTGGAACAATAAATACTTCCTCTCCACATAATGAAATACGGAGGTATCGGCTTAAAACCACAATCAAGATAATCAAAATATTCTGAAAAAAATAAAATAAAATAAAAACATGCAATGCCAAATTTATAATATCATCATGTAATGAAGATGAATAAAACATAAATGGAATTTTAATCTTTTAAACAATTCACTCACTGAAAAATAAAATGCAATTATAATTTATTTTTCAACATAGTTTTCTTATTTATAAATACATTTATCACTGTAAGAAAGAAAATATTTTTATCACAATATTGTAGAATTAAGAGGTTGTTAATTGGAAATTAAGCTAATTTCCTCAACATCTCCAAATCGTTTACCTCGTAAAACTTTTTTAGACGTTCCATGCTAATGGAAATCACAGGATAGGTCTGGACCGTAAGGGGAGGGGCGGGGTGGCCGAGCGGGCTAGCGCATTTGCAAAACAGACATTGCTTGCCAATCTCATAAACTGAAGATAACAAGATAAAATAATTACCAACTCACATTCCGGAGACAGAGAGGCTTTTAACTCTAACATTAATCTCTCGCCTTCTTCCTCTGGCTCTGAAAAAATCGCATACAGCCAAAAAGGAAGGTACAAAAATAAAAGTCCAGACTAAGGAGTTGAGTCCAATGTTTTCTGTAGGTTGGAGGCTGAAGTCATGAAGAGGATAACCTTTTAAATTGGATGGTCTCGCTTTTTGTGGCAATTTGCTTCCCTCACCTCATAGTAATGTAAATAACCAATTAAACGTTTAATTTTAATTAGCCATCTTTTCCTTGTTCTTCCTTTTCTTTTTGTGCCATATATCGTAGAAAACAATGCCCTATAAGGCATCCTGCTGTGGTCCATTCTAACCAGATAGCCTAACCATTCCATACGTCTAATTTTAACGAAATTAACTATGTTGGCAATATTATATAATTCATATAGCTCCACATTTTTTCTATACCTCCACACACCCTCTTCACAAACAGCTCCATAAATTTTTCTCAATATTTTTCTTTCTAAATTATTCATCATACTAATTGTGTTAGTACAAAAGGTCCATGTCTCCGCTGCATAAGTCACAATAGGTCTTACTAAAGTCTTATCTTTGTTTCTCGTGACAGAAGCGATGATTTTGCACATTGTGTTAAGTATACGACCAGGTGAATCCAGTTTTTTCAACACATTATTAAGTGCAATATTAAATAATGTGGTAGACAAAGCATCCCCTTGCCTAACTCCATCCGTCATTGGAAAGCTATTGTTACATTGCCTTTAATAACTACTTTTGCATTGCTATTATTCATAGTCATTTGCAATAACCTTATTAATTTCAGTATAGTAATTTTGATAATTTAAATAATTATAACAATCACCTTCTAAAAGTAGTTCTGGGGACTTCTTGTAGCAAAGGTTTATTAAGGAGGTTTCTAATTCTCCTTTGATTTGTGATTTTCCTACTAAATTTGGCAAACTTTTACACTCTTTTAAATCCAAATTATATCTTCTCTTAAGCACTATTTCACTTCTAAACTTTCTTACACCAAAAGAAGGAACCCGATGATCTACAATAAAAAATAATTATTTCAACAGTCAGAAAGCAATTATTTTCAGCTAAAATTATAAAATAGCACTATATATTTTTTTTGTAATAACTAGAATTACATGATCATGAACTGAATTGTATGAAAAGAGCTACTAGGTAAGATGCAAAGGCTTTTTCCCATGTAAACACTCTGCAAAACACGTTGATACAAATGATTGGTACTATGGCATTGAGTGGCTGATTCGGCCATCTAGATGGTATAAGATCTTGGATCAAAAAATATTAATACGAATTTGATTTAACACATTGACTGCCACGGTATCTTTCAAGATCCCGGTCTAAAAAGCCAATTCAATTCAATCATGTTATTAAAACTATTTAATCTGTAGAAATCATCAAAAAGTACAACTTACAACGTCATAGCTTCAAAAATATGGCATCTAAACAACCTATGAGACAATTCTTAGTTGGCGTCCTAGGCCAGAATTATAACAATGAGTTATCTAATAGGCCGCCAGCCAACATGTTAAAGGGGAATTTGTAGGTATTTGAAATATAATAAGAGAACAAACAACAATAAGGGCAAAGAAAAATGAAAAACAAACAGTAAATGAAAAAAATCAGTCAGAAGGAAACAAAACGTTGTCATACTGGATCCAGGGGTTCTTATTTTGTATAATATCTATAATGCATTCTAATAATCCTGTTTGAAATTCAAAGAACCTGGTTTTGTGCATCTAATTTTACTTGAGATATCTGAGCACTTTAGAGAAATTATATTGGGTTGTCCAGAAAACAATGCAGGATTTTGAGTTTTCATTAAAATACCCCTCTATATAACAAACTGTTTACGTTTATTGGATTATTCATATAAATGAATGTCAACACTTATTAATCCTCTTCTAAACAATAATGTTTGTTTACCTCTGTAGCATTTCGCTACTTAGAAATAATTCAATATTTACTAAGATATCAAAGATTTTCGTATAATTATAGCAAACTTAAGCTTAGCAAATTGACCATTGATAACCACCTCAAGGCGATTGGAAAGGCCACGTTGTGCACAGTGGCTCAACAATGAAGAAGCAACAGAACATTTTCCAAAGCCCCAACTCATCAAAAAAAAGGTGATAGTTTCCTAGGTGAATGGTTGGTGGGCTTCATTTGGTTTGATACACTACAGCTTCTTAAATCCTGGAGAAACCATCAATGGCGAATCGTATTGTAACCGAATTAATGCAATGCATAAGAACTTGGCAGCAATGAGGCAATATTCCGATGGGGCCCATTTTGTTGCATGACAACGCCCAGCCACATGTCTCACATGTGACGTTGGAGTTTGGATACAAAACTCTGTCATATCTGCACTACCCTCCAGACCTCTCACCTATAGATTATCATTTTTTTAGACACCTGGACCACTACTTACGTGACAAAAAATTAAATAGACAAAGGATTTAGAAAATGCGTTTTTGGTGTAAATAATCTAATAAAGTTAAATGTTAATAATTTGTTTTGGCAGGAATAGGGGAATAGCCTTCCGTTTTTGTTGGGGAACTAGATTATTTACACTCGTGAATATTAAAACAAAACCCCGGCACTGGATATAGACTTTTTGAGGGTGTTTAACAGTCGTTGGGAATTCGGGAATCTAATATCTTTTGTGACACTGAGTGAGGAGAAACAATAAGAATATATATATGAAATGTGGGACTTAGCAAACACACACTTTGAATGAATTGACTCACCTGGTTTGTTATTCTTCAATTGTGAGGCCTATAGGACAACTAAATAAAAGGACTATTCACTCCTGTCTAACAAAACAATTTATTTTAACAACTGATAATAAATGAACATATTAAAGTTTTATAACAATAGGCTTGATATTCTTGGTCTTCGATGTTCTGCCTCTCTCATCTTAGGTAACGTCCTCTCGCCTCCATGTCTATGCCTCAAGTGCCCCTTCTCTCCCTGGCGTCTTCCTCCAGCTGCTGCTACCTGGTCGGACCTTTTTCCTTCTTCATCGATTATTTATCGATATGAGACTTTTCAAAGAACAATTTGTCCACTGCACAATTGAGTACAATTCACAGTGCAACCACACATTCCTATATATTATATATTCCATCTCATTCCCTCACACAATGTCACATAAAGGAGTTAATACAGGGCGGCTGTCTACTACATTGGAGTTTATCAATTCTAAAGATGGGAAATTCTATTCTGAAAGAACGGAAAAGTTGTCAACATGTTGGCAGAAATGTATTGTAATATACACTTTAATTGAAAGTTAAAAATGATTTAATAAATGAATGTAACAGTTAAAAAGCAAGCTAATCTAGTTTGAATAATTCATGGGGAAAAAATAGTTGCTCTGTAGTTGCCCCAGAAAGGAAAGTCGCAAAGAGGAGAGAGGACAAAGGATTTTGTACTGAAGAGAGGATAGGAGAAGGGATTCTGACGTGACTCCAGTGAGTAAAATCTACTAATACTATTACCACCTTGGAAGTTGTTGTTTGACAGAGTCACTAGTAGTAGTAGAATTACAAGAGAGAGGATCTCCCGGGGAGCTTGAGTTGAGAAGATGAAAGTTTCAGCATTTGTTGGAAGACAAATTAATTCAGTGCCACAAAGGAAGAAACAGTATATATAGGAAAGAGGTTAGCTTGCATACTTGATATTATTTTAAAATCAAACAGCGTTTAGCGTTAGTCTGTCTGAGTGTTTTGAACTGATTGTCAGTAACCCATACCTGATATAAAATAATTATAAATTTCAATTTAATATATTAATACTCTTATAATTTATTTTTTATTTAACTACCTCATATTTATTTAGGAAATATCCCAACAGTTAAAAGTGATCTTCCACGAGGTTATATTATTATTATGTAAAATATAAGAGAAATGCTACAGTATTGTTAGTAGTGGAGACTATTTTAATTAAATAAAACACTTGTAAATATTTCTTTTTTAACCAAAATCCTTCATTGTTTTCCGGACAACCTAATACTTGGCTGATAACTATAGTATGAGTAAAATATTAAAAAATTTATATTAATTTTTTTAACCAAGAAGAACTGAAGAATACAAATTTTTATAGCAATGTTTTTTTATAGAAATGTTGCTTTTATATCAAATTATTTTAAATATTTACCCATAACCATGTTTTAATTAAAGAATAAAGGTTCAAAGCAAGATTAATAAAATTTTTTAGAATAGGTGTTCTCCGAAAATAAAAAAAAGTAAGTCATTTAAGTCCAAAACAATTATCTTGCCTACAGTTCTTTATGGATGCGAAATTTGGCCGCTTACATTAAGGGATGAGCAGCGTCTTAAGGTTTTTGAAAATAAAGTATTGCGTAGAATATTTGGACCGAAGAAGGATGAGTTAACCGGAGAGTTCAGACGGTTACACAACGCCGAATTGCGTGAGCTGTATCCGGGTAATATAATTGAGGTAATTTCATCGCGGCGAATCAAATGGGCTTGTAAAGTTGTTGGGCTTAGTAACGAGAGAATTCCTAAAAAGTTAATATTTGCTGTGCCGAATGGTAAGCGTCCGAGGGGTAGACCGAAGCGAAGGTGGGAAGATTGCATTAAAGCTGATCTGAAGGAACTGGGTTTGGACGGCGAACGGTGGAGGGAGGTGTGTAACAAGCGATTGGTGGTGTCGGCATCGAACCTTCGGGTTCGCTAAGCCTTATTATTATTATTATTATTATTAAGTCATTTAAGTAGTTGTATGTAATGGGAAATAACCAAATTGGAATATTAGATAGTTTACGCTTTATACAGATCATCTTCCCTTGAGTGATTTTTTAAAAATTATTACAACTTTAGCAGAAAACTTTCAGTCATTTATAACATGATGATGGCGACCAACAGAACAAGAACTTATGCAATATTAATATCTTGCATTGAGGATAAAGATGGTAATACTTACATTCATTTATATTATACCGTCTCGAAAACGTTTCGAATATAATAGCCTCATTGCAAATCCTTCTATAGATGTTACAAATTTTATTATACGGAATGATTTCATTATCTGTAGCGGGTAAGTATATGTCCTGTTTGTAATATCTAGTAACTGCTTTAAATACCATAGCTTCAGCCATAATTTCGCTATTCAACAAAAAAAAATTATTAATGATGAAAATCATAAAATAATTTATGAATAGGATAAGAAAGACACTAGGTGTTTGTTTTTTGGAAAAACTACTGAAGGCAGGAAAGCTCTATATTTGTGAGAAACGTTAAAAAAATTGTGCTGAGAATCAAAAGTTTATTTTTGAGTTTTATGTTTTAGATACAAAGAAACAAATTTAGTTACAAAATACTAACAAAGAAGGTCTTAGTAGATCTTTCTTTTAATAGCTAATAAATTTCAAAATTAATTTTTTTTTTTACCAGTAACTTTTCAATAGAATATTCTAGTAGTAAAGAAGATATTACATGTATTGGGTTGGCAAATAAGTCCTTTCGGTTTTTCAGGGTGAAATAAAACTCAATGTATTATAGACATAAAATTAATTTTAATCTTCAATATATTGACCATGAATTTTTACTATCTTTCCACTAACTGCATAATGCCATGTTCCTAGAATGTCTGAAATTTATTGTTAAAAAACTGATCCAAGTGGTTTTTGATGTCCTCTTCCTTTTGGAATTTCCTTCCATTCATGGAGTTCTACAGAGACCGGAATAGGTGGTAGTCACTTGGAGCTAGGTCTGGTGAATAGGTAGGGTGGGGCAAAGGTCCTATCCAAGGCTTAATAATTTAATGCGAGTTACCAATGAGGTCTGGAGATAGGCATTGACTTGGTCAGACACAGAACCCTTCCGATGATTCAAATTCCTGCTAAATATCTTTTAGATAGCTAAAGTCTCATTGAAGTTATAACATTTTTTGTGATTTTAGGGGGAAAAAAATCATGTGAGAAACCCAAACATTAAGCCTAGAAACATAGCTGAGCTTGTGTGCGACACATTTAGGGCCATAGCAATCTCTCGTACTAATTGAGTGGGATTTTGATCAACAATGGCCTCAACATTGCTCATTTCAATTTCATGTGGGCGATCAGAGCGTTGAGCATCATTGATGTCAAAAGTTCCTGAATGAGATTTGCCAAACCAATTTTGATAAGTGCGATCGGTTAAGGCATCATCCCCATAAACACTGCAAATTTATCTATGAGCTTCCACAGCACCCTTACTTTTTTTAAAATAATGTAACAAAATATGCTGATAATGAATGATTTTTTCTTCCATATTCACAGTGCAATAGCAAACACAATACTAGTTTCAATAAGAGTTAACAGATATAGTTGTTGACATATTACAAACAGGATAATCAATCCACTGTAGAGATTAATTCATCAGATAAGAAGTATATCGTAGTGACACAAAAATAAACAGAAACACCGAAAGAACTTATTTGCCAACCCAATATAATATTTTTCATTATGCAGGTTTGACATTTATTCTGTTTATAGTGATTCATTTGCCTATTGGCCAAAATAATTTTTTTATTACATTTAATAACTTAATATGGTTATTATTGAAATTGTGAATTATGATATCCTTATAATATAGTTCGTCATCATTTACTTTATTAATATTTGGCTTATAGCGTACACAATTTTCTTTGTTACATTTAATAACTTATATGTTTAGTATTCAAATTGTGAATTAGGTAATTCTTATAGTTTAGCTTGTCATCATTTTGTACATTGTAATATTATAATAGGTGCGATGTATTTTCTTAGAAAAAAAAGGTGTACTTACTCATCATATGCTGGGAAAAATACTTCTACTGAAAAAGGAGATAAATTTATAACATCCAATGTTTTGATGATAGGTTTAGAGAAAGGAATAACAAAGCCAAAATCTACATTTGTCATGATTATGATTGGTGTCAATCCAACTCCTTTGATTGGAATGGTAATTTTTTCTGGATTCATGTTGATAATAAATTCTAATATCATGTTATATTCTCCCTGAAGAAATTCAAAATTAAATTCTGTATTTAAATTTTAAGAGATCATATTTCTTGTTAATAAAAAAGTTCTGTATTAAAAAATTATATTGTTAAGTATTCTCGTGTTTAGGTGCCAAATATTATCTTGATCAACGACAGAAACTACTTTAACAATTTATTAATAACGATTATTATAAATCAGGAGCTTCCAAACTTTTTGACCCGCGGGCCACATTCAGACCTCCACTAAGTGCCATGGACTGCATTCAGATCTTCACGTGGCTTGTTTTGAAAAAAAAAAAAAATGTTTATTCTACAATTGACACTTGAGTTTTAAAATTAATAAATATAGTTGGGGTTGTTAGTTAATAAAAAAAAATGTCTTTCACAAATCGATTTAAGACCAATATTATTTATCCTACATATTATTTCTAAAAGGTACATAAATTTTTGTCGGTAACTGTCAATTCTTCATCAAATCCAATGATTGACCACTCATTTTGAAGATATTCTGTTCTTTCTCAGGCGAAAAATAGTCCTACCCCCCAGAAATTAATGGGGAAAAAGTTATGGAGGAAAAGAAACTTTATTTGCGAATAACTCAAAAAGTATGCATTTTTCTCTGGATTGTACCCATAATAATTAGAAAGAATACTAAATTACCTACAAAACAAAAAAATTTTCATAAAATTCGGACAATTATTATCAAAGAAACAGTCCATTAGTTTTGGTATACTTAATAATGTCTTCCTGTTTAAAGATATTACATTTAGGAGTACAATAGTCTACTACACTTTTTTTCCTGGCTTTTATAATAACTTTATTATTTCTTAAATACATTTGGTTGCTCTTACATTTTATTTTTTTTAATAATTTAGAATACCCTATGATCGGGGCATTATTTTGTCTTTATTACTTTTATTATCTTTCCAATCAGCGTTTAAACGTAGGTCCTAGCAAAGCAATTTGTATAAATATTTTGGTCTATTATGTTTAATGGAATATTGTAATCAACTAAGGAAAAAATATTAATTCCTTCCTTACATATTACGAAGATTTCCGTCCAATATCAATCCTTTCCAATCTTTCTAAACCCCTAGAAAAGTTAGTGCAATCCCAAGTTTCCAACTACCTTGAACAATCCAACCAACTCGATCCTCTCCAATCTGGCTTCCGTCCTGGCTACTCTACACAATCTGCTCTGATTAAAATTACTAGTGATATCCAGACTGCAATAGATGACAAAAAACTAACCATACTTATACTGCTTGATTTCTCCAAAGCTTTCGATTCCATTATCCATTCCATCCTTTTCAACAAACTAAAATCATTATCCTTCTCCAATAGTTCCATCTCTTGGTTCCAGTCTTTCCTCTCACAACGAACCCAAGCAGTTTCCATACCTAATCAACCTCTATCTGCCTACCTTCCTTTATCCTCAGGAGTTGCACAGGGTTCAAGCATGTCTCCTCTTCTTTTCAGTTCTTATATTAATGACCTAAATGATTCAATTATCCATTGTTCCCACCACCTTTATGCCGACGATTCTCAAATCTATTTATCCTTTTCTCCCGCTGAGTTATTGGTGGCATTTGCCAAAATTCAAGAAGATTTAGATCGAATTAGTGCCTGGGCCAACTTAAATGGATTAAGGCTAAATGCTGCCAAAACTCAGGCCATTCTCATTGGTTCCAAGCCCCTTCTTAGATCCCACACCAACTTTCCCTCACTCTATCTAAACAACCACCCCATCACCTTCTATCCCTTTGTTAAAAATTTAGGCTTTCTCATAGATCAAACCCTTTCCTGGAATCACCATATCTCTCATATATCCCGCCGTGCAATTTCTACCCTCAAACTATTCCATCACTTCCGCCATCTTCTACCCCAAAATACCCGTAGACTCATAGTTTCCTCTCTCATCTTTCCCCACTTTGACTACAGCTGTGTGGTGTACGATGGCCTCTCGGTGGAACTGCGTGATAGACTCAAAAGACTTATGAATTGCTTCGTAAGATTTGTAATTGGAACCCCGAGACGCTCCCGTGTCTCCCACCACTACACTGAGTTAGGGTGGCTCTTCCCCTCCTTAAGAAGACAATATTTCCTTGGCACTTTCCTTTATCAAATCATTACCGATCATCGTCCTTCTTATGCCTACAACCTTCTCCAATTTAAGTCCTCAATCCATTCACTCACTACAAGATCCCGACCCTCTGACCTATACATCCCTTCTCATAGATCTGCCTCATTCCAAAATTCCTTTATAGCCCGCTCTGTCAACTTTTGGAATTCCCTCCCGATCAAAATTCGACATGCCCCTTCCCTGTATACATTCAAAAACCTCCTATTCCAATTCCTGTTCCAAAAACAGTCTGATACCAGCTAACTATTGATATTATATATGTATTGTGTAGCAATCATATAATCATAACACTTGGTAAGAGATAGTACATGCATTTCCTACTATCGACGTAGGAATTTCAATACATACATTTTTTTTTTTTTTTTTTTATTCAATTATAAGTAACTGTTTATTTTTATATATATATTCAAGTAAAGTTTTTTTTTTTTTTTTTTTTTTTTTTTTTTATGAAATGAACTCATTGTATCTCTTTTTTCGTTCTTCATTTCTCAAAGTGTATGTTTATGTTGTTCAACCCTTAAATATAATTTTGTTCATAGTTCAAGTGATTCGTTCATAGTTTTAATTGTTTTGTTCATAATTTTAAATGCTCTATACATAGTTTTATCTGTTTGTATATAGCTTGTGCACCTAAGGTTTTCTTAACTTTTTATTTTATTTTATCAATTTTATTTATTGTTTCAACGTTCAGGCCAGTAATATTCTATTATTTTGTACATTATTGTTATTCTGAAGGGACTTAGTCCCAGAATAAAGTTTTTTTTTCTATCTATTCTATCTATCTACATAATGCATAGGAACTACTTATTTCCATATTGTTTTAATATTTCTTCACTAAACAAAATTATCTGCGAATTTTTAACCCACGAACTAGTTTAACATATACCTTTAATTATTCAGAGGGGCAAGAGATTTGTGGAAATAGTGAAAAAAATAAAAACATCAGATACAAAGTCAATGATTAATTTTTTTCGTTTATTGTTTTCAATAATGAACCATTGTAATCGAACAAAAAATTAAAAAATTTGACCCCCTCTCAAAATTTGAGGTTTTACGTTTCAGGATACGTAGAATTCGAAAAATGAATAAAAAATTTTTTATCCGTCTGCGCTTTTTCTCTGAAATTACTGGACCGATTTTTTTTCAAATTTAGATTTAAAATCAGAGGTCACCTGAGGATGATCCTCCTTCATCAGCATTACTATCCACCTTTTTCTTTCAAGATGGTAGCCGAAAAACCGGCATTTCTATAGACCTAACCGAATGTACCAATTTCAATGAAACTTGGCTAAAGTATTCATCTCTACGCCCTTTAAATTTATCTATATAACATACTTCAACGAAAAGAAGCTGGAAAAAAAGTCATGAAGGGTGGTAAAATTAGTTTCCGAATAACTCTAAAAGTATACACTTTTTTGTGTATATTGATATTTATTTAAAATTTTATGAATTTCCTTAAAAATCCCCCAAAAATATTAAAATCGGACAATTTGGAGCAAAGATATGGTCTTTAGATGTTTTTTATATGTTCTATTGCAAAGGTTATATCCTTTGTTTTGGATTTTGATATTTGAATGTATTACTGAAGTAATGCTATGTTTTTTAGCAAATTATTAATGATGAAATAAAAATTTTTAGGCTAATAACTAGAATCATCTTTCTTTTTCTTTCTCACTAGGAAGGTAATGGTACTTTAGATGTATGATTGTTTGGAAATAATAAACCATTGTGAAATAATTTGCAGCGTTTTTTTAAAGTGATACAGTAAACTTACCTTTTGTGAAGGTTTAAAATAAATAGGAATGTAGTTAGTAATATTTGGTTCAGTATAACCGTAAGGCTTCTTAACAATAAATGGTATATCAATATAGGATTTTGGATCATCAAGTTTATGACCCTTTGAATCTCGGATAAAAACAATCCATTCACACGGGATTATTCCACTGAAAAAGAAAAAATTAAATTTTCTATGCTTATTAATAATCAAACTTTTTATTGAATCTAACATAAATAAGGCTATTCTCTTAAATCTGGAAAGCAATGAAAGAAGTTTATTGAATAAATAATAGTGTTAGCATTTGTATGGAGAGCTCTCTACTATTTTAAGTTACATTCAGTGAAGCTATGATAAGAAATGTATAGGGATTGAATGAGTATGAATTGTACTCAATTGTGCAGTGGAAAGGTTGTTTTGTGAAAAGTGTCAAATGTATAAATAATTGAAGAAAACAATGTGCAGAAGAGCAAAGAAATGAAGAAGCCTGGAAACATGTCCAGCAGGTTGTAGCAGCTGGAGAGGGGCGCTGGGAGAGAGAAGAATGAACTGGCTTGAGGCTAGGACTTGAGGACGGAACATTGTGACGGCGTGAGAGAGGCCCACTCTACAGGAGTGTTAAGAAGAGGAAGGTCGAGACAACTGTTGTTAAATAACACTTTCAAATATTTTATTATTTACAGTTTGTTAAAATAAATTAGCTTTGTTATTCATAAGTGGATATTCCCTTTTATTTAATTGTCCTATATGCCTTAACATCAGATAATGGAGGATCCATAAACCGGGTATCAATCCATTTAAAATGTATTCACTCATTCTAATATTTCATATATAAACTTATTATTTCTTGCCAATCAATGTCACAAAAGAATTAGGTTCCCTAATTCCCAACAGCAGTAAACACTCTCAATAGTTTATCCAGAGCCAGGGTTTTGTTTCGAAATTCACGGGTGTAAATGACCAAAACCACCATGCAAACAGAAGGCTATTTGCAGCATACATAAATGTAAATAAAAATATCTTTTTAACAAATTAAATGAGGAATAACTTTTTTTTTAATTACTGAATGTTTAAATCATGGCTTTAAAGTAAAAGTTAAATTTTATTCTTCTATTTCATCTTTTTTGGGGGGAAATGATGACATACCATAAATCAAGCTTGGGCAATACAATAATAAAAAACTGGACAGGTACATCAGCAATACAAAATACAGAATAGACTTATTAGACAAGAAAAATATAACCTACAAATTAAATTGTCAAAACTGCCCCAAAATATACATTAGGGAAACATCTAAACACTTAGGGACAAGAATTTCACAACACATTACCAACTGCAAAAATACAAAAAACATAAACGCCACGGCTTTATCACATCACAGTATAAAATTACAACACAAATTCAATTTCAATAAACCAAAGATATTAGGCACTGGACCAAAAAACAACAATAGAAAATTACTTGAAAGCCATCCACATCACAAAAAAACAATAGAACAACAGTTAATTATAAAACAGACACCAAACATTTGGGGACACATTATGATGGTATATTAAATAAAATTAAAATATAATAAAAATGAAATACAGCTACATAGCAAATAATCATTTAACAACAATAGTAAAAAAAGAAGTCAGGTTCGAAAGCAGCCCGCGGATCTTAGTGGAGGCCATTTTAAATTTTCCATGTGGCCCATTTTAAATAGGTTTAAATTTATGACGATTATGGAAGTAAATATGAATAAACTGAGTGTTGGAGAGCACTTAGGAATTAAATTCAGCTTCATAAAGCCTATCATCAGATTAAAAAATGATACAACTCAAAAATATTGATTTTTTCCTTAACTAATGTGATGAAGCCTTACTTTTATAGGATAAAGGTTTATTTGCAGAATTTTCGGTTTATTTTTAGATTTCTCTATTATGTTATTATATGAAATAGATAACCTTTGATTTTTTGAAATTTATTTTCAATTTATTGTTTTCTTAAACAAATTTCTTCTAACATATGTTTTGTTTTCTAAATAAATTTAATACACATAGATTTTTATTTATTTATAAGAACATTTAATACTAAAATAAATAAAAAAACAGGAAGATTTGGTACTCTGTTATCTAAAAAAAGGAAATGATGGATTGTTATGCAAAGTTTGGAATTTCCTGATACAATGTATTACAGAATGAAGCCAGTACTTTATAGTGTTACCACAAGATGTGATATTTCATAATTATACTTAAAATCAAAATAAATAAATAAAGATAATAGGATAAGTACGTAATTATAACATAATAATTACATGTTTTTGATTGGAATATTTAGTATTTTCATTTGATTGCAATTTATGGCTCCAAAGTCAACAGAACCAGGTAAACGCAAACGAGGTTGACTTATTGTTGCAGACAATGATATAGGAATCGTTGGACCACAAATAACCTAAAAATAATCATGAAGAAATATTAGATTTGTAACAGCTTATATTTGATTTGTACAATAAAAACATAATTTGAGTAACTTTTTAAATTGGGAAGAATATCATTTTTTAATTAATAGTATATAGGACTTAAATTATAAATAGGTAAATAACAAATCAGAAATCCACAAAAGAAAACTACCCTGCCTTCAATCTCCGTAACCATTAATATTTTTTACAATTCTTGGTGGCAAAAGCAAGTATGCAAGTTGTAATAAAAAACTAGGATATAATTTAATCAGAACGGTGCTGTAAATAACATGATGGAAAAACGGGGAATCACATATTTTCTAAAATTAAGTTATTGACATCAATATGTTTGATAAAAAAAAGGGTACTTATTTAGTAGCAGGTAGCGTCAAAACCTCCCTTCTTATCTAATCTCATTTCACATAATCTTCCCTATCTCATCTAACCTAAGTTATTCCCTTGTTTATTTTTTGTTTCTTGTGTTATATGTGAGTTAGTGTTATTTAATTATGGATGTTGTCACATTGTGGGAATTGCCGTTTTCAGAAGAAGAGGCTATAAAATATTTTCAAGACGCCGGGATATTTGCAAAGGTCAAATATTATGATGAAGGTTATCAAATGAAGTTCGACAGGGAGGAGTTAAATGGAGATGCTTTAGCAGTTGTAACAAAACCGTTTCTATAAGGAAAGGAACGTGGTTAGAGGGGTCAAGGATTTCTTTTTTGTCTATTTTTATTATTTCATTTATTTTGATATATATGTTGCAATATTTTAGTAATGTTTTTTAATTATATATTTATAATGTGTTGGTGAATTTTAATATATATGTTGCAAAATAAAAGTATTTTTTTATTATTACATTTGTTTCTGTTTTTTTTCACAATTTCAATAATATCAATACAATACAATAAATATGAATACGAAGATATAATAATATGAATATGATACAATAAAAATGAATACGAAGAGTTTATCAGTGTTAAGGTTATAAACATTGGCAGATAGCAGTCGGACGCTACCTGATACTAAATAAGTACCAAAAAAAGACTCAAAATGTGGATCATTATTGTTAGAAGTACCCAAGAGTATGATTTACGTGAAGGAAGGGGGATCTTCAAAGTTTATTTCAAAAATTTTGAATAAACATCCCTTTTTTTCCGTGGACTCTTCACGCATAAACATAATGAAATAAAAAATTGATATAATAACATATTTTATAAAAAAATGTCACCTCAATATTAAAAGAATAATTGATATTGATATCTGACTTCTCAAACATATTTGTTGCAAAAATTGAAACGGAGAATTCTGCAGTACCCAGTGGAGGTAAAATGAAATAAGAACGTAAATCTTGAAATTCCAATTCTTCTAAACCAGATAAATCATCGCATATAACTTTAAGAATAACTTCTCGAGGATAATAGTTCAATATTTTCACTTTATATTCTGCCTTTGTACCTAATACTACAACACCAAAATCTGAAAAAGTGAATACATTTTAAAAATCTTATATGAAGCCTATAATTAATATGTTTCTTTTGGAAAATTCCAAATAAAAACCTCTAGTCGCTTAAGTAAAAATTTATTACCAAACTACCAATGTTTACTAAGTTTATGCATCTTCAAAATTAAAATTTATCAATTCATATTTTTAAATATTTGGCTATATTAAATTCTTATAATAGTGAGTTGGGCAAGTTACTAAACAGTGCTAATGACCTACTGGATTTTAGCGGATCTTTAACGCTCTTGTAAGGTTACAAAACACATGAAAAATTAAAAGTAAATAAGAAAATATTTACCTGCTGAATAAGGTGACAGAGAACCAGTGATTTTTACATGAATTTAAAATAATTGTCGATTTTCAAAACAGAAATAAATATAGATAGAAAGTAAACTGAAAATAAATATTTAAAATAAAGTGAGATAAAACATTGAGGTTACATTAAGCGGATTCATCAACCCCAAAAGCCAATAAAACCGCTGAGCAATGTAGTAGATAGCCCCAGTATTTACCCCTTAATTTGACATTGTGTGAGGGAATGAGAAGGAATATATAGGAATGTGAGGTTGCACGATGAATTGTACTCAATTATGCAGTGGACAAATTATTCATTGAAAAGTCTTATATCGATAAACAATCGATGAAGAAGGAATATAGAAAAGGACGGCAAAAAGGACAGCTGGAGGACGCTGGACAGAGGCGAGAGTACGCTAGGCCTGGACAGGAAGAAAGGAGGTTGTCAGAAGAGAGAGGCACTGCATTAAAGATTAAGAAGATCAAGCTTAAAGTTATAATACTATAATAGATTCACTTATTATAGTATAAAATACAGTTGTAAAAATAAATTATTTTATTATACAGGAGTGAAAAGTCATTTATTTATTTAGTTGTCCTATATGCCTTACAATTGAAGAATAACAAACCAAGTGAGTCAATTCATTCAAAGTGTATTTACTCAGTCACACATTTCATATATATTCTTATTGTTTCTTGTCACTCAGTGTCACAAAAGTATTAGGTTCCTTAAGTCCCAACAACAGTTAAACACCCTCAAAAGTCTATATCCAGTGCCGAGGTTTTGTTTTAATATTCACAAGTGTAAATAACATAGTTCCCCGATAAAACGGAAGGCTAATCGCTATTGCCCGCCACAAGGTCATTTGCAATTAATCTTTTAACATTGTTATTTACAGCAATAGCTGATTCAATCAATGAATAAAGGATCACACTGAATTCAATTTATGGAGCCATCAATGAGTTCAGTATAAGGTTAAGGAACTTGTCCTTTAATATATATATGAAGAACTTTTGGTAAAAATTTTGAAATAAAAGAAAATATACAAGATTATTAAATGAAAAATTTCTTTATTATTCTGGTAATTAGTCCCTTGAGAATAAAATTAACATTTCACTACTATAGTGGCCAGGACAGTGTGGCCTGCCTCATGCACAAATTTATGCACATAAATAAAAGGAAAAATGATAAACAAAAACAAATTTTTACATTAACTAAAATAACAAAAATGCTTTAAAAGTAATTAAAAGAAAAAAATCAAATAAGTTAAATCAAAATGGCAATAGTTATAAGTAGGTTAATAGGTAACATTAGAATGAACTCTGGGACACATTTAATGATCGGAAAAGTGATTTTAATATAGGATAATATTGAGTAAACTGGGGGAGGAGAGGAAAAGCTGGTTGAAGAGGAGAGCTTTAAACGGGAAAGTGTTGAAGCATGACGGATGGTAGGTAGGATGGAGTTCCAGAAAGAGGCAGCTCAAGTGAGGAAGGATTTGTCAAATGCCGCAGTTCAGGAAGATGAGGATATAATGTATTTTAAGAGACGAGTTTATTAAAAAGACTTACCAATAAAATAACTTGGAACTTTGAATCCCTTAATAGTAAAAGCACGTTTCTTGGCAAGAAAATGTTCGGAGAACAGCGAGGGATGATGATATAAGGACAGGTGAAAAAAAAAGCGTTCCATTCCCAAATAAATGTCTTCAGTACTTGGTAACATTTCCTGGAACAATTCCAATGGTTATGAAAGAATAATTTAAAAATTGACAAAACAATTAATGAGCTTAAACACGTAGTTGTGTTCCTAAAATGTTTTTTTATTACAAGTACATTCAATAGAAACAAAAAAAAACAAGAGGTTAATTATGAATAGAGACCAAATTCTCATACTGCAAAAAAATTAATGACGTGTATTTCTGTTGAAATCTTCAGATTAAAATTTTTTCATGATTGCAATACTTTCTCTTATATACATTTCATATTTAGATAAGTGTAAGTGTAAGTAAAAATCTCTGCATAAATATTTATTTACAGAGATAGATAAGTAGTCTACTGATCAATCATAAGGATGAAACAATTTCAGTGAAATTTTTTTTTATTGGGCTAGTTACCAATAAAAAAATTGTGACTGAAATTTCTGACAATCTTGTTTCATGTTTATACATAGAGAATTTTTTAAACTAAATAATTATAAAAAAAAACTAAGGTGCGTGCTGCAGACCATACGATAAGTGAAAACATCAACAAAGCAAAATTAATAATATGAAATCTAAATTATAAATGATAGCTCATTATAAAGAGGAGGAAATGCTGAACATTTCCTTAACTTCAGTATGTAGGTCCAATTTTTTTTTTCTGAGATATTTGGTTTTCGACACTATTTTTTTCTTTTTGTCTCTCAAACACGACATCACATTAAGATACAATTTTGAATAATAGCCCATTACAGAGAGGATAAAATGCTGAACAATTTCCCTACTTCCAGTATGCAGGTCAGATTTTTAGTTTCTGAGATGTTTTAATCCATATCTACCAAAAAAAATTGTTATCGTTTGGTTTTGGACACTATTTTTTTCTTTTCGTCTCTCTAACACAACATCACATTAAGATACAGTTTTGAATAATAGCCCATTACAGAGAGGATAAAATGCTGAACAATTTCCTCACTTACAGTATGGGGGTTCGATTTTTAGTTTCTGGGGTATTTTAATCTATATCTTTAATAAAACTTGTTATCATTAAATTTTGACACTATTTTTCCATTTTTACCTCTCTAACATGGTTTCACGTTAAGATACAATTTTGAATAATAGCCCATTACAGAGAGGATGAAATGCCCTCGCTTATCGTATGCAGGTCCGATTTTTAGTTTTGGAAATATTTTAATCATATGCACAAACACTTCAATTAGTCAACTTCAGCCTACTTTACCAGAGCATTACACTTCGGAAATCTGAAGGCTCAATCTAATCCACATTTCCATAAAAAAAGTACAACACGCCTAAAGAAGCTTTCCCTTGAAAAAACTTTTTGACTTAAAAAGAATAAAAGGATTAATCACAAAAGATGGTCTATGATATAATGAATAATAGCTAATATATTTACCGGAAGAATAATCTTTTCCCAGCCATCCTCAGTAATTGTGATGAACTCAGGAATGTAAAACCAAGGTTCTCTAAGAGAAGCTAGAACCAGATACTCTTCAATAAGATGAGGAAATTTTCGAGGAAGGGAAATCATTACCTGATTCGGGCAGCAATAACCAAAAATCTTGATGTACTTAGGTTTATTGTCGATCTACATGAAACAAGTATCTGTTTAACAAATAGGATCATGGAAGATACTAAAATATTTACTCATCAAAACTAAGATATCTAGTTTTCAAATTATGAAGTATGATGAAACTGCTACCTTGATTACCACAGCCTCGTTATTCATATTTCTTATATCTTTCTATCAAATTAATTTTCTTTAAAATAAATAAATTTTTAATAAAGTTTGCAAAACTTACTTCTAATAAAATGTTGATATCAACTTCTCCAACCGTCCCAAACCAAACAGTAATTTTATGTACAATACTAGAAAATGGATTTACCACACCACTGTCTTCTTCTATCCAGACACCACTCTGATGCAGAGTTTTCTTATCTGTAATGAGAGCCCACCCACAAAAAAAAAATATATAAGTATGATATTTTAATTAGAAATAATATTTACATAATAGGTTTAATATTTAAATCAGTCATCATGAAGTTGATTAATATTTACTATTATAGTGGATGGCTCTCTTTATAAATGTTGAAGTCGTATGGTCAAGAGAAGGGACCATAAAATACACAGAGAGGACGTGAGGTAGTAGGTAGTATTTTAAGCGAGGGATATTTTTCAAAATTCATGGGGAATATTCTCTCCAGTCTTAAATTTCATGGTTATTCATTATTTTTATCGGACAATTTTACTTAAGAGTTATTTCCTTTAAGTTCTATGTGCAGTTGCTATCTCCACATATATTATTACAGTAAGACTCGAAATCGGTTTTGTACCAAATATAAGCTCCTGTCATGCTCAAATGGGGTACCGTTGGATTCCGAATTTCACGAGCGAATCGTATTCTCCACTTTTGTTTTTCTTTCTAAAATAAATAAAGTTGATACAAACATTTTGCTAGGCTTTAATACTGGAACGGTTGTAGGTCTGTAGATCGATATGGGACAAATTGGACCTTGAAGATTTTGATGCGTACAGAAAGACCCTGATAGTTCCTCCAGAACAATCGGATCCTGCGTTTTTAAGCCAAAAAACGTACTATTTTCGAGATAACGCAAGGCATAGGGTTTGCATTCACACAACCTTACGTTAATTGTAGTATTGTCATTGAATACATGTCTCATTTTGTCGACTTTGAAGTCTCTATGATCGAGAGAGGAGTTTATATTGTTTATTGGTGTTTTTAATCGTCAAGCCATATCATCGGTAATTCTTCACCAAATCTCAAGATTGAACCACCAACTTCGAAGGCTTCCTTCTCCTTCAGGTGGGCAAAATAGTCCAATCGCCCCGAAAATTCAGGCAAACAAGTTATGAAAGAAAACAAACTTTATTTCTGAATAACTAAAAAACTACATACTTTTTCCTTGGTTATGCCCATCATTATATAAAAGATTACTAAATTCCCAACAAAGGAAAAAAAATCATCTAAATCGTACATTTTTAGCAAAGATATAGCTTATTGAAATTTGTAAACATGTTAGTTCGAAACACAAATGAAGAATTAAATTAATTTTTGTTTCCTTTTTCGATTATATTTATCGAAAAGTAACAATTGATTTCTTTATCTTTTGATACGTTGCATATTTTATTTTCTTATTAATTTAGTATTTGATAACAATATGCTTTGCGAATTTTTCGCACGGGCCGACTAGTAGTGACTAATTTTAAGAAATAGTAGTAGTAATGCTAAAAACTATACTAATAAATTAATACGACAAATGCTGACCCTAAATTAATAAATTGTAACTTTGTATGCTTACCTACATGTGATAATTTCGGAGCATGTATCTTAAACGGTAATGTTTTCAAACAGTTATTTTTTATTATAAACATTGATTTACAGAGTTCACAGCAGGGCTAAAAAAAAAAAAAATGAGTAATTTAATAGTAATAATTTCAGAATTTATAGATGTTTCACATAATTTTAAAAGTTAAATAAACCTTACAGTATACAGGGTCTCTCAGTTCTTAGCGGCCAAACTATGAGTATAGTACAATAATTTCCTGATGGTTAGAAATTGATAATGAAAGTAAATGTGACTTTCAATATTTCAACAGTATGGGTGTCTAATCTACGAGTTATTTTTGTATGGAGTCTGTTAAATGCAGTATAAGTCTCTTTTACACCACTCAACAGTGAAGGATTTTGATATTCAATGTGTCTAATGATACCGAATTGCATTAAGGAATAATGAATCTCATTTCAAGATATATAATTGGTCCACAATAAAAATGTCAGTAATCAGTGGATGCAAAATTTGATGTTCGGCAACTTTGATTCTATGGGTTTTTCCTCTTAGGGAATTCATTTCCTAGTTACATGGACGTTTATAGTAATTTGTCTGAGTTTTTGACAAATTTGATATAAATCAATGTTGGTTTACCGTGGTTTTATACCTTACCACGTGAATAAATTATAAAGTTTAAGTACTCGTTTGAAGCAAAATTTAACGTTATTTCATTTATTAAAGAACACATTTTTCGCTTTAAAGCATAATTTTGAATTTATAGGCGAAAAAACAAAAAAAATCTGACTTTTTTTACTGTAACAATTTTTCCCTTGATAGTCCATCAGCCACCATTTTTGAAAGCAGCGGCTCTGGAACGGAAGACAAGGTTCTTTTTAATCAGAATAACATACAATTCGTAATTTACAATCAAACCTTCGCCTGCGGTGAGGTCGATTTTGGGCTCCAGGGCTGGGCTATTAGCTTTAGTTTCTTAAATGACCAAATAACTCAAAATAATATTTTGTTCTTTCTTTTTTACAGTTAAATTTAATTTAATATTTTAATTTGTAAACTCCTTTTAGATATATTTTTAATAATTCAAGAATTTTATGTTGAAAATATAATAAGATAAAAATTCAAGATTTGACTCTTTTCTACTTTAAGCATACTACTAGTGAATTTTAGAAGTGTTTTTGTACTTGGATTAAAATATCTAAGAAACTAGAAATCAGACCTGCACACTCTGAGCTAGGAGAAATATTCAAAATTGTATCTTAAGTGCAGTGTTAAAGAGACAAACAAGGGAAAAGATAGGCTAAAAAAACAAATAATAACTTTATATTCTTTTCTTCTATTTCGGTATATAATATTTAGTTTCTACTTTTTTTTATTTAAGCCAACATTACACCAATGTTTTCATTTCAAAATCCTACAACCACGTTTCAGTAATTCAATAGCAATGAAACTGACACCATATGGCTTGGAACATAATATATTAATAATAGACATGACGAACATGGTACTGGTTACTATGAGAAGACATTTTACATAAGAAGTTTAATGAACTAGTACATAATAGATTTGAAAATGGCTCGACAAGGCAAAATGTCGTAGCAGGATTTTGAAGTGAAAACATTTGTAGTAGACATCCCCCTGTATTTACTCCTTTAGATGACAAGGTGTGAGGGAATGAGAAGGAATATATAATATATAGGAATGTGAGGTTGCACTGTGAATTGTACTCAATTGTGCAGTGGACAAATTGCTCATTGGAAAATCTCATATCGATAAACAATCGAAAAGGAGAAAAAAGGTCCGATGAGGTAGCTGGCAACAGATGGGGAAGAGGACGCCAGGCACTTGAGGCAAAGGACAGAAGCGAGAGGAAGTCATCCGGGAAGAGAAGCCTACTACATTGAAGAGTAAGAATATCAAGCCTACAGTTATAAGACTTTTATACATTCATTTATTACAGTTATAAAATAAATTGTTTTATTGTACAGGAGTGAAAAGTCATTTTATTTAGTTGTCCTATAGGCCTCACAATTGAAGAATAAACCAGGTGAGTCAATTCATTCAAAGTGTTTACTAAATCCCACATTTAACCTAATTCCCGATATAAAAGCGGAAGGCTATTCACTATTTCTGCCAAAACATCTTTATTTTACATTTAACTTTCAGTAGGTTATTTACACATTGGTATAATGTTGGCTTAAATAAAAATTTTAGAAACAAATAACGACTATTTTGAACATTTGGACTAAAATATCTCAAAATGTAAATACCATGGAGAATTTAGAAACCAATTTGCCGATGTAGAAGTTATATTATAAAATTCTTATTCATAAAAATAAGAAATTTTGAGTTTCTATTCGATTTACTCTTACACTCGATAGAGTTTTGACAAATTACTGAACCCCTTTCAGACTATAATTTGGACCTGCATAATGTAAGTAAGAGAAATTTAAACCATTTCATTCTCTTTGTAATGAGTTATAATTCAAAATTATATTTCAACGTGACAACGAGTTTTGTTTAACGTATGGATTAATATAAGAAACTATAAATCGGACCTGCATACTGTAAGCGAGGGAAATTTTCAGCATTTCATCTTCTTTGTAATGAGCTATTATTCAAAATTATATCTTAACGGAATGACATGTTAGAAAGGTAAAAACGGAAATAGAGAGCCTTAGTGGTGTGCTCAAAGTAGAAAAGAGTCCATGATTTTATTACATCAGCTTTACAACAAATGAAACACCGTGGGCTAGTAAAGGTTCATCTTGAATCTTACAACACAGAATCAATAATAATTAATGTATTTAAAACAATAATAAACACTAGAACTTACGGCAAAACCAAAACTTATGATGTCTGGAATGATTTCAAAATTAATCGGAGAACAACAACCATGAATAATCAACTCCTCACTTGGGCCACCTTCGATGACACAAACTGCTACAGCTTCAAAACAAAGATAATATTTTGGTGTAAAATTGATAATTGTGACGACACAATCTTCTGGTTCCAGTTCACCCAAAAATGGACTAAATTCTAGAAACTAAAATAATTGAACTTTATTTTAATATAATTAGAAGAACATGCAATTTTTCTAACATATTAACATGAAATCAATTAGCAATCTTACGGAAGCACATTCCTCATCTACTGATATCCTTTTTGAATCTATTTCTTTTAGTACAGGACGAACATCTAATCCAGAATGTCTAGCTTCAGATTCGAATTCCTGCATAAATTAAAAATATTTATATCAATCATGTATATCTATGCTCACGGTCCCAGGATCAAATCCTGGCTCTTGGCAGAAAAATTATTTATTCTGTTTCATTGGCTGTAGAGCGACCCTGAGCTATGGAGACCTTCCTGAGGCACACCCAGCCTCTACAAAGTGGGTACCCATAATTAAATAATTGATTAAGAGGGGGAAAAACTGGCGGTTGAGCGTGATCCTTGTAGTAGACACCCTCCCCCCCTGTATTACTCCTTTATGTGACATTGTATGAGGGAATGAGAAGGAATATATAGGAATGTGAGGTTGCACGATGAATTGTACTCAATTGTGCAGAGGACAAATTATTCATTGAAAAGTCTCATATCGATAAACAATCGATGAAGAAGGACGCTGGAAAAAGGATGGAGCAGGTAGCAACAGCTGGAGGACGCTAGGGAGAAGAGAAGGCATTCTATGCCGGGACAGGTAGATGAGGTTGTCAGAAGAGAGGAGAACTTACTGGAGGCTGAGACACGGAGATGAGAGAGACTGGACATTTAAAGACCAAGAATATCAAGCCTACAGTTATAAGACTTTAATATATTCACTTATTACAGTTGTAAAATAAATTGTTTTGTTAGACAGGAGTAAAAAGTCATTTATTTATTTAGTTGTCCTATATGCCTCACAATTAAAGAATAATAAACCAGTTGAGTCAATTCATTCAAAGTGTATTTAATATGTCCCACGTTTCATATATATATTCTTATTGTTTCTTGTCACTCAGTGTCACAAAAGTATTAAGTTCCTGAATTCCCAACAACATTTAAACACCCTCAAAAAGTCTATATCCAGTGCCGGCGTTTGGTTTTAATAATCATGAGTATAAATAACCTAGTTCCCCGATATAAATGGAAGGCTATTCACTATTCTGGCCAAAACAAATTATTTAAAATTAAAATTTTAATAGGTTATTTCCATCCTGGCCCGATCCTCTCCCTGCAAAACCGTTGGCCTTGTAACAGTGCTTTCCCTAAATAGTACTGAACCCAAGACCCTTCATGGGCTGTAGTGGCACAGGTTTTTTTTTTTTTTTTTTTTATATCGGTCATATAGAATTTTTTTTTGGATGGGGGGAAGGAAGCAGATGAAATCAATATAGCAGATGTGGCTAAAAGTAATGAAACTGACACTGCAACAAAAGAAGTAAGCATGTGCCAAATACCAGCTAGAAAGAAACAGGTGTAGTCCCATCAGAAGGTGCGCTGCCGCATACCGTGTTACACCACAGAATCCATATTTCTGATGTTCCTAAGTATATAAACGAAATAAAGAGGTGGTGACATGCGCAGATTCCACGTGCAATACCTTTGCTGGTAAAAACCCGTATGCCAGATATGGTTAGGCAGGATGAAAGCAACCAGATGATTGATAACCCAAGATTATGAGTAATTGTAAAATAATTACGTTTTTTTTTTTACGAGGCTTTTAACTCTGGCATTAACCCTCCGCTCTTTCCTCTGGCCCGGTAATATCTCCGTTTAGCCTAAAAGATGAGATGATGGACAAAAAAAAAATTATAATAATAAAAGAAGTCTGGCATTCTTCCATTAGCCAAAAATGGGGATTGGGGAGAAAAGAAAGATAAAAAAACAGCTGTAAGGCACAAGATCTAGCAAACAAGGTTGATGGTCTGGGATACTGTATATGGTTAGAAACCTATTGACAATGCGGGATGAGCTGACGCATTGTCTTGGTGAAGAACCTATGACTTGTCCTTCCAAAATTTGTGTCATTTTTTCCCTCATTCTCTCACAGAGTCGAGCAAAGCACATGAATGTAATAATGTTGGTTGATAGTTTAACCTTCAGGAAGCCAGTGAAGGTGCACAATGCCACGAATATAGTAAATAGGGCCACCTGAGGCTGTATCATCTTCAATCTTGGCCATCTTTAAAATGCTTGAACCATTCAAAATTACATATACACGATAAAAATTCATTACTATTAGTGAATTATAAGTTTCAGTAGCGATTTTTAGTGAAATTTCACACTGTTCTTTGCTATATTGTTGGACTTAACATTTTTCCGGCAAAATAAAAAAAACAAAGGCTACATCTACACAATTTCTTTACAGAAGCAAGAGGTCCTACATTTGAAAAAGAAAGCTTCACGCTGAACAGCTAATCGGGTAATGAGGTGATCATGTCACATTTTTGCTATATTTATAGTCCTATTAATTCAAGTATAAAATTAGAGTGGTCATTAAGTTTTATTTCCAGTTTTTATCATGTTATCAATGATTCCAATCTTGCCCATCTCTGGGTACAAGTGACACTTATACACCTTGTGTAATGCAATTCCTCCTTCAGCTTATTAATTATTATTAACCAGTTAGAGGGTCTCGGATTCAGTACCTTGTCAAGCAGCAATCCTCGCCATTACTGAAGTGAATAAATGTATGTCGAGTGCAAATCCCTTTTCTACGATTTAACACTCCGAGGCACCAATGTGGTCCCTGCACTGTGAGAATGGAAAATGCAGTGAGAGTAATGGCTGCTCGAATCAGAAGAAATCAGATTCAAAAACAACAAATCATGTCTCGGGAAATGAGAATCTCTGTCAGATCAATGTCTCGCATAATAAAAACTGACCTTAGGATGGGTGCATTTCGAGGAATGACAGAACAAAGGCTAACAACTTCCCTTAAAAAAATTAGAGTGGATAGATGATAAGTGCTCCTTGGCTATTACACCAATGGTCTTCATCGAAAAAAATGTAATCACCAAAATGATCATGTGTACACACACAGCTCTAAAGAAGTCGAGGAAGAATTGAAAAAAGTCATCATCCTTCCTCAACGATGGTTTGGTGGGGAGTTTGCTTCGATGGCACCCGCAAAGCTCTCTGGTCCGAGCAGTTGAGTGCTTTCCTCAAGAAGTACTGCGTGCTCCTATTGATGACAGGCCACAGAGATTAAATGCCTGTGTCAAGGCAAAAGGGGAACATTTTGAATAATTTCTGTTTTGTCTTACTCTTTATATACTAGATATAGATCTACATTTTATTTTCTCATAAAGTTTTTGAAAAAATTAATTTTTCTGTTATATAATCTGTGTATGTTTCCTAATAACAAAATCTATGACAGGACTAGGTAGGTGATTTGATCATGGTCAACCATCACGTTTCCCCCATAATCAATAATTTAATTGAGCATACCCACTTTAAAGAGACAGTAAACCCCAAGGCTTGATCCACAGCTGAAGTAATAATATAATTGGCTACCAAAGACAAACTCGATTCCTGGACTTGGACCATGGGAGCACAGTGTCTTACTCACTGAACTACCCATCTCCGGACCTGTATTAATTATAATCCTGTATTTTTTTTCCAATAATTATTTCATCATAATTCTAGCAGTCATAATTAACAGTTAAAATAATGACCAACTTTAAGTAAACTGATGATTAATCCAAGGGGACATAAGTGTTAACATTTATTTCAAAGCTTTGGTTGACTTTTCATTTATTTATAGTTATAAGTTATAAAAGTTGTCTGAGAGCATACGAATATATGTATATATACCTGAAATGTATTAAATCGTTGACTTCCAATACTTTTAAATATTTCAAGATTACTTCTTGTTTGTTCACATAAATTATTATTTTGGAATGATGTAGTAGAACTTATCATGTCCAATGATTTCTGAAGACTCTAAAATAATTTAACGAAATTACATTTATTTTCACAAATAAAATAAAATAATAAAACAATTGATATAAAGCATACATATTTATCCAAACGAGAAGGTAATACACTAATCCAGTACCATCTGTAAGAAATAGCTATTGGTGTACTATTTTTTATCGTTACTTCTTTTTGACCAGACTGGAATAATTCGACGCACTCAAAATTAATATAAGAAGGGCTTAGAGACACACTAGGCAAGTAAACGTCAGCAGATATTGTACAAGATTTCTGAAAATAAAATATATTATTCAACATTAACAAATAAATAAATGGCAATATAAAAATACATTACTATTATATTGGCAGGAAAATTGTAGACTAATGGTGTATTCAGGACGGAAAATGGCTAAGGGCCACGGCTATAGAATAAAATACACTAGTAACACTAAGTATAAACATATTTTTAATGTATACCAATGATCTAGGTTTTAGGATTTCTTCATGGCTAAGTAAATGTGGGGGAGGACAGAGAGGCTGAATGGGCAAATTTGTTGTGTAAAACAAGAGTTGCACGGCAATTTAATAAATTGAAGATTATAAGTTCGATTCCCGGTGTCAGGGGGACTTTAAACTCTGGTATTAATTCTCAGTCTTCCTTCCTCGCCCAGGAAAAACTGCTAATAACTTGCATAAAAAAAAAAATGCTGCGAATTATTTCACAATGGTAAATTATTTCGAAAACAATCATTCGTCTGAAGTGACATAACCTTTCTAGTGACAAATTAAAAGAAATAAAGAGTTAATTCTAATTATTTGCCTAAACATTTTTTTTCATATTTTAACGATTTTTTTTTTTTTGTAGTAGACAGCCCCCTGTATTTACTACATTATGTGACATTGGGTGAGGGAATGAGAAGAAATATATAGGAATGTAAGGTTGCACTGTGAATTGTACCCACTTATGCAGTGGACGAATTATTCATGGAAAAGTCTCATATCGATAAACAATCGATGAAGAAGGATGCTGGAAAAAGGAGAGCAGGTAGCTAGCAACAGCTGGAGAGGCACTTGAGGCTAGGACACGGAGGCGAGAGGACGCTAGGCCTGGACAGGAAGAGAGGAGGTTGTCAGAAGAGAGAGAAACTACATTGAAAACTAAGAAATCAAGCCTACAGTTATAAGACTTTTATACATTCATTTATTACAGTTGTAAAATAAATTGTTTTATTATACAGCAGTGAAAAGTCATTTATTTATTTAGTTGTCCTATATGCCTCACGATTGAAGAATAACAAAACAGGTGAGTCAATTCATTCAAAGTGTATTTACTTAGTTCCACATTTCAAATATATATTCTTATTGTTTCTTGTCACGCAATGTCAAAAAAGGTATTAGATTCCCGAATTCCCAACAACAGTTAAACACCCTCAAAAAGTCTTTATCCAGTGCCTGGGTTTTGTTTTAATAATCACGAGTGTAAACAACCTAGTTCCCCGATATATAAAAGCGAAAGGCTATTCGCCAATTCCCGCCAAAACTAATTATTTACATTAAACTTTCAGTAGGTTATTTACATTTGTTTTTAAGAAAATTTCAAATAACTATATACAATATGCACAAAAAAGTGTATACTTTTTAAGTTATTCGGAATCTAATATTTTGAAGAAAGTAGACAGAAAGAGAGAAAAGAAATATAATACAATAGAGAGGTATTGCTCCTGTTATGCCAATCTGGTAAGGTATCTGTGAAGAGGTCTATAATGCCAAAATTAATCTATTAATATAAATTGTAATATTTCTCTTATATTTTTAACTAATAATATAACATCAGATCACTTCATAATGTTGGGATACTTCCTAAATAAATAAGAGGTTGTAAAATATTAAACTAAATTATAATAATATTGATATATTAAATTGAAATTTATAATTATTTTATCTCAGATATGGGTTACTGAAAATCAGATCAAAACACTCAGACAGACTAAAATTAACAACAATAAACATCGTTAGATTTTAAAATAATGTCATGTATGAATTGGCATGCTAACTTTTTTTTCTATATACACTGTTTCATCCTTTGTTGCACTAAATTCATTTATCTTCAAATGCTTTCCAATGTTCTGCCAAACACAACTTCCAAATTGGTGGCACTATCTTCTACTCAACTCTAACTCCCTGGGATATCCTTTCTCTTGTGATTCCAAACAACTAGTTTCTCCGCCAAACAACAACTTCCATGATGGTAATACTATTACAGGATTTGGTACTTTTTGTCTAGCGGGCCGGCATGAAACCTCACTTCTTATCTATCTTATCTAATGTCACGTCACATAACCTCCCTCTTCTTATCCCGCCAAACCTTGGAGTTATTGCATTGTTTAGTTTTCAGTTATTCCCTTATTAAGTTCACTTATTAAATTCTTTACTTTTGGCCTGTTTGTTTATTTTTCATTTTTTTTTGTGGCCCCTTTGTGTTTATTTTCCATTTTTTTTCCCCGCTTATTTTCGTCATATTATGGATCTTCTTAGAATATGGGATTAGCATGTGAGGAAAATTTTACCTCAGCAATGGATGTTTGGTGGAGTTTGCCGAGAAACAGATGAATGTTTTATCGTCAAAATAAATGACAGAAAAGCAACAATCTTATTGCAAGCAATTAAAGACAATATAGAACAGGGAACGACCATTGACGGACTGTTGGAAAGGATACAACACCCGACAACTGAACGAAGCAAACTATGACCATTTCCAAGTGAATCACCGGTATAATTTTGTCGATCCAACTGGGATACTCAACACATAGAACGATTATGGGGCTCAGCGAAGTGGAGAAATAAAGTACATAGAGGAACTGCCAGACAACACGTCGATTCATATTTGTGCGAATTTTTGTGGCGGCGGGTTCACAGAGAAGAGGACCCCTTCCTCGCTATTTTAAATAGCATAAAACAATTTTGCCTTCCAAAATAAATAACACAAAGTGAAAATAAATTGTACATTTGTTGTTTATAGTGTTGATATTTTTTTCTTTTCTACGTAAATATGTTCTTTAAATGTTTTTTTATTATTTCATTTTGATGTTTTATATATATGTTAGGGTTCTGTCTAATGACAAACGTCCAAGACAACTTAGCTTATAGCATGCGCAAGCTGGTGCAACCTCTTTGGATCGAGAGATCGATTCTAGCCGCCTATTGTTTTTAGTGCTAGCACAATTCTTTAACATGCTACGTTGTTTTTTCTTGGTTCGCTAGTTAATGAACATTAGTTATCATTATTAGAGGCCTGCATGCAGTGTAGTGAGCGCTCACAGTTTACAATAGTTTAATTTACGAGTTTATATTCAGTTAGTTATTGTAAAGCATTTTGTTAGTAGTGTACAAATTTTAGTTAGTTTTAGTTGATTTCTTGCTTTCTTATTTGTTTCTATATTATTGCATGTGCATTCATAGGTATGTTTTTATTTTCTAATTTTGTTTTTACCAGACTTTTTTTTATTTATTAAAGGTTTGCTTTGTTTTGTAAGCAGTTTTTTATTGAACGAACCTGTAGAATCCTTAAATGTACATATCTTCTTAAAGTGCTTTTTTATTATTTCATTAATATATGTGTCGTAAAATAAAAGTATTTTTTTTGTTATTACATTTGTTTTTGTATTTTTTTACACTTTCAATAATACGAAGATATGAAGTAGGAGAAGGCTTATCAATGCATTATGGGAATTATCAGTGTTGAGGTTATAAACATTGGCAGGTAGCAGTCAGTGCCCGCTAGACAAAAAGTACCCAGTATTTTACCCAAAGGGGCCTGGATCCTTTCTCCTATCCTCTCTTCACCCCAGCCAAACACCAACTGCTTGCCAAAACAAAATCCTTTGTCCCCTCTCCTCTTTGGGATTTTCCTTTATGGGGAAACTACAGAGCAGCTATTTTCTTTTCCCTGGACTAGTGAAACTAGATTAGCTTGCCTTTTAACTGCTCGACATTAATTTACTATACCCTTTATACCAACTTCTAATAAATGTGAATATTACAAAATATTATTTTAAAAACTACAATTTACGCATCTATGATAAGAAAACTAACCTCATAATTATAGTCAACAATAAAGAGAGTCAGAGGTCTCGAATAAGACCTTATCTTGTAATCCTTCATGTGCAACGGGTCAAAACAAATATCTGTTTTTAAAGGATGATCAACACTGACCATAAACGTTTCTTCATGCAGTATGCTATCATCTTTAAATATTCCAAATGGTTCTGGAATGGTTAAAATCACCTTCACTGGACTATTCCAATCAATGTGCATGGTAAAAGATCCTAAAAAAAATTAAATAAAATATTAAAAATATATTTAGATTAAAAGTAATAACAAGGTGAGATTTAATAATATACTTGTTGCGAGCTGTGGATCTTGGTGTATACTTGAAACAATATCAAAATGAAGGAGAGAAGGGTCGTAAATGAGATTCAGATCAATAAAATTGGCACTCATAATAGAAGAGCCCAAATAAGTTATTTTATACTTATTTCCAAATCTAGTATAGCAATGAATAATTTCTTGTTTAGGACCTATACTGTATAAGAAAAAAATTTATTGTTATTTTTTTTTTTAAGTTAATTTTTATCACAATTCATTTCTAATTATATAACAAATTTGATCCTTAAGTTCTACTTTAATTTTCATCCACCAACATCTAAATTTTCTTATTCTATGAAAAAAAAGAATTTTCTTATTCACAAGTGAATCACGAGAACAGCGTAGAATAAGAAATTCAAAGACGAATCTTCAAAGCAAATCAAAATTATTTCTTTGATAGATAGATAGAAAATAACTTTATTCTGGAACAAAGTCCCTTGAGAATAACAAAATAATACAAAATTGAAAGATTACATCTGGCCTTAATAACAACAAAAATAAAAAAGAAAGAGAAAAATATAAAGAAAACATTAGATAAACATGATGTATACAAAACACTTAAAAGTATGACAATATACTTAAAACTATGTACGGCAATAAAACATTATAAATAAAAAAAATACATTAAATTCTTCTTTAAAATAAGCTCTGTTCCTGCAAGAAAAAAAAAAAAAAAAGAAAGAAGGCCAAATTAGACAGTTTAAAATGCCTCAGTATTTAAATGATGAATAATATGTAAATACATCATAATAATTTTTTTAAGTAACTAAAGGCACAAATTTAATTATATAAAAAAAAAATAATTGTAAAAATCAACAACATATGCATTAAGAGGCATTAAAACCAAGAAAATCTTGTAATATCTCCAGCAAAGAACAGTGCTAACATTTAAGAATGAATGACATGAAATAAATGCTTAATGCCAAAAAGTTAGCAGCTGTCTGACTGTTTTTGGGACACAAATTGGATTAGGAGGGTTTTGAATGTAGATATGCAGGGGAATCCCGAATTTTGATAGGGAGGAAATTCCAGAAATTGACAGAACAAGCAATAAAGGAGTTTTGGAATAAAGTAGATCTATGAAAAGAATTTAAATGTCAGAAAGCCAAGACCTTGTGGAAAGGGAATGGACTGAGGAGTGGAATTGAAGAAGGTTGTAGGCGTGAGAAAGATGATGATAGTAAATGATTTGAAAGAGGAACGTAATTAGGAAATATTGTCTTCGGAAGGAAGGGAAGAGCCACCTTAACTCACTGTAGTAGTGAGAGACATAAGAGTATCTCGGAGCTCCAATTAGAAATCTATTGTATTCATAGCTCTTCAATAGTCTCTTCAGTCTGTCACGGAGAGGCCATCATACGCCACACAGCTGTAGTCAAATTTCTTCCTCATAAAACATTGAAGAAGCGGTTATTTATCCAAGGGATTGAAAGAAAGAATATATAAAACAATTATTCGGCCGGTGCTTAGGTAAGGTTCAGAATGTTTCACTACAACTAAAGCCCAAGAGCAAGTCCTAAGGTTTAAAATGAAAGTGTCGCATTGAATAGATGGTGGAATATGCGAGCAAGGCGTCTGGAGAAGGACGATTGCGTGGCTAATGATCCAAGATTTATGTTTGTGGTAAGAAGATAGAAGGCAGCAGATGACAGAATAGAGACAACTGGCGGTCTATGATAGAGCAGGCCATTACTTAACAAATGGGTCACAATGCCAAATAATAATAAATAAACAAAAAAAATTAAAACTTTTGCATGAAAATTGAAAAGATGCTGTCTAAATTATTAGATTATGCTGCAATTCAGGAGGCAAAAGAAAAAGAAAGGCAAGCTAAAATGATCATGGCCGTGAAGAAAGAAGATCGTACTATTAAGAAGCCGGTAAAGACTTAAGACCCAATATATAAGAGAATGGCTGAAGGAATCAAAATTCTTGAAAGAATGTTAAATCAAAACACTTACGATCATCTCGCTCAAGATTGTCAATTTTATGAAGATCCCGGCGATAAATACAGGACAGAAGAAGGCGTATTATTACCTCTGTGGGAATTCAAATACCAGTCTACGAAAGGAATAGCCGTTACGCAAGTAAAATGGAACCCTGCTTACAAAGATCTTTTTGGAGTCACGTTTGGTATCTTAGATTTTGCTGAGAACGACGATATTGGGGTCTTATCCGTTTTCACGCTTAAAAATCCCTCTTTTCCAGAATTTGTTAAACATTTCGATTCAGGAGCATTGTGTTTAGATTTCCATCCCAGGAAGTGTTATTACGTCTGTGTCGGACTTCAAGATGGGAGTGTAGCCGTTCATAATATGCAGACACCGAACTGCGAAACACAGTTTCGTAGTACAGTTGAGCATAATCATAGAAGTCAGGTATGGAGTGTATTGTGGTGTGATGACCATCGAGATAGACAATTGAGTTTTTTCTCCGCAGGAGGTGATGGTCGTATTTGCAAATGGCTACTACTTCAAAATGAACTTTTACATTCACCGATCATAACTTTATACATTGATAAACGTGAAATTAGTTCAGATATTCCTCATCTGAAACTCAAAGCTATGCCTACTTGCCTTACGTTCCATCCCAAAGACTTTGAAATATTTATGTTCGGAACTGCCTTTGGCACTATTTATAAATGCAATATTTCATATGCTTCAACATATTTTTATCATATGAAGGTACATGAGCTAACTGTTTATAGGATCAGTTACAACAGCTTTATACCCAAGATATTCGCGACTGCTGGTGGTGACTGGAGAATGAAGATATGGGCAAGTGCTGCATATTTCCAGTTCTAGCCACCCTTGAGTATGGAATTTTAATTTGGGCCAAGAATTTTAAGAACAATTTTACACATACAAATTTAAATTATGACAAGTTATACACACAGGCAGGCGAGAAGACTCAATTTTAAAATAACATTAAAAATTTTATCATAATATACATGTAAATTAATTAACATTGATAGGATGGGCATAAATGAATTATGATAAATCAAATACTGTGCTGACACAGAAAATTGTTATAGCTTACCAATGAGATTTTACACTGACCCATAAATCCATCTTGGAAAACTCTGGCAATACAAAGATAGAAGGTTGAATCACAAAGTACTTTCTAAAACACAGTAATTATGAAAACCAAATAAGATAGATCATGGAATTCTATTTATAAGGATAAAAAATTAATAATTCAAAACAGACCCCAGTGGATTTCCCTGGGCCCTTATTTTTTTTATATTCATTGCACCATCAATTGATAAAATAACTAACTGAGCTTTGGAGCCAATATTAGAAACCAAAATCTTATAGTTATTATCACCAATCCTAAAAAAATATACATTTTTAAAAATAAATTATAACATTATATTTTGTTTATTAAACTAGTTGATACTTGAATGATAAATCTTTAGTTGAACATATGAAAACTCTCTTAATCATATAAATAAAAATCTAGTGCTCGCATCACATAACTTTTACTTACTACTCTACTTTGAGTAGAATTTAATGGAGCTAAACTTTGAACTTAAAAAACACATATGTAATTTAGTCATATTTATTAATGTAAACTCACTAAGACCATTAAGATTATACAAACTGTAATTATTATGTCAACAGTAGGCAATGAAAAACTTGTGTAACTCCATTAGTATATTTGAACATAAAGTCCAGTCTCTGAGCTCTATATAGAAAGAGAGATTTTAAAGTATGTATATATATATATATATATATATATATATATATATATATATATATATATATATATATATATATATATATATATATACTTAAAATGCTTTAAGAATATATATATATATATATATATATATATATATATATATACTTAAAATGCTTTAAGATTCAATTGTCCCTCATAATTCAGTCATATATACACATTCTTATTATTTCTTGTCACTCAGTGTCACAAAAGCAATAGGTTCCTGAATTTCCAACAACAGTAAACACCATCGAAAAATCTATATCCATTGTCGGAGTTTTGTTTTTAAAATTAAAATTCACGAGTGTGAATTACCCCCAACTAAACGGAAGATTATTTCCGATTGCCGCCGAACAGGTTATTTACATTGTGCTTCCTTTTCTATTTCATAATAATTATAATTGTATCACAATATAACATAAATAATATTATATTAGTCCATGGTACAGACCCCTTTTTACCAAATTATTAACATTTGTCTGGAACTTTGTGAATAGCTTCATCTCATCGTGACCTACAAATATTATATATACAAAAACTCTTGTAATTGAGGCATTTTCAATATGGAGATTGGCAAACTTTGTCTATTTAATTAGGTACTAAAAATTCGTAAATACCGATTAGTTTTCCACTTGGATCGTAAGATAACTTGATCAAAAAATTGATCCAAGTGGAAAGCAAATGAGTACTTACGAATTTTGAATACCTAATTAAATAAGTTTGACTAGCTGATAGAATACCTAATAGACAAAGTTTGATGATCTCCAGATTACAAACGTCCCAATTCCAAGAACTTTTTATAAATAAAATAGTTGCTGGTTACGATGAGATAAAGTTATTTATGAAGTTTCCGGCGGATGTTAATAATTTGATAAAAAGGGATCTGTACCAAGGACTATATATAATATAATAACCAATATATTGTATTCAAGAGAAAAATGTCTACATCGAAAAATAACTGATGTCATCAATGTAAAATCAAACTATCACCTCCCATATAAATTTTTAGTGTAAAAATATTTAATTTGTATTAGGAGGTAACATGAGCTCAACAAATATATAATTAAATGAACAGCTGTATAATTTGTAAAATAACCGCCAGAGGAGAGCAGCACTATTGAGTCTAAAGTAGGGCTATAAAAGTTGAGCTCTTGTTATATTGCCTACTCTCCTAATACTAAAATAAAATAAAATATGAGTCACTAAAAACATTCTGGTACTTCTTAGCAAGCAGGCCGGCACGAAACCTCACTTCTTATCTCTCTTATCTAATGTCAAGTCACATAACCTCCCTCTTCTTATCCCGCCAAACCTTGGAGTTATTGCATTGTTTAGTTTTCAGTTATTTCCTTATTACGTTCACTTATTAAATTCTTTACTTTTGGCCCGTTTGTGTTAATTTTTCATTTTTTTTTTAGTTTATGGCCCCTTTGTGTTTATTTTTCATTTTTTTTTTTTTTTTTTTGTTTATTTTCATAGCTCAGAGAAGTGGAGAAATAAAGTACATAGAGGAACTGCCAGATAACACCTCGATTCATATTTGTGTGAATCTTTGTGGTGGCGGGTTCACAGAGAAGAGGACCCGTTCCTCGCTATTTTAAATAGCATAAAACAATTTTTCCTTTCAAAATAAATAAGACAAAGTGAAAATAAATTGTACATATGTTGTTTATAGTGTTGATATTTTTTCTTTTCTATGTAAATATATTCTTCAAGTGTTTTTTTATTATTTCATTTTGATCTTTTATATATGTGCATATCTTCTTAAAGTGTTTTTTTATTATTTCATTAATATATGTGTCATAAAATAAAAGTTTTTTTTTTTTGTTATTACATTTGTTTTTGTATCTGTTTACACTTTCAATAATATGAATTTAATACAATAATACGAAGATATGAAGTAGGAGAAGGTTTATCACTGCGTTATCGGAATTATCAGTGTTGAGGTTATAAACATTGGCAGATAGCAGTCAGTGCCGGCCTGCTAGTCAAGAAGTACCAACTTTTTATATATAATAGAGAGATATATCCAAGCACAATTTTTACTTTAATATCAATAAAACCTCTTTTCATTTATATAAAATAACATTTGAAGTTTTTAATATTTTATAAAAATTAAATTAAATACTAAGAATTCCGTATTAAATACCTCAATGCAGGACCAAAGTCTATAAATGGAAATATATTAGGCGAAAACACAATACTGGATCCTGTCACCATGGCTTCTAGTTTAACCGTCAGAATTCTGCTATCTTTGACTTGGATTTTAAGATGATCTTTAAGGAGCCCTACATCAATTGGATTAGGCGTAATGGTAACATAAACTGTTTCATCTGGATCAATTATTCCATCATGGATAGAGACCATCCAGAGGTTGGAGTCTTTTTCCTAAAGTTTGTACACTTAAATAATAATATATATTATTATATAATCTATATAAATAAAATAAAAATTTTGTCTGTACATTTAATAGAATCAACCAGTTTTATGATATCTTTCCGTTTCATACATTGCAGAAACAAAATCCACTTTTAAAAAAATGTTTGTCTGTCTATATGTCTGCATTGCAAGAAAATTTTGTCAGGGGTAAGCTCAGCAATGGCTTATTATAGACTTTTGAGATTTTGACGGCTTTAAATGAAAACAAAATATTGAGCAGAACCAAAGTTCTGAATACTTGAGTAATTTGTCTAGAGATCTCGGTTAATGTTGATGATAAATGTTAATAATAAAGATATGTTTATAGGTTAAAGATCATCTATATAAATAAAATAAAGGTTTTGTCTGTACATTGAATAGAATCAACCCGTTTCATAATATCTTTCCATTCCATACATTACTGACACCAAATCCACTTTTAAAAGATTTTTTGTTTGTCTGGATGTCCGCATTGTCCAGCGAAATTTTGTCAGGGGTAAGCTCAGCAATGGCTAATGGTACACTTTTGAAATTTTAAATTGTACTTCGGTTTACTCGACTTAAAATATAGGCTTTAAATGAAAACAAAATATTAAGTAGAACCAAAGTTATGCATTCTTGAGTAATTTGTCTAGAGACCCCTGTTAGGCAGTTACTTACTTCAATTCCCATCCCAACCTAACCTATCACGAGCGACATTTAAAAGTTGTACTACTCAACTGCTGGAAAAAATTATCACAACTTAACGGGAAAAATCCGGAATACTGAACATCTTTAACCCGTTCTTGCATAAAACGGGTAAAACACACTCATTTTTCAAATTTCTTCCCGTTCAATGTGTCATTCGATTCAACTTACCGAGCCTAACAAATGTTGTTGTTTACATTTTTAGGATTAACCAAACGGATTAGCCAGAAATCTGGAAAAAAAAATTTCATCCCGCCCGCCACCATATTCAGATCAAGTTCTAATTTTACAAGGATGTAAGTGACGCAATGTCCAATTTACATTGATTAATTTGGTTATTTTACCAGCGATAAACTCAGCAGAATTTAAAGAAGTGGAGAGACTAAAACTCTTTTTGATTATTTTAATCGACTTCACAATCTTCTTGCTTCATCATAAATGAAAATAAAACACTTAACAAATTTGAATGTTTCGGTGGTGGTTGGTTTAATTGTGTGATACCTAAACAAATAGCCTAATAACAAAGTTTTTGTTATGACTATTGCGAAACCTTTACTTCCATAAGCCCCGCCATAAAAAATTTCAAAACAACCCCCCTCTCCCCTCCCGACTCAATTTTATGAAATTGAATTTGGACCCTCTCTTCCCTCCCTCCCCATAATACAAAATCCATCTAAAAAAAGATTCTCAAATTTTAATCTTAATAATAACAATCCACCCTTCAATGACAGGTACGTCAGCTAGTATATAATATAAATCCAACAAAAAAATAAATTCATACTAACAAGAAAATAAGAAATAAAATGGTATTTTATCTATTGATAAATAAATATTGGAAAATAATAATTCATATAGTCTATTTATCAGTGAATAAATTGTACTGTTATATCCAAATAAATAAACTTTACTCTATCTATACTCTTTTATTAAATGGTATCCATTATCGTCCTGGAGCCTGTGGCAAAAAAGGTGTCGTGTTTCATACTAAGGTTTGTCCTTATTAATTGAACATATCAACAGGCGTGATGAGAAAAATGCATCTCTACCAAAACATAGCCGCTGGAATACAAAATGGCAGCAAGGTGAAGATAGATTGACACTACCTAGTACTGTCATAAATATTGTTATAAGAATTGAAATCTGTGCATATTTTCTTATAACAATATTTATTATGCACAGATTTCAACAGAAAAATTATTTTTTTCAAAAACTTTATTAGAAAATAAAATGTAAATCTATAGACAGTAAAACAAAAAAGAAATTACTGAAAATGCCCCCCTTTTGCTTTGACACAGATATTTAATCTCTGTGGCCAGTCATCAATAGCAGCACGCAGCACTTCTTGAGAAAAGCGCTCAACAGCTTGGACCAGAGTTTGTTTGAGGCTTTCCATGTTAGGGTGTGCTCTGTGGCATGACATCCTCTCCAGTTCAAACCAAAGCCTATAATCTAGTTGGTTGAGATCAGGGTTTCCTGAGGGCCAATCCGAGGCAGAGATGAACTCTGGAATATTCTTTTGCAGTCACTGCTGAGTTAACCTGGCCTTGTGAGCTGGAGCAGAATCCTGCTGGAAAACCCAATGACTTCCAGCAGAGTATCATTTAGAGGCTTGATAACAGATTCCAAATTATGGTGCTGATAGTTTTTAGCGGCTGTTTTAACTCCTTTTTTAACAAAAATGGAGCTTTGTGGAGCCATCAAAGCAAACTCCCCAGGAAACCATCACTGAGGAAGGGTGATGACCTCTTTCCACTGTTCCAATGACTTCCTGGACTTCTTTAGAGCTGTGTGAGTACACACGTTCATTTTGGCAATTAAGTTTTTCTCCAATTGTAAAGGATATGCCAAGAAGCACTTTGCATTTATCCACTCTAATTTTTTTTAGGGAAGTGGTTATGCTTTGTTCTGTCATTCTTCAGAATACACTCATCCTAAGGTCACTTTTTATTATGCAAGACATTGATTTGACAGAGATTCACATTTCCTGAGACATAATTTGTTGTTTTTGAATGGGATTTCTTCTGATTTGAGCAGCCACTGCTCTCACTCCATTTTCCGTTCTCACATTGTGGGGACGAGCGCGGTCGAGATATGTCACATACTGATAGAGTCTCATTATATCTATTTATAGTGTGGTACACGAACATACAACTGATACACAAAGATTTTAAAGTGTTGAAAATCTCTGACCAACATTTCCCAACTTTGTGTAAGGCGATCACAGCTATTGGTTTTCTTTATCACCCCACTCTTCCGCGTTGAGCAGCCATACAATTTAATTGTGCTTCTCTTTCATTGGTTGATTGCAATGGTTCATTCAATATAATAAATCAAAAAATTTGTAGAAATCACAATGAGATATATCTTTGCTAAACATAGTCCAATTTAAATAAATTTTGTATTCCTTTTGTAAGGAATTCAGAAACCTTTCAAAGTTTTGTCGGTGGAATCAAACATAAATTGTATACTTCTAGAATTATTCATAAATAAAATTTCCTTTTCTTCATAATTTTTTCACTGACTTGTTTATTTTTTGCACCTGAAATGTTATACGTATATTGTTAGATTACGTTTCCTTTGAAAATCAAACAAACAGTTTCTGGACAAAATTATTTACCAGGCTGGGTTGAGACAATAAACACACATTCCTCAAATATATAATATAAAAGCATATATTAATTTTCTATGAAATATTTATGAATTTCCATTCAGTTTTGTCAGGGTCTACTCTTGGCAAGCTTTCTAATTGTCACTATTTATTTTTTTCTCATCCTGGTCCGTAGTGAATCTTCCTCTGTACTGATCCTGCAGGCTTTACAGCGTTAAACTTCTACAATGTCTTATTTTATTCTTTTATTTTCCTGCCTTCGTCTAGACACTCACTACTTGTTGGTCAGCTGTCCCTCTCTGTTGTTCTCGATCACCTTTCCTTGACGACTAGTTACTTTCTGCCTTTAACATGTAGCCCTTGGTTCCCGTTCCATCTGCCTTTCTCCGCCTCTTTGTCCATTCCTTGACAGTAGTTCGTGACGCCACTGCTTCTGCACCACTTTTTAAAATCACTATGTAATATTTACATTACAATATATTAGAATGTCTTGGATAAGCCATTCTACAGCTGAATTGTCATTTATAGAACAAGATTATGTTTTTTTCATCAAAAGCCATATTCCACTGGACTTTGGTGGAGGTCTCAATGCGACCTGCGGAACTTGGTTTAGGTATTCAAAAGGTTTGGAAGCCCCTGACCTAGATAAACACACGGATATTTTAATGCTCCATTGGGGGGTTTCGTGGATGTCTTGGACGTCTAAAATTAAAAAAACTTAGTATCACATTTTTTAACATTGCAGTTGGTCCTACATTAACTGAAGCATTGCTCTAAATCATTAAGGTAAGTTTGAAGGATATTTCCTGGCCTTATTATGTCTTTGTAGTGATAAAAAAACTGGCGCGTAAGCGAACATAACTAGAAGTAAATGAGGACTATATGATGTCATGCAGATAAAAGTTAAAGGACGTGCTAAAGAACTGAATCTTGTGGAGTTCTGGCATGAATTGATTTCATGCTTCAATCAATTTATATAATTTATTTTAACTATAAACATTCAATCATTGAGACAGAAATAAAGATTTTTTTTAAGGTATTTTAGAATATCTACTTGTTTGAGTTTATTAAATTCTCGTTGAAAATCAAGGAATGTAACCAGTGCATGTTTTTTTCTCATTTCAAAGTGGTTTACTACAAATTCTGAGTCAGAACAGCTGGTGCGTTGTAGAATGACTAAACCGAAAAACAAATTGAAAGTTGGAAATAATATCAATATACTGAAAAAAAGGAAGAAAGATGCCTTATTATAACAATATTATAGTAGTTTTCCTAGAATCGGTAATAAGGTTATGGGACTACAGTTGCTCAAATTGTAAATTTTTAAATGGTTGTATTTTAATATATTTTAAGTAGTTATATACTTACAAATGATATAATAAATTCAGCAATAATAGGTGAAGCATTAAAGATAGATAATGTCTTCTCGTATGGTTTCAAAATATTGATATTGGACCAAATCAAACTTTCATTTTTGACTATAACCACTGGTCCGATTCCTACGATTGTGATATCACAAAGGGGGACAATGCCGTTTCCAAGAACAAATCCCCTAATATAAGTAATTTTAGTTTTCATTAGCAAAAAAATTATTAACCTTAAAAAAAAAAAATTTAAAAGAACATACAACAATGTAAAGTTGTGTTCTCCAAGACTTCCTGAACTTAATTGAAAAGTGAACTCAGCAGACCCCAAAGGATCGATTAGTCCCATTTCATTGTCTCTCCTATGACAGTATATTCCTCTTTGTAGATCCTAAAAGAAGTTTAAAAACATATATAGTAACATCTCTCTTATATTTTACAAATAATAATAATAATAATAATAATATAACCGCAGAAGATCACTTTATACCCTTAGGATACTTCCAAAAGAAATAAGAGGTTGTTAAATAAAAAAACAAAATTATAAGAGTAATAATATATTTATTTATCTCAGGTGTGGGTTACTGACAATCAGATCAACTCAGACAAACTATTATTATTTACACCGATTTTAAAATAAAATCAAATATTAACTAAAGCTAACTTTTCTCTATATACAATATTTCTTCCCTTGTGGCACTGAACTCATTTGTCTTCAAACATTTTCTTATGTTCTGCCAAACACATATCCCAAAATGGTAACACTATTCTTCCACTCAACTCGAGTTCTCTGGGAAATCCTCTCTCTTGCAATTCCAAACAACTATTCTCCCTGCCAAACAAGATCTTCTAAGATGGTAAAACTATTACTGGGTTTTACCCACTGGAGCCAGGATAGGATATCTTCTCTTAACCTCTCTTCACTGCAGTCACACAACTGCTTGCCAAAACAAAAACTTTTGTCTCTCTCCTCTTTGGGATTTTCCTTCTTGGGAAATTACAGAGTAGCCATTTTCTTTTCCCTGCACTAGTAGAACTAGATTAGCTTGCCTCTTAATTGTTCAACATAATTTATTGAACCCTTTTTACTCACTTTCAATTAAAATATACATTACAATATTGTAATGATTTTTGCGGATGTTTATTGAGAACTGTATAATTTGTAATTGTGGGTTGACTGTAGTGAATAATGAAGAGAAGGATGAAGGTTGGGGCGATCAGTCATCCTTCTCTTCATAATAATTTGTAATATTTACTTTTGAGTAATAGTTATAATTCATTAAATAAAGTAGTTCTTGGATATTAGGAGTTACAATAACAATAAAGATAAGGTGATTAAAAGATGTATATGTTAAAACTGAAACCTTTTAAAGCATTAACATAGATATATTTTTATAGACATGAAAATGATTTTAGATAATCAAATGTCATAAAAAATGAAGGATGATAATTAGACCGGATCTTTGTGCAGTAAAAATATGATAAACAGCAGCAAAAAAACTCAAAATGTGCAAAATTGTGCAGTAAAAACCCAAAATTGTCTGATTCACACCTTAAAATGTGCAAAATCATCTATTTTGTTTAATTTATGATATTAATACAGAAATCCTATCAAACCTTACATGAAGCTTCTGAATTAAAACATGGTGTCTCAAAAAAAAAAAAATTAAAATTAAAATCCATATTACGCCTAACCCACACTGGTAGTCTCCGATAATTTCCTCAGTATATTCTGTGATTCAAACAGTTAAGATTAATGTGAATATTTTATAACATACAGGAAGAAGAGAAATTCCTTGATAGTTATTACAGTCCGTCCTCGGGCCCTTTTTGTGAATCCGGGATAAGAATGAATTTTTTCCATTCTTCAGGTAATTTCTCATTCTTCCATATATATTTAACCAAAACATGTATTTTATAAACTCCAACTTCCCAACATGCCTTAATTAGTTCACTAGGAATATCATCAGTCCCCGCTGCTTTATAAGATTTTAATTTTCCGATAGCTATTTCAACTTCCTTTTTACCTGGTTCTTCTATGGTTTGGCACTCTAGTTCTCTGAAGGAGGACACAGATCATTACATAAAGTAGGTAGAATAAACTTAAAGAAAACATAAAATAATGATAACAAAGTTAAGATATATAACATAATGGTAACAAAGTCAGGAACTTATGAATAAAATAATAACAGTAACAGAGAATTATGAAATAATTTGTTATTTATTTCATAGTTCTCTGTCACTGTTATTATTTTATCCATAATTTCCTAACTTTGTAACCGTTATGTTATATATAATAACTTTTCTTCTGCCAATTGCTACCCATTAACTTTGTTATCATTATTTTATATTTCCTTTAAGTTTATTCTACCTACTTTAAGTTTATTATACTTACATTTTTTAGACTAACCTTTCATCTACATATTATTTTTCTTTTTAATTTTTTAATGTTAATAGTTTCTCATGCCTATTATTATCTGGTTTTCTCCTAGCCCTGAAGAAAAGGCCTGAACTTTGGACCGAAAGGGCGACAAAAATAAAAATATTCTTATTTAGTTTTATTTTTTACTGATCACCCCATCCAATATTTTCTTCAATGATTCACTCACTATAGTCAGCCATCAATCAACAATTTACTTATTTTCTTCAATCTTGCATCAAAAGTAATGTTACTTTTGATGTATAGTTGTTTGGAAATAATAAACCATTGTGTAATAATTTGCAGCGTTTTTATTTTATGTTTTTATCTATCTTTTATAAAATAGATAGTTTGAGTTATGAAACAGTTTGAAAATAGAATTCATGTATAAGCCCACCGCATCATTCAAAGAGAAAGAGCCTGACATTTCGTCTCAACTCATATGAGTCCACCTTTAGTCTCAGCTCAATTCTCTCTCAACTTATATACCAGTTCAGTGACCTTAAAGGGCTAAGCAAGCATAATAAAAATAAAATTTTCATTAAAATGTTTACAGGGAAGTCTCCAAACAGTATGGCATGACAATAAACATAATTACCTTATAATCCAGCAGCCAGAAACTGACTTGTACATTTCCCTTATTAGATATTAATATCGTTTGTTCATATTCACTGCCTTTAAAGCAATACGGTAACCTCAATGTATCAGGAGAACAAGTTATTTCAGGAGCTATAGCATTAAAACAAACTGGAAGTTTTTTATTTTCATATAAATGCATCTCTGATGAGATTATTATATTACCACTATACTTTTTTGCAATGTTCGCCACAAGGAAAACCTAGATAAACAGAATAAATGTTCAAATACAAAAGGAAGAAAAAAAAAATATCATAAAATATTAAGAGTACAAATTATTTAAACTAGGGGGAACCCCCTATCAGCCTAACGGCGGACCAACCTCTATTTTACAAATTATACAACTGTTCATCTAATTTTACTATTCGTTACTCAAATAGTACAACTGTAATCTGTTTTTCAGATTGTATTATTTTTTATCAACATAAAATGAACTGAATAAAACTCACAGTTTGGACAAATTTTTAATTTCTTTAAAAATATATATTATACATTAGCGCCTTATTGCTAATTTATATTATTATAATTAGTTTTATGGCCAATTTGTAACCATAATATATATTCAACTTGTCCAGCTTCATATAAGTCCAACATCAATTTGAGCCCTGTATTCTAATATTTTCATTGTACCTTATGTTGTGCTTCCTTTTCTAATTCATAATAATTATAATTATATCAAAATATATTATAAATAATATTATATATAATAATTAATATATTGTATTCAAGGGAAAATGTCTAGATCGAAAAATAACTCCTGTCACATAGGTAAAATCAAACTACCACCACCAGATGAATACCATTTTCCATACAATTTTTTTTCTTTAGTAACTTTCATTCAATTTCCTTGAAAACATGTGATTTCCATTAAATAATATTAGTTTTCAAAAATTATTATTCATAATTTTTCTTCACACTCCATTACTTTCTATATTACACATTGTTTTTTCTGAAAATCTCTGCTTTCCAACGGTATACTGTATACTTTCTGACTATTATTGCCGGATATTTATTTTCGACCTGGATAAGCATTTTCCTTTATTTCTACTTTATTCAATTATCAAATTCTTTCAAAAGTTATATTTAGCCTTTTTTCATAATTCCTAACAATGAGAAATAGTTAATAATTTAAAATAAACCAAATTAAGATGCTCTAGAGGAAGAAATGTTGAACATTTAAGCCAACATTTAGAAGAACATTTAAGCCCTGTAAAGGGACATCAGTGGGAATGAGACCTAAATGATATTGAAGACCACTTAATTATACAATGATACACTGACCTTAATCAAAATCATTAGAGCCATTTTTCAGAGAATTGTAAAAATATATATCACCGTTCATATAAAGTGGCACTTCCAGTTGGTCAATTTCATGGAAAAAGTTGCTGCCACAGCAGCACCATATAGAAACCTTAAATATGTAATATCAGTTTTGTACGACTTTTCATTTTTGAGCTAGACTGTTCACAGACACACATACAGACCATTTTGCAGGACTTGATTATTTGGAGTCAGGGAACCTCAAAACATGTATTTCTGTTCTCGAAAACTCAGATTCAAAAATTTTCACAATCTCAATACTTTCCCTTACTATATATTACATATATAGGTAAGTGAAAGTAGTGGGCCAGGTGGCCTAACGAGCTAATGTGTGTGCACATCATCCGGCAACCTGATATATGAGATAATTGATATAAAATAGTCACAATTTCGCGTCGTGGTGGCGGGGGAGTCTTTTAAATCCACACCCACACCCCCTGGTCTGGGAAAACCCTGTGTAGCCTTAAAGGCGAGAAAGGGGAGGACCCAGAAAAAAAAATTAAAAAAATAGGTATATATCATCCGTTTATTCCGAAAAATCATGATGTAACCTTTTAGAAAATTAAATTAGTGCATAATTTGATGAATTTTTCCTTTGTGATATCCCAACAGTATCCACTTAAATTAGTGTGACAACTTTTGACCTGTCTATGACATATAATGTAAATCTCGTAATTCTATTTTAGTAAACTTTGCAATGGAAAATAACAAGTTTAATAACTAATAGTCATGCAATTCATAATCAACTAGTGATATAATAAACAGTATTTTGTTATTTTAATGGTATTTATGATTTGTTAGCTGTAAGTTTTAAGCTTTAACTCAGTTAAAAATACAATTCAAAATTTTATAATAGTCCAACTTGGCCAGAAAATAATTTCTATTCAAATTTGAGCTGTAAGGGAAAATTGTGTGTCGCAGTTGTACAGATCTTTTTATATAATAGAGAGATATACTTCACAGTAATAATACAACAAACAAGGATTTAGATAGGACAGGTAGGACCTTCCACTTGTTATATTTAATTTAATATTATATCATACTATTAGAGAGATGATTTATGGTCCAGTAAAGGAGGGTGATGTCTGGAGGAAAAGAAAAAATAGGGAACTCAGTTCTCTCTATACAGACATCGACGTTGTCACCTACATTAAACTGGCCAGACTAAGGTGGGCAGGGCATGTGGCCAGAATGAGCGCTGTTGAAATACCAAAGAAAATAATGATGGAGGAGCTGCATCTCGTAAGACGGGTAGGAAGGCCGAGGACGAGATGGTTGGACAACGTGGCCTATGATGCGAGAACCCTGCTTGGTGTACGGAACTGGAGAGCTGCAGCAGAAGACAGAGCCAACTGGCGGAGGCTCTTGGAGGAGGCCCAGTCTCAGTAACGGGATGTCGTGCCACACATGATGATGATGATGATTAGAGAGATGACAAGTACCAAAAAATAATTAAATCAGGGTGGAACAATATACATTGTTAAAAGAGATAAAACTGAAGCTAAATACAACATTGAAGAAAATCAGTAAAGAATTAGGGCTCAAAATAAATACTGGCAAAAATAAATACTGGCATCAATTTCAATGAAAGAGCTATATAGAAGGGAATACATTTAGAGATGTATAGGCATTTATGGTATGCAATAATCATAAAAAACTATTAAGACTTGAAGGCCAGAAATGCTTGCTATTTTATGTTTCAAAGCTACTTATCTTCCTCCTGTCTAAAACTTAAAAATTAGAATTTACAAAACTACTATCATTCCTACAGTTTTTTATGTATGCAGAACTTGGCGGCTTACATTAAGAGATGACTGAAAAAGGATTAGTCAATCGGATAATTAAGACAGTTATGTAATTATGAATGACATGAACTGCACCCTAAACTACTAAATTACTACAATAAATGTATTATATATATACAAATAAGTAAGAGACAGAATCCATTCATAGTAAACTAACCTTGACTTCAGCCCTATGTTTGGCTTGTATCTTAACTTCTGTAGGCTCCAAACGAAATTCATTAGGCGTCTTAGGTAGGTCCTTAACAGAACTGCTGATGAGTTCATCATATACAATGGATTCTTCGACACCATCAAGTGGGATTTGTAACTTTAGCATTATATCAATTGAAGAATGATTAGCTATGGTAAAATGTTTCTCAAAACATACACCTGTAGAAATATAATTAATAAAAACTGAGCGATATGAAGAGTTAATTGTTTAAAAAATGTTGTAACAGAGCTACTGTGTGAGAGGAAAACAATAAAGACGGGGTTCACATCACAATAAGATATATCAAAAGTAATAAGCAAAATATTGTATCTTAATATGTAATTATAACAATTGGCTTATAATTAAGGCTCAGGTCGATCTGCAAATGCTCTACTTCTTCGAAAAAGTTGCCAAATTCACATACCTAGGTATCAACAATAGTTATTCTTTTTTCTTAACCCTTTAACTGCTAACGACGGTTATAGTTGCACCAACTGAACGTGCCACTGTTACTAATGACGGCTATAGTTGGAGTGCCCCACTCCTATCCTCAGTACTAATATCGGGTACAGTCGGACCACTACTTTTCTTTTTATTTGCTAATGTCGGCTATAGTCGCACCACTGCTTTTCTTTCTATTTGCTAATGTCGGCTATAGTCGCACCACTACTTTTCTTTCTATTTGCTAATGTCAGCTATAGTCGCACCACTATTTTTCTTTCTATTTGCTAATGTCGGCCATAGTCGTGTCAACCTTGCTACGTTCTAGTGGTTTTCTAGTGAAGTAGAGCTTCTAACTAGAGCCCACAGATGGTGTGAGGATTTATTTTGGAGCTTTTCTTGTAGAATTCATGAACCGTTATGGGTTACTACCTGCTACATGTCTTTCTTTGGCTGGCTTGACCATTTTTATTCCTTTTTTTGTGTTCTATGTGAAACAACCTTGTGTTCAACTGATCTCAGTTTTTTTTTTATAAATTTCATTTAGTTTAGTTATTTTAGTTAGTAATTATATCAAAGTTTAGTTAGTTATGTATAGATTTATTATTTTAGTTATTTTTAGTACGGAGTTAGTCATTTTTTTGTTTCCTTATTTTTTAAAAATGGATAAAAAGTGATTTACTGCTGCAGAAGGTGATGTTGAATCCTTGTTGATGACTCTGAAGGGAGTAACAATGAAAGAAGAGATAAAGACATTTCGATTCCTTCAACATCATCACTTCTTTATATTTCAACAGCTCCATCAACGTCAATTATCACACAAAATTAAATTATTAAATAAATATTTAAACTTATAAAAACATTTTTTTTAAAGTTATTAAAGCTCCGCCAGTGTCGGTCCATAGCCTGAATCTAAAAGGAGGATGAAACAATAAAATAAGGTAGTAGTAAGAGCTGGTAACGAAGGGTGGAAAGCAGGTAAAAAGCATGTACCACAGGTCGGTTGTCAGGCCGCCAGCATATTGAGCACTGTGGTAGACGTAGAGCTAGTCACTCACAGCAGTGAAAAGGTTAAATCCAAGAATATTGAACTGGATTATAAACAATCCAAATTCACGAAAGAAAAGCAATTTCACAAATTCCATAATAAAATTTGTCATAAAATTAACATAAGTAAGTTGTGTCCTCCTAAAGCTGGTCATATTATTTAACAGTAGTTATCCTGGCCCTGGGTTAAAGTAAGAAATCACATTTCTCTATCAGGTAATCTCATTTCTTTGCAGCCTGATAAACAATAACGAAAAAGGAATGAAAGAGAAATTAATGAGGATTTCAGCTTCAACGCCCATTTCCAATAATTCAGTTACTTTTCATCATCATCATATTTTATTTCCTCTTTGCCGCCTACGCGATGTGAGGTTGCCTTTTGACGAGCTTGGACCAGGTGGCCCTCTCCTGCACTAGCCCTCGCTTCTGGAACACATCTCGTACACTTTCTTCTCAAGAGATTCAGGTCTTTCTCTCAATCTTCTATCCTGCAAGCGAGTCTTATACGTCTTCCTTGTGACTCTGCATTGTAGTAGACATTCCCCGATATTTACTCCTTTATATGACATTGTGTGAGGGTATGTGAAGGAATATATAATATATAGGAATGTGAGGTTGCACTGTGAATTGTACTCAATTATGTAGCAGATAAATTATTCATGGAAAAGTCTCATATCGATAAACAATCAATGAAGGGCGCTGGAAAAAGGAGAGCAGGTAGCTAGCAACAGCTGGAGGGGCACTTTAGGCGGAATGACATACCTGGGAAGAGAGGCTACTACAAGATTTAGAAGATCAAGTTTATAGTTGTAACACTTTAATAGAGTCAATTTATTACAGTTGTAGAAATAAATTGTTTTGTTATACAGGAGTGAAAAGTAATTTATTTATTTAGTTGTCCTATATGCCTCACGATTAAAGAATAACAAACCAGATGAGTCAATTCACATTGACTTTTGATTGAATTTATTATTTTTATTTTACACAATTATTTTAAATTATTTACCAGGTTGGGTTGAGACAACAAACACACATTCCTCAAATATATAGTGTAAAAGCATATATTAATTTTCCATGAAATATTTATGAATTTCCCTTCAGTTTTGTAGGGATCTACTCTTGGCGCACTTTATAATTATCACTATCTAATTTGTACCCGCCCTGTTCTGCAGTGAATATTCCTCCAATTGATGTTCAAGGTATTGCCATATTCAACTTCTACAAATCTTCTCATAATATTCTATTTTCTTGTCTTCATCTAGGCACTCACTACTTGTTGGTCAGCTGTCATTCCGTGTTGTTCTCGATTATCTTTCCTTGACGGCTAGTTACTTCTGCCTTTAACATGTGGCCCTTGCTTCCTGATCCATCTGTCTGTAGTAGACATCCCCCGTTATTTACTCCTTTATGTGACATTGTGTGAGGGTATGAGAAGGAATATATAATATATAAGAAGGTGAGGTTGCACTGTGAATTGTACTCAACTGGGCAGTGGACAAATTGTTCTTTGAAAAGTCTCATATCGATGAAGAAGGACGCTGGAAAAAGGAGAGCAGGTAGCTAGCAACAGCTGGAGGGGCACTTGAGGCGGAACACATACCTGGGAAGAGAGTCTACTACAAGATTTAGAAGATCAAGTCTATAGTTATAACATTTTAATAGAGTCAATTTATTACAGTTGTAGAAATAAAGTATTTTGTTATACAGGAGTGAAAAGTCATTTTATTTAGTTGTCCTATATGCCTCACAATTGAAGAATAACAAATCAGGTGAGTCAATTCATTTAAAGTGTATTTACTAAGTCCCACATTTCATTTATATATGTTCTTATTGTTTCTTCTCACATAGTGTCACAAAAGGTATTAGATTCCAGAATTCCTTACGACAGTTAAACACCCTCACAAAGTCTATTTCCAGTGCCCGGGTTTTCTTTTAATATTCATGAGCGTAAATAACCTAGTTCCCCGATATAAAAGCGGAAAGCTTTTTGCTATTCCCGCCAAAAAAGGAATCTTTAACAATTAACCTTAAAACATGTTATTTATAGCATCAATCCATTCGGATAAGATTGTCAAACGCTCTTAATTTGTTTTCTTCTATAATGGTTTCCACTGGCTTGATCTTGAAGTTGGCACAGATGGTGGTGTTGCCAATCCTGTCACGTCTGGTCTTCCCTCTCAACCTTCCGCAGGTATCGCATCTCTAAGGACTGTATTTGACTCCTGTGCTTCAAAGTGAGTGTCCAAGACTCAGAAGAATATGTCAGAATAGGAAGGAACACCGATTTATATACCGCCACCTTCATCTTCTTTGTAACCTCTCTTCACTGAGCAGAACATCCTTCCTACTGTCCCTATTCGTTACCTTACCTCCTTGCCAATATATCCACTTTTATTGAATTGAGCACCCAAGTATTTAAAACTTTCTACCTGCTCCAAATTCTCACCGTCCACCCTCAATATCCTTATAACCCTGTGAGGCTTCCTTCCAATGCACATGCGTTTTGTTTATCAGATAAATCAAAACATTGTTGTCTAGCAACAAAGGAATGTGGAGAATGAATGAAGATACCACAAGTTACTTCCAATTATACACTTATAAGGCTACAGATGATTATTTAAAACAATAAAGATGGCGGAAACGCTTCAGACAGGAACTGGCAGTGTTTCTAGAGTAGGATACAATAAAAAAATAACAAGGGTAAGACTGACAAGAAATTTGAACTTTGACGAAGGAATGAGAATTATGGAACTGGCTTAAAATGGGTAGACACAAAGTCCATTTTCAGTAAAACCACTCACATCTATGGAATCTTCCATTGGATGATAAATATAAATTTTGTTAAATTTTCTAATAATGAATTCTTATTAATATACTGACAGGCAAAAAATTCTACCCACTTGGTTTTTTCATGTTTTCATCTAAAAATATTTCTGCTTTGGATTGGTCTATTGTTTTTAATGAATAAATAGGTAATCTTTTTGTTTGTTTTCAATTAGGAATGCTAATATAGAGGACAATAACCCTTAATCCTTAATTCAATGAAATGATTCTAGATTCCAATGTTTACTTTCTATGGAATCAAAATGTATATTCAGCATCATTAGTTGCGTGTGGTGTGGCACTTATTGATGATGGACGTTCCATTAAATATGCAGCTAATGCCATCGGAGTTCCATTGAAACTTTACGAGATGCCGTCAGGCGTTTTCGGGAAACTGGTTCTCACAATAGAACCATATTAGATGGCCTGGTTCTGGACGGCCTGGGGTAACAGAACCACGGGATGACCGGTTTTTGACTTTGAGAATTTTACGAAACCGGCACTTTACCGTTGTTCAAGTGATTCATTAGCTTGAAGAAGTTCGAGGTGTCCAAATTTCTGAACGTACCGCTAGGAGAAGATTAAATGAGTACGGATTAATGGCTTTTCGTCCAGTAAGAGGACCAGAGTTGACCAGAACTCACAGAGTAACACGGCTGGCTTTTGCTCGAGAACACAGCCATTGGACTATGGACGAATGGAGTGCTGTACTTTTTACAGATGAGTCAAGATTCGCTCTTCGATCTCCAGACGGACTTGAAAGGGTGTGGAGAAGAAGAAACGAAAGATATGCAGCCTGTAATTTTTCTCAGAGC